TTAAAAAATACTTATTAACTAGTAAATAATTACTATCTTTATTATCCTAAGAAACCCTAGCTAATTCTTCCCTAGTCTTAATAGAGCTTAACCCTAAAGGGGGGGGTACTATTATAGCGCGAAGCTATAATATTTATTTAGTTAGATTCTATCTTAATTATCTACCCTTATTCCTATATTTAAGCTATATTATCCTTAATCTTATTATAGCTCTTCAAGCTATATCCTGTTTATTACCTAATACCTACTATTCTGCTGTTCTATTTAGTTAGCTCCTAGTCAATAAATATCTGAATCCGACTCTGCCCCCTGACACTATGAATATATTAAATTCTTAACTAATAATAAATAATAGAAGAAGGTAGTAATAATAGCAGAAATATATACTACTATAGAATATAATAATTACTAGTTATATTAACTATTAGTTAAAGTAATCTAGAAAACCTAGAATGCTATACTTATTTTATAAGGAGAAAAAATATAATACTAAGAATTATCTATATTTAGTAATTGATAAGTAAAAGGAAGGGTAAAGACTAATTTTAATATTTTAATACTTTAAGTTATATAAGTTAAAGAATAGGAATAATTTAATCTAAAATTAAGTTATTACCCTAGCTATATAAGCTAATACTATTCTAGATACTAATAATTTCATGCTATCTAGAGTTAATATACTAATAACTTTAATATTAATTATCTTTAGGAATAGGTAGCTATATAACTCTAGAGTAGGCTATATAGTATATAATAATTATAATCTTTTTAATAATTTAATTAAAGATCTAAATAGCTTCAAGAATTATAGTTTTATTACCTCTAATAATAAGGTAGTATATCCCCAAGATTATGGAAAAGTAATAATTTAATTTAAATTAGATAATAATACTTTAATATTATATTAAATAGAATATCTTTAGAATTTAAATATATTATATAACCTAATATTAGTAGAAAGAATAAAGATAGAATTAGAAATCTATTTTAACTTAAAAAATTAATATATTTATAAGATAGTAATAGACAAGGTAATTAAATATACTATCTTAGATAATAATATCCTATTTTTAGTTCTAAATAAGGTAGTAATCATGCCTACTATACTAATAGACTTATTATATTAATAATTAGGTTATCTATCTATCAAATAATTAAAGCACAACAAGATAATACTTTATAATAAAAGTAATAACTTAGCTACTAATAACTTGCCTATTACTAATTAGAATACTAAATTATACTACAAAGCATGTTAATTATTAAAATTAAAAAAAAGAATATCCTAAAAACTATAACTATATATAATAAAATTATTATAATTTATATATATAGATCTTTAAGAAATTAAACTAATTAAAAGAAATAATATTAGGTATATCTTACTAGTTCTAAATAATTATTCTAGATACCTTTTTATATAATATTTAAAGATAAAAAATAAATCTTTAAAGGTATTAAAGGAAATATATAATAATTAGCTAAATATAACTAGTATCTATATTAAAAGGGTTAGATTTAATTCTACTTCTAAATTTAATAAGTATATTAGGTAGAGTAAGGATTTTAGCACTATATATAAACTAATACTATTATAAACCTCTAAGAAAAATAGTACTATTAAATAGTTTAGTAGCTATATAATTTAAACTACCTATATAATATATATTTAAGTAAAAATAAAACTAACTATATAACTATATAATATAGATATAGTAATCTATATTTTAAATAGATTAGTTAGGAAAAATAATAATAAAGGAAAGCTATTTATATAACTTTTTTATAAAGAATTAAATATTCTAATTAGAGATATTAATCTATAATATATTTATATATAAGAATATAAGGTATTTATAAATATTCTATATAAGAATAGGATTAAAAATATAAAAATATTACCTAGAGTAAAAATTAGTTAACTAGTTAGATATAATAAAGATTATATTTATAAGGTATAGTATCTAGATATAGGGAAGATAATTTAGTTAAGGGATGTAATATTTAATAAAAATAATATTAATAAAATAAATAGAATATAACTATAATTTTCTAATAAACTAAAATTAAAGAATAATAGTTTATTTAGAGTAATTATATTTATTAATATTAAAAAGAAAAGAATAACTTATAATAAAATATCTTAAAGTAATACTATTTTCTAAATCTTATTATTAGTAATTAATAATAAAGTTATTATAAGGAAAATTTAAATATTAATATCTAATCTAGTCCTACCTAAACTAAATCTATCTAACCTAGAGGTAGGTACTAACTTGATATATTTGTGCCTACCTACCTCTAGGGCTATTACTAAAACCACCCTATTTAACTTAGAGGCAGGTATTGAACTTATTATACCTGAGTAGCTACCTACCTCTAGAGCTGCCCCTAGGGCTATCTCCAAGACTACTAAGCTTATTATACTAGAGCAGATACCTGCCTCCAGGCCTGCCTCTAGGGCTGTTTCTAAAACTATTACCAAGTAAAATAATTAAGTGATTAGTAAGGATATAGAGGAGATAGTAAGACCTAGTATAGAGAAATAATCTAGATAGGGTAGATATAAAAAGATAATTAATTATTTTACTATAAATAATCTATATACTAGTTAACCTATTTTTAAAAAGATACTAGTATTATAACTAATATAAAGACTTCTAAAATTATTTACTTAATATAAGAAGGTCTTACTAATTTTAGAATCTTCTAAAGATAACTATACTCTAATAATTTTAAATATATTAAAAAGGAAGTATTTAAAGACTAGAAAGTAAGTTAAATTTAATATTAAGAATATAAAAATAATTAATTTAGTAAAGGTATAGAATCTTACTAGTAATAATACTAGTAGTAGTATTATTACTTTATAGAGATCTTTAAGATTTATAAAGGATTAATACTAAAGTATTTACTTTAAAGATAAGTAGGCAAAGTAATTATAGGAAGAAAAAATAAAATAAGAATAATAATCTTAATTCTAGTCTATATTACCTCTAAAAATACTTCTAAAAATACCTTATCTACTAGGATCCTATCTAAAGCTAGGAAAATCACCTAATATAATTATTATAATATTACTAGATACTATATTACTAGATCCTAGTAATTTTATACTAGAGATCAAGCCTATAAAGACTTATAAAATTAGAATCTTATAAATCTATACTTAAGTAATAAAATTACTATAAAAGAATTACTAGATATAAGTAATATAAAGTTAAATTAGCAAGCTTAAAGTTATTTAAACTTATAAATTTATACTATTACTAAAAAATATAAAGGTCTTACTAGGAAAATAGGTATATAACTTAAAATTAGATATAAATAATAATATATTATAATTTTATATAAGATAGATTATATATAGAAACTTCTAAAAACTAGATATAGACTTTAACTAAGTTTACTCTCTAGTAATAGTAAATACTTTAGTAAAGCTATTTTTAAGTATAGTTATTTATTTTAATTTAAAATAAGTATAATTTAATATAATAACTACTTATCTTAATATAATAATCAAGGACTGAAAGATCTATATATACTAATTAACTAGTTTTAATAAGTAAAATAATATAATATATTTATTACTCCAAGCCCTATATAGATTATAATAGTTAGTATTTCTTTAGTATAAGGAATTCTATAATATTCTAGTAAAAATTAGTATAAAGGTAATTAATAAAGACTTATACTTTTATTATAACCTAGATTAGTAGCTAATACTTATTATTTATATTAATAATATAATAGTTACTAGCCCTGATAAAGTAAATATTTAATAATTTATAGATAAGCTAGAAAAATATTTTAAATTAAAGTAACTAGGTAAACCTATATAGTTCTTAAAATATAATATTTATAGACTGCTTAGTAATCTAATATTAATATCTTAATATATATATATCCAAAAGATGCTCTATAAATAGAATTTCTATAGTCTTTAGCTATATCATATACTAATAACTCTAGAATGGAAATTAATTAAAGAAATACTAGAATTTAGTAGTATTACCTAAGATACTAGTAGTATTATTCTAGATATTATATATACCTCTATAGGTAAAGATAATATTACTTATTATTAAGAGTTAACTAAATCTTTAAATTAGATTATTATTTAGATCTAACTAGATATTTAATATATAATAATATAATTATTATAGAGGAATTATAATTCTAGTAAGTTAAACTATAATATAATTAAATAAGTTTTCTAATATTTAAAGAAGATCTTAAACTATATAATAATTTTAGGCTATTTAAATAATCTATTATATATATATATTAATACCTTCTATATAGATTATAAAGATAAGAAATTAATAGAAGACTTTATATTTTTTATATTTAGAGTACTAATTATATAAAGATTAGTAAAGTAATTACTAGTTACTCTAAGTTTAATTATTACTAAATTTATTATATAGGATATAGTAATAAAGCTAGCTATATAATTATAAAAACTATATATAGTTATTAGACTAGGAAAGTCTATAAAAAATATTATATCTTTATATATTAATTCTATAAATATTATTATATTAATAAAGAAGTTAAATTATATATCTATACTTTACTAGATAGATATTTACTATTTCTTTATTAAAGAAGTAATTAAAAATAGTAGAATTTAATTATAAATAGTTAGTAGAGAGGATAATATTATTAATAGGCTAATTAAGGTACTACTAATTATAAAATTTAATAAATTTATTAAGAGGTTAGATTTTAGTAGGTTAGAGATAGACTCTAAATAGCTTTATATAATAGATATATTACTAAGGGGGGTATATTAGAGTACTATACTTAGTAAATATAACTAGTACTACTATAAAGTAGCATCACTATAAAGAAAAAGATAGTGACACGTGACTACTCTATGTATTTAGGCCACTATTTCCTTCCAGATCTCCATGCTTCCTCCAAGCATCTCTCCTTCTCTCTATTTCCTAGTTAGACCTAATTGAATCCATTTCGGTCAACTCTCTACCGTCATAGTTTGACGACCTTCATCATATAATATAATACATATCTATTTTGGACATATCCTTATATACGGTATAAATGACAGACAAACAAAATCCCATCGCATGTGAACCCTGTCGCCAGAAGAAATGCAAGGTATTCTTTTCCTTCCCAAATCTAGGTAGCTACAGTCTGACTTATAGTGCGATCGTACCCTGTTCGTCTCCTGCTTCCATTCTCCTGAGATCCAACTAATTATCTAGCCCGTCCTGTTCGCAATGTTCTGATCCAGGGCGATGCATATACCCCGAGAGTGGGAAACGGTACATATCTCCTCCGTCAGCTCCAGATCTTACATTAACAGATGAAACAAAATAGTGGCCTTCCTCAGGGCTATATTACACATCTGGAGAACCGGTTGGCGGCCACAGAGCGGGCGCTGTATAGCACCTATGCCTCTTTGCGGGCGGTTTCTCCACCCTCATTCACTGTCGTCGTTAATTCACCACAACAAACCCCATCGCGAACCGCCGCAGTCGCTGAATGGGCTCAGTTCCCCTTGCGCGATCCGAGCGATCTGGAACGATGGTGGACCAGTAAGAACCAGATATACGGGGCAGCAGAAGAAGCTTCCTCACCGGTATGGAGTTTGGGAGCAGGGGAGATCGATACCAGAGAAAAGGATTCTTCGGCTGCAGCTTCAAGCAACAACCTTGGTCACAATCCTCGACCAAGAACGGGGAATCCGAATCCTAGAGAAGGTCGGGCGGAGCATTTGGCGGAGTTAGAGCCAGCAGTGTACTTTTGATAATTTAGTACTCAGTCATGGCGTACCTAATCCGCTGAGGGTCAAGCTCAAGAAATTTGAAGCTATTCAACCACCACGTTTGGGATTGCATTTTAAAATCGCTAGCTATAGATTACCCCAGAGAAGACTTGAGGCTGTATGTACTTGTATATTCATAAGAAACTAATCTTATTTATATGGCTAATTGCTCTGTATAAGATCTTGAATCTGCAAGCGGCACATCTTCTTTACTAGTCATTGTCACTTTAATAGTCTAATTAGGGTACATATGTAGTTATACTACGCAGCTTAGTATTACTTGCCTGAGAGAATAACTACCCCTCAAATTGAGCAAAATATCGTCAATGTAGACCTATTAATTACTGACATCAGTACCTAATCTAACAGACTCTGGGCTAGTATATGGATAGTACTGATTTAAACAGGGAGGCTAGTTATATTCATCTATATCTATAATCTCGTTGAGAAGTATAGATTCACCTGCAGTGCTAGGTAGGTTTCGAGACTTTGGAGTTGAATCACCTTTCTTATCAGCTCGAAGAGCAAGTAATATCCTGCCTTCTTGTTCGATCAATTTAGAATCCATGAGTGGTTGAGTAGCTTCCATTTTCGAGTGTATTCGTGATTACGAGGTGATCCGCTTGACCGGTGCATCCGTATACCTACGTATACCGATCTTTTCCGGCTGGCTGGAGCCTTAGTTCATCTATCTCCGTTGAGCAAGGAAATCAATGAAAAGACGATATCTCTATAAAATAACTAGATATCTATCAGCAACGCATAGGAGTCGGAATCGCTTCCGAGTTGGGAGATTCTCCAGGTCGCCGAGATCCCCGACAAGTCAATCGAGAGGAGGGGTTGAAAGAGGGGTTCATTCTTTTATTTTACTTCTCTCTCTCTCTCTCTCTCTCTCTCTCTGTGTGTGTCTCTTTTTTCCTCACTCGCCGCCTTTCTTTCAATCTCTGAATATCTCAAGATCCATAACAGACTAATTAGGGATCTCAACTGATTGCCTCCGTTATGGCGCAGCAATACAAGCTTCCGTTCGAGGTACGTCATGTCTTAGCTTCCCCACGTCCGCTAAAAACATGTCACCCTCACTAACAAAGCTCTCCCCAGCTTGACAACCCCAAACTCCTCCAGTTTGATTCCTTTGTTGGTGGTGCTTGGGTCACAGCAAAGAGTGGCAAACGCTTTGAAGTTGTTGGTAAGTTGTATATCTTGTAACTGTCACGATCTCTATGAATTCAGCCATACTGACCAATGGCATAGACCCCGGTTCCGATCTTCCCTGGGCAAGCTGTCCTGCAAACGCCGCTGAGGATGTCGATCCCACTGTGCAAATTGCCCACGATTCCTTTGAGAAGTTCAAGAAGACAACCCCGCGCCAGCGCGCACAATGGCTCATGAAATGGGATACCCTTATCCGCGAAGCTAGGAGCGATCTGGCCAAGATCCTGACCCATGAGACCGGAAAACCGATCGCTGAATCTTACGGAGAGATCGACTATGCCGTCGGTTTCACCTGGTGGTTTGCAGGAGAGGCAGAACGCATTCAGGGTACTATCTCTGTGCCTTCCACTCCCAACCGACGGGTCTTCACCGTGAAGCAGCCTATTGGCGTCGTAGCTGCTCTCGTTCCCTGGAACTTTCCTATTGCCATGGTTCTGCGTAAGGCTGCTGCCGCCTTCGCAGCTGGTTGCACCATGGTTCTCAAGCCTAGTCCTGAGACACCCCTGACAGCGCTGGTGCTCGCAGACCTCGCGCAGAAGGCAGGGTTTCCTGCAGGTGTATTCAATGTGCTCACCACAGATATGGAGAACACGCCTCCTCTCAGCGAGGCTCTTTGTAAGCACCCACTGGTGAAGAAGGTTACCTTTACAGGCTCAACACGGATTGGACAGTTGGTCGCTGCGCACTGCGCGCACGGGCTGAAGAAAGTGACCCTGGAACTGGGTGGAAATTGCCCCTTCCTTGTGTTCGATGATGCGAACCTGGACCAGGCCGTGGATCAATTGATGGCGCTCAAGTGGCGCCACGCCGGACAGGCCTGTATTACCGCTAACCGGGTGTACGTGCAGGCGGGTGTGTATGAGAAATTCGCACAGTTGTTTAAGGAGCGCACAGCCAAGTTAGTGGTGGGACATGGCGCCCAGGAAGGCACCACAATGGGACCCCTCACGACTCCCCGCAGCATTGATAAGGCTATCGCTCAGGTGGAGGATGCGCGAAAGCTGGGCGCAGAGGTCATTCTTGGTGGAAACCGTGTTGAAGGGAAGACTGGATACTTCTTCCAGCCTACCATCCTGAAAGATATGACCAAGGAGATGCTGGTGTCTCGCGAAGAAACCTTTGCACCCATTGCTGCTCTGTACCGGTTTGAGACCGAGGAGGAGGTTGTTCAGTTGGCCAACGACACCAGCATGGGCCTGGCCAGTTACGCCTTTACGAAGAACATCGACCGCACCTGGCGATTACTGGAGAATCTGGAGGCTGGTATGATTGGCTTGAACACTGGTAACTCCTCTGCGGCGGAGTCACCCTTTGGGGGCATCAAGGAATCCGGGTACGGCAAGGAGAGCGGCAAGGATGTGGCCGTGAACGAGTATCTTATTACGAAGACGGGAACTTTGACGATCGAAGGGCAGTACTAACTAACAAGAGCAGCTGTTACACGACGTTCCCTGCATGCACGGACCCCTCCGCGGCTGGGTCTGATGTTATTATATGTGCGACGGAGCGGTCTTGGGACAACTCGATGGGCCGAGAGAAGCGGCCCAGCTGATGAATTTTCAATGAATACATATTGTGAGAGGTAGATAACTACTATTTTAGGTAGGCTCTACTACAGACAGGGTAGCATTAATATAAGTGAACACTGAACCCTGCTATTTTTTTCCTTCCGTGCATGCCGCTAAGATCTGTTGTCGGATGTTGTCTCCCCGGAGCTCGTAGAGGATTCCTATTTTGTCTGAGGATTTTCCTTTCTAGGGTGAGTTGTATGAGAGAAAGCTCAGGGAAGATTCCTGCGAGAGTACCTTCGTAGTATCGTCAAGATTGCTGCTTTGGGCCATGAATGGTCTGCAAGAAGAGCATATATCAGTTTTCCACTGTATCAAAGCTCAGCAGGCAGACAAAAATCCCAATAAATTATGGTTACTATTAATGATCCAGTTGCCCTCCTCTCCGCATCTGCATGAAATAAATGAATATAGAAGATGATAGTTAATATAATACAGTTATTTCTCATTCCTCATGTGAGCTGACTCACCTAATTGGGTAAGTATCACCACTTCATCCTCTTTCTCTTCTTCTTCTTGTCGTTTCGCTCCTTATCTTCACTTCTAATTATAATATTAATTTCATCCTCTCTCTCTCTCTCTCTCTCTTTTTCTTCTTCTCCTTTTCCTTTCCTTTCCCTTTTTTTGGTCTCCTCCCATTCCTTAAGTCTCCTTGGGTTGGAATAAAACATCCTCCTTCCCCTCCTACTTGTCTTCACGCCATGGATCCTCTCTCCTCACTACGTCAACTCATCCAAACCCATCCCTTAATCGATAATCACGCACATAATCTCCTTTCTCAGTCTGCAGCTAGCGATTATACAAAGTATCCATTTGAACAGATTATCTCTGAAGCTCAAGGAGTCGCTCTCTCCAATGCTACATCCACATTACCTTTTCATCGCGCTGCCGTCCAGCTTGCCTCCCTCTATCAAAGCTCCTCATCCGATTGGGACCAGTTGAAGGCGGCCCGGAACCAATGGGTCCGGCGTGACTATGAGGACCTTGTCCGCCAGTGCCTGGAGGGGACCCATACCCTGCTACTCGACGATCTGCTGACGGACCAGGATGTTGAGCCTTTCAATTGGCATGATCGCTTCACCGTATCATGCACTAAGCGCATTGTCCGCATTGAGGCGGTGGCCGCTCAAATCTTATCCTCCCTTGTGCGGAACACATCAATCCCACTGCATTCCGCAGACCTCTCTGCTTTCCAGCCTCTCTGGGAGAGCTTTGCCCAAGAGTTTCATCTCCGGATCTCCGAAGCTATCCACGACCCCGCGGTAGTGGGGTTTAAGTCGGTTATATGTTACCGCACTGGGTTAAATGTTCAGCCAACTGATGACGATGATACTGGACCAGTGCTTCACTCGTTCGTACGCACTATCTCCCAAGCGACCATCTCCACTTGCCGCGTAGAAGATAAGCCGCTTAATGACTGGCTGGTTCGTCAAACCCTCAATCTGCTCAAATCGGCCGAGACCACTCAGCCAAATAAACCCATTCAGCTGCATACTGGTTTAGGTGATAACGACATTAATCTACTCCGCTCTAACCCTGCTCACCTGCAAGCCCTGATTGCCCAGTATCCCGAGGTTGATTTTGTTTTGCTGCATTCGTCTTATCCGTACACTCGTGAAGCCGGTTACCTGGCGTGCGTTTATCCTAATGTCTACTTAGACCTCGGAGAGGTCTTCCCCATGGTGAGTCGAGATGCACAGGAGTCCATCATCCGAGAGAGTCTTGAGATTGTTCCTACAACGCGCTTGCTGTGGAGCACGGACGGCCATTTCTTCCCAGAGACATTCTGGCTTGCCAACAAACAGTTCCGTGATGCGTTAGAAAAGGTTTACTGCCCTGAATTGTCTTTGAAATTGATTTGAACTAAATGTCGTTAGATTTTTGTGGAATACGTCCAAAATGGTGATTACACTGTTGGGCAAGCTAAAAAAGCTGCAGTAGACATTCTCTTCTACAATTCTAACAAGTTATATGATCTTCACGAGAATCTCCATTTCGATGGACCTGCGTCTGGATCATTGGCTAGCCCCCTGTCGCATACCTCGTCTGCGGATGCATTTGAGGTGTTTATGAGGAGTAACCCGGATGTCAAATATATTTGGATGCAATTCATCGACCCTACAGCGCTCGTTCGGTTGCGTATCTTCCCTATCTTGGAGTTCGCTAAGATTGTCCGCAAGCAGCGCCGGATTGGTATCTGTATGGCGGTTCTTTGGATGCTGCAGGACGACATGGTAGTCGGAGGTTCTACTACTGGCCAGTTCTACATGACTCCGGATTTATCAAGTCTTCGCCGAAATGTTGGAATCAACTCAAAAAGCGCTACTGTGATGACCTGGTGGCGGACCGAAGAGGACCAACCCCTGGAGGGATGTCCCCGCACTACTCTGCTCAAAATAGCCAACAAACTCCGCGACGAGTTCGGTATCGAGGCCACCTGCGGCTTTGAAGTGGAAGTCGTCTTTTTAAAGTCTGTTATCGACCCCGAAACCGGCAAAGAAGATTATGTACCTAGTGCTACAAACCACTCGTGGTCTCAGATGACCCAGGAAACACGCCGCCTGGTCCCGCTACTCGAAGAGATCGCCGAGACTCTCGCCTCTGTTGGGATCAATCTTGAACAATTCCACTCTGAATCCGCTCCGGGCCAATTCGAATTCATCCTCCCACCGGGCTCACCCGTCGCTGCAGTCGATATGCTTATCACAGTCCGACAAGTAATAACCTGCGTCGCAGAGCAGCACGGCATTCGGGCCACCCTCCACCCACGCCCCTACTCCAACGCTGCTGGCACAGCTTCCCACGCACACATCTCCATCTCCCCACCTACAAAAGAAGACTCCTTCCTGGCTGGCGTACTCGAAAACTACCCAGCTCTGGTGGCCTTTACCCTCTCCGGGGACGCCAGCTACGAGCGCGTTATGTCCGGCATCTGGTCCGGAAGCGAATGGGTCACCTGGGGCACTCAAAACCGCGAGGCTCCAATCCGAAAGATCTCCCTAGGTCACTGGGAAATCAAGTCTCTAGATGGACTGGCCAACATGTACTTCGCAATGGCTGCCTTCCTTGCTGCAGGATACTCCGGTGTCAAGGAAAATAGACCGCTAACCGTTAAGGACTGTGCATGTAAGCCATTCAATTTCCCCGGGCTCCCTATTAAAAGGCCCATTACAATACTGATACAAATAAATATAGATGACGCAGCTACCCTCAACGATGCCCAGCGTGCCTCCCTAGGTATCACGACTAAACTCCCGAATACCCTTTCCAAGAGTCTTGATGCTCTAGCCTCCAACAAAACTATGCAGGATATCCTCGGTGCAGATGTAGTAACGAACTACATTATTGTGAAACGAGCTGAGAGTGCGAAACTCAGAGCCATGGATGAGAACACGCGACGGAAATGGCTAATAGAGCGATACTAATGCATATTTATAGACTACTAACTCTCTCCCTCTCCATTTTAGCCTCTGTTATGATGCTCTGCAGATAAATACGGTTTCTGCACTACCTCCACTGTCACCACATAATAATATCTAAATAACCTTAAAACTATATATTTACGAGCCATACGAGGAATTGGATAAACTTTCTTTAGTCTTATTTATACCCTGTACCGTCGTTGATTTTAATTGTTCACCAAATGATAAAATATGCACATCAATCATCTCAACTTTATTCATTGTCTATATTCAGTTCATGTTTGCTGTATATATATATATGTGTGTGTATGTATTGTCATATCATGTCACCACATATCATCACATCTTATCTCTATTTTAAACAGGAGTATCACTCATGCTGCATGGCCGTGTACGGAGTAAGTCCCTAACAATTGTCATCCACCACTAAAACTCGAGCACAGCGTCCTGCTTTGTGTTCTGCGGCAAAAGGTCCAAGTGGTAGAGATTTGAAAGGGGATGGCGTGGGAAGAAGGGTGGACAGAGGATCAGCCACATCGAGATAGTTACAATTCTCTACCAGGAGCTTGCCAGTCTCTTTACACGTTTCAATGTCCAGAAAATATTTGGACTCCACCTCATCCACGGACACTTCCAAATCGAGGAAGACAAGATCATGCTTAGGACGCCCCTCAAATCCATTCGGGGATGCTGGACCCAGCCTACCAGTATCGCAGATATCAAACCGGCAGAAATCCACGGTCACATCTTCAAGCTGACAGCCAACGGCGAGCTGCAAGCCTACGAGCATCGCCAAGGACCAACAACCAGTCTGGATGAAATCGATCCTGATTTCTTCCAGGAACTAGTTAGATACCTTCTCAAGCCCATGACCTAGTCGATCTCCTCGGGCTTCAAGTCCTTACTCGTGATGATATGCCGCTGATGATGAGTGAGTTTATCCTCACCAATAACAGCACTGTCATGCTGGACAACAGAGATATGAAGAGCTATAGGATACCTTTCTACATCACTAGGTTCTTTCTTGAAGAAACAGACATGCCTGAGTTCAAGGACGGGAGAATCTCATGCATAAACTATCAAAAACACCCATAAAGTTTATATTAAGGGCAAGATTGAAATGGAGAACCAGCTTATGGCTATTCTCCAAAGTGAGGACCTTGTCTTTTGAGTGTATCCTTTACCTAGGGATAGTATCTTATTGTTTTTGAGTTGATCCTTTACTTAGGGTTAGTTATCGCGATAGTTTAATACCATATTAGAGTAGTTTCTTTTCTTTTTTTTTTTTCTTCATTAGATTAACCAACTATCTAGAGTTTACTGTCAATACATGGAGAAAATACCCTATATCTGCCCACGATGTCTCACCTCCCTGCCTGTTTTGCAACCCATCATACATACGCTAGCTCACCAAAGAGAGGTCCAATCATCAGTAGTACAGAAAGCATCCAGATATGTATGCAAGCAAACCACCCTGCTGATCCTTCCGCACACTTTCCACCATACCTTTCATGTCCCAAAAAAATCCATATTGGTAGAAAAGTCCAGCCATCCTTGCTGCACGGATTAAATAGAAATCAGCATTAGAGATATTCCAAGCCTCCTCCTGAAAGGTCTGCCAGAATAGGCTCCTAAGTTTGCAGGAGCAATTATAGTAGTACCACCCTTTTAAATCTATCCAGCCTAAAATATTCTCAAGCCCGTAGAGCATGAACCCAAAAGGCAGAATCTTTGATTTAGCCTAGTCCATAACTCCAGTGATATATCTAGTTCCAGAATTGGCCAGGAGATTTGTCATGTTCAGGTCCCTGTAGCTCAGAATAAACGGGAAGGTATTGGAGAAGAGAGACGGGAGTTCCTGGCAGACCCTTTTAAGATTTAGTGCAAAGTAAGATAGTAGGTCTCGAGCTAGAAGGTCAAAATTTAACTAAAACTCTATAAGTAAGGTTGCAGTTTTATCCAGGCTTAATTATTAATTATTATTCTATAATTATATAAAGAACCTATTCTAGAATATTAGTTCCTGAAAATAGAAAGGGGAAAAAAGATTTCTTAGTATATTTTATAAAGTCCTTAATAGTATTATACTATTAGGACATATCATCTAGTAGGATGCGCGCCATAATATAAGCAATCCCAGGAAGCTTCTCTATCTTGTAGATATAGAGTAGCCGTGAATCAGCTATAGTTTTGAGATACTTGTAGCTGGCTACAAATTCAGGGTAGGTAGCTTTAGCAAGACTAATCTTGCCTATATCAAGGATAGAGTCCCCATCTCAAAATTAGAGGAGCTTGGAGTTATTGGGCCCTGCCATCATGGTATAGCTGCACACTCCTTGCATCTGTAAAGCAGTGGACTCCCCACCAGCATGAGAAATAGCAAATTCATCACATTACTGTCTTGTTACAGTAGTACTAGCGTTGAGAGAAATCGTTAATTGCGCTGTCAAGACTATATGTTTTATAAGTCGTCATTGTGGTGGAGGGCAGGAGGAGGAGGAGGAGGAGGGGCAGGGAACTGGGAGATAATAGTAAGGAAGTGAGAACTTAGTAGTTAACTAAGTAGAAGGTATTACAGATAGCCTTGGTTCACTCACTGCTGTTTAATACTGTCAGCGACCCTGTTGCTGTTCCAAACCTCCCAACTTTATTAGATATACTCCGTATGTTACTCTGTATAGCATAGCATATTTGGGGGTCAGAAAGTTCTTTGTCCATTTCTCGCAACTGTGGGTCAGTGGTGGTCAGAACAAAAAATATTTCTGTCCCTGGAGAATATAATTAACCAATTATAATTCAGATATGCCTAGTAGGTCCTTAGGTAGGTTAGGTAGGTACCTAATTTTAAGCAATAGATATCAAAAGTACTTGTCCGCCCCGTCACGTTCTACCTACCATTGTGGCATTGAGCTACCCCCAGGATTACCTAATAATCCAGGGAATCACGTGTAGTCATGTGATCCAGCAATATAGTTTATCCGCTCCTATGAGGATCCTCAGGTGCCACGTGATAGGGGGGCTCTTCTCAGACAAGAATCCTGATTTGGACCAGCATCGAATAACAACTTCGTCTACGGGGTGCGAAAGTCAAGGAAGGAAGGAGTCCATGCAAAATGACCTGGTCTACCTCCTTGCAACCATTCTCCGGTGCTAGTTGTTTCTCATGATTCATGCTCCTAATGGTGTGATTTTCCATCATGGATTCCAACGGCACTTTTGCCCGTAGTTTCGACGAATCTCTAACACGCGAACTACCTCATCCCCGCATCGCTCCTCTTCGTGAGCCGGTCTCATCCCGCATCCTCAGCGTTCCCTTACCCCTCGAGCCCAATGCGAGTGGGGTCCGGGACCCAAATTCGATTTCAAAGACCAGCAATTCCGCTAGAAATTTGCCCCCACGGAATGAACAGAGTCCCGAGGTACCAGAAGGTACAAGCGCTGCTCGCTCAAAGAAGAACGACTTCTCCGCGGACCCCCTGTTGGAGCCACCTCCACGGCCAATCCTTCCGGCGTTTGTCAACCTCCGTGCTCTTGAACGATTCCCGTATTCCTCTTTTGACGATGACGGCCTACATTCTCGGAAACGGCGACGTGTGGATGTTCATGGGGATTCTTTTGGAGAGCACTTGCAGCTCCCGATACCCCAGACACAGAAGGAGCAGCGACCTCCGCCGTTCGGGCCGTTTGCTATTCTCAATGGACTTAACGAGCCTCCTCCTAACGCGGCTTTGCTTCCACCCATCGAGGCCGGCTCGATTACCCAGCTCCTGACTAAACCCTCGCGAGATAGTATTCTCGTGGAGCCAACTCTCTTGGTTACCATCCCCATCTCGGATAGTCAGACTGGGGAAAGAAGAGAAGGGCGGATTGAGGATATTTTGGCTACGCCTATTGTTGAAAAGCTTGCAGAGCCAGACAATGCCAGCCTAGAGAATACGATCTTGACCAATTCTAAGACTCATCAGCCAAATGCCGATAAAAGCCAACCTGACGTGGAGAAAGAGCCACCGTCCGCAGAGAAATGCGATGAACCAATTTCTCCTAAAACGAGAGGCCGTTCGCGGAAGAATCTTCGCAAGTGGACCGATGAGGAGACCATAGCACTGCTCCGTGGTGTTGTGAAGTGTGGTATTGGCAATTGGACGGCAATATTGGCGCAACCAGAGCTGAAGTTCAACAGGCGGAGTGCGTCGAACTTGAAAGATAGGTATGTGTAATGTGACTAGAAGGTGGGATTGAAGCCAATTAAGCACCTTTAGGTTTCGTGTCTGCTGTCCCTGGGCCTACCGGTAAGGCGAAGTTTGAATTTTTGTTAGCTACGGTAAGAATCATGTCTAATTCTTCACACAAGGGCTTCCGACCCGAATGAAGCGACGCGACAACTTCGGGACGCTCTCACCAGCTCCTTATCACGGACCGAAACCGATGGTTTGAGCGGCAGTGGTGGGAAACTCCGTCTTCCCCAACCACAATCAACCGATTCCGAATCGCGTTCGATAGTGAAAGGTTCAAACTTCTCTGGAAACGACTGCTCGTCTTCGAGTTTCTCCTCAACCAACGAGGCGGGGCCAGAATCTCCAAAGTCCCGCTCTAGAATTAGCTCATCGTTCAAAACTACCCCAATCCTGTCCAGTAAATCTAGATCTGCCTTGGTGTCCCTGGGAATCCCTGAGCCACATTTTGCCACAAAATCCCGGCGCCGTTCACGCCGCCTGTTCACTGCATCCGAGGATGAAGCCTTGCTGAAGGGATACGCAGTTCACGGGTTTCAATGGACACTGATCCAGCAAGACAAACGCCTAAACCTCGACCATCGAAGGGCAACTGATTTACGGGACCGATTCCGGACTAAATTCCCTCACGCATACCGGGATGGGGGCTCGGTAAACGGAAGAAATCTGCATACCGAGACAAAAGATGCCATCCTAAAAGACGGATCCACTCGCCCCCCTGGCAACAAGCAAAGCCCCCTGGACCTCGACCGTATGCCATCCGATGATCGTCCAGAAAAGTCCTCTAAACTAGATCAGGCTCCTACGGGGGTTGTAGATACAGCTCTTCCATCTCCCGTACCGCCCCAAGGGCCACCCGAGAGCTCCACGGCTGCACCCGCTGGTGCCTTCTCATTTTCGCTGGACGAGAACGCGACGAATAATGCAAGCGTAGACACTTCGTGGACAGCTAACACTCTACCACCGTTGCTCTGGGAGGATCTCACCTAGCTATTCCCACTCAGTCTAATATTATATTACAAGTTGTGGTGGGCCTCTCTCCCGAACACTATACAAGCTCTACCTAGGTGCAGTGCCTCGCCAAGTCAATCAGTAATACAATTCGTATCGAATTAAACCGAATTCGAGTCTATCCTGTACGCCCGCTAACTCCCCTTCCCGCTCCCCTGATTGTAACTATTTTTTACACTCTTCGCAACCATCAGTCAGTCCAGTCAGTAAATCACCACATATCCGTATACTCCATCGCCAACGTAACATCCCCCAGCGCCGCACCCCTCACCAACCCAGCCAGCACAACGGCCTTCCCAACCCCCATCTCCCTCCCAATGAAATCCAGCTGTCTGGACACCCACAGTCTCTGCGTGACAGTCACCCCTTCCACGATCCCAGCGACATACAACGGCCACACAATATGGCAAGCAGAGATGAGCCGCGCGTATTTCCCATGCGGGAACCCTTCACTCGGGTAGCGGATTTCTCCCGACGCGGCCCGGTACCCAAGATGGTACGGCATAGAGGCACAGATATCAGCCGTCAGCGCCCGGATCTTGCTATGTGTTGTGGCGATATCACTGGCGAGGTCGTGGAGTGATGGCGAGCTGGAGACAGTCGAACCTGAGCAGGAAGTTGAAGTCGAAGTCGAAGAAGCAGCATCAGAAGCAGGAGAAAAAGAAGAAGGAGAAGCAGAAGCAGAAGCATGCCCAGTACTATTACCACCACTTCCACTCCTATCATCGTAAGCAAACTGCGTCAACAAATCATAACACCGCAAGCGCAAACACTGCAAGACCACCCGCAGCGTGCGATACTGCGCCCAGCCATTCCCGGCCCAGAATGTCGGGTAGATGTGTGCGCTGGCCGCCCAGATATCGACGCTATTCTCTGGCAGCTGGATGGTCATGTGCTTCCATTCTGGGGGCAGAGAGTGCGGCCACTTGGCTAGCTGGTGGTCTAGTGACGAGATGGTTTCGAGGAAGGATGAAATTGTGAGGAGGGGCGCTTCGAGGAAGGGCCAGGCGAATTCTATTTGGCGCAGCTGGAGATTGAGGATGAGGAGTTTACAGGTGTAGAGATGGATGAAGGAGTTCGGGGAGGCAGGGGAGGGTTTGGAGAGAGCGGCTTGTAGGCCGTAGAGCTCGTCGATTGTGAAGATGGAGAAGAACTCGTTGGAGTTGGAGGTGTTTTCGGTGTCGAAGCAGGTGCAGAGCTGTTTGATTATTTGATCTTGGGTTAGTAGTTGATTTATTTTTGTTCTTCTTCTTCTTCTTCTTCTTCTTCTTTTTGCCCCTATTGCGAGGTCTTGCTCCTGGGTTTATATACTACTAGGTAGGGTTGAGGAGAAGAACGTACAGCTCGGGAGAGGAGAGCGCCGTACAATTTTACGTTTGTCTCATTTTGAAAATCCTTATTCTTTTGCGTCCGGACAAACGCAATTGCAGCTTCGAGGTGTGGATTTGATGTGGATTTGGAGTGGTCTTCGTTGGCCAGGTCCTAGAAATGGGTGAGTGAGTGAGATGACCTGAGAGTCTGCGGGACAGAAAGTCGTACATCGTACATGGCCAGGATGAAAATTGTCAAGATCAGCTCGCAGGTCCTACTTTCATTTCGCTCCTCTACTACCTGACGAGTGAGTTGTAGGGCGCTGCCATAGCATCCGATGGCGTCGGCCACAGCAGGAGCTCCATATTCCCTCCTTTCGGCGACAAAGGTAAGAATCAAGGCCGATAGAGCCGGTAACAACGGAGACAATCCATCCAGTTCTGATAGAACACTAGGAAGCGCTGCCAAACAGCCACCGTAGAGACTCTGTGCTTGCGGGAGGCGAAGGATATGTGCATAAAAGGCACACGGGTCGAACTGCCCATGGACAGAGGAAGGAGACCCCGCGCAATGCGCGAGTTGTTTCTCTACAAGATTCTGCTTCGGTACCGAGAAAGAAAAGTCGCTAAAGCCAAAGCGATTGTGACTACTGTTCAGAGTCACTTGGCCAAATGATGGCGCTATTGGAGGTATTGAGGCTCCTTTTGTTGGCTGGAGTTGGTGGGACGATGGGCGTTTGCGAGTCTTCTTGGAAGGATTACTATCGAGAACACGATATCCGCCACAAGTACGGTTTCCCTTCATGCATCGCTGGCAAACTGGTTTCATTTCATCACACTGCTATAACTCAGTATATACGCTCCTCGACAATATACCGAGTAGTAATATAAAAAAAAGATATTTGGAGGGAGGAAGGGAGAACAGACCTTCACTTTGCGAGCCCGGCATGTATAACAGCCCCGACTGGGGCCGCCTGGATACACCATTTTGCTTGTATCTCGCAAGCTCCCTGGCTGGACCTGGGATGCAATTCGCCAATACGAAAGGCAAAGGATGCAAAATGTTTAAAAAGAGGAGAGAGATAAAGATGACTAGGGCAAAGATGGTTTTTTGAAATAGGTGGAGGAGGGAAACGGTAGAGTTGTCAATGTTGACGACGGATAACTTGGAGATATAACTGACCAACATGCCCTCCTTTTTCCAGGGTCTTTTCTAGAGCCTAATGACAGTGAAGATCCTGACAATGACTTGCAAGTTGTTCTAGGGGCGCAGAAAGATTCCCCTGTTATTTCCACTCTCACGCACATCCACCCTTGTACTGACACTCAGCCTTGTGTGTTGAGACAAGACTATCTCCAGATATTCCCCTCCCCTTGGGATCAACCAAGCCAAAGAAAAGGGTTAAGATATATATCTATTTTTCGCAAGATCCCTGCAGCCTAAAACTGAGCGACATGGAAGGCTCCAGAGCTGCTTTACCGTTGGGCCATCCCATCCGTGTCTGCTCAGCTTACTCGCCATAACAGCCCATCTACTTCTACAAGCTAGCTCTAGCTGTTGATCTACTCGGCATTTATTCCCTCCAGCAAGTGGAATCTATCCACTGATCCTGCCTGCCTCTTCAGCCCTGAGGCCCCAGATCGAAAGGTCTTTGGAACGCCTGATTTTCAGCGCGCGTTCGCTCCTCTCTAGCAAGACAGCTGAAATTTCCCCACCTGCGTGAGTACATAATGATTCATTATAAATCACAGATTCTCACTCACACGTGTTGAAAAAAGTTTGGGGGCCAGCAGAATTCCCCTGGTTGAATATACGCAGTACGATGTACATTGGTTGGGGTCAGCAGCTTGTCATACAGCGCTTGATTCCGTATACCTACTCTGGTATAGGTACTTCGGTATGGAGTAGTTGTACCTAATTTCAACGATGCATCCAACCTGGGATATTTTAGTCCAGGCCACTACTAACGTCCAATACGGCTTGTGCAATTTGCCAGGTATTTGTTTTCCTCTCCAATGGCGCGCGGGTTTACTCTTTTAGGCACTCTTGCCGGCGCTACAAGATACCTAACCTTGACGTATACCTCCTATACAACCAACCACATACGATCGTTGGGGGAAATGAATGCTATATTGAATAATATTTAGCCTCTCGTGCCTTACCAGTCTGGTTGTCCCAAAGTACGTCGACACACGCCAGTCCCACACCATACTCTGCAGCCACACACGCACGCGCGCACCATCATCCTCCGAAAGAATTATAATGCCCCAAATACCCCCAACCTGGGAAAGTGCTCCAGAGAAAGTCTCGGATCCGGATCAGGATCCGGAGAGACAGACAGCAGCCGCAATTTATCCACCAAACTCGATATACTAGTACGCCGGATCCCCAGACAATACAACAACAAGCACAACCCCCCCAGAACTGAATCTCACCAACGTAAAAAAGTTCTGTTTCGATATCCCCTGGCTCTCCTTCCTAATCGTACGCCAAGATCTTCCCGCAGGGATTGTACTCTGTAGATCCTGTCAACCGTTATTTTCCACTTCACTAAACTCCGTACAGGGATTGTTATATCGGGTTTACTCGGCGCTTCTATTCCTCTATAGTTCTTATCGTGGACGGGATTGGTTGGTTTGTCTGCACTTAGTGAGCAGTACTCCGCCTAGTTAACTACCTACCGAGTACTTACGGAGTAGTACTCTGTAGAAAACCGGGACCGCGATGCGATGCTGTTTGTTTTCTTTGCGACGTGGAAATAGGAACTGATCTACTGAATCAAGCACTAGGAGTGCTCCATAATGAATGTTAATTCTTTGTTTCCTTGCCACGGCTTCTATTATTAAGTACCACCACTACGGAGTAGTAACTAACTAACTACTACCTAATTACTGGTACGTATTATTCTTCAATTGGAGTTCTCAATGACTCCACTCCACTCCAGAGTCTGACGCAGTTTCGAATGAATTTCCTAATCAGGTTAATACCTACTCCGGTATGTATGCATCATTGCATGTCCACATAGTGTCTCGTTGATTGCTAGCTTGGACCTGAGATCAGGGCTGAGAAATGAGTGAGAAGTTAGAACCGTAGTTGACTAGTTAATGGATGTCCGTCCGCTACCTTGGAAGGTATAGTTCTAGTTATACTGTTGCTTTGCTAGTGAGTGAGGAAGTTGGACTAAGGGGCACGCACTCTCTACCTTGGGGTCCCTACCAGGTCGGATCGATCCCCCATATTGGAAAACAAACACCCAAATCCCAAGTGTCAGGGCCAGGGCCAGCCTCTAGCCTAGGCAATCATATCCCGAGGCTGAGCAACTAACTACCTACGTTGCCCCAGCTGAAAAGTAATATTCGAGGTATTATAGGTACCTTTCTGGTAGTCATACTATACTATCTACTAGTTACCTAGGATCCAGCTCAAACTGAACCTACTTATATCTACAGATAGCTAAAGTTGAACCAAGTTGTTTATTTCATTTCACGCGCGGTGGAGTGTCTCCTCTGGGATGTGGTACTCTAGTCCATCTGCTCATCATGTTGCCCAGATGGAAAGTAATCGAGAAATTGAGAAACTACGTGGTATTTCAGAAAATAACTAATGCATGAGCACAGAACACAATGCATAGATTGGGTTCAACCAAACCCAAACAAAACAGATATAACAAAGATTACAGTGCTTGATGAAAAAAAAGAGAAGAAACAACATGGAGAATCATAATATAGACAGAACTAGATTGCCGCCATAATCACTTCGATCGACTGATTCAAGAGAGAAACGCTGTTTTGCTCCGCCGGTAAATCAATAGGTATGTGTGTGAGAGCTGCTGATAGAGAGAGAGAGAGAGAGAGAGAGAGAGAGAGAGAGAGATAGAATTTAAGTGAATTAATTGATTCAACCCCTGCCAATTCTACCAAGCATTGCGATCCCAGTTAGGATCTAAATTCTAGGTTAGTATGGACCAAACCTATTTCCAACATCCAAGGCGCTTTGGGGGGAGGGGACTGACCCTGTATAAAGCTTGCAAGTACCTTACTCCCTGTCTGCAAAAGCGGATGACCAGCAACAATCTGCAAGAACCGCTGCAGTCCCTCCCGCCGGTGCTCGATCACGTCATCACTGAACCGGTTCGTGAATACTTTCCCTGGAAGAGGAGGAATTGTCACCCTTGTACTCTCGCGCTCAAGGATATCGCGGAAGTATTCAAAATCGGAGTATCGGCGACGCACGACGGAGTGCTTCAGTTTGAAGGCGGGGATGTTTGTGCGACAGATGATCTCATAGGATGTGTACATGCTGCGGGACGTGCCGTGCGTTTGAGGGTTGCGGACCTGGAGATGTGAGTTAGCTAAAAATCGTTTGGCCGAGTAAAATTGGAGAGCGTAGGGGATTGAAATCCCATGTTCAGGTTGCAGCGTGGATTTGAATAGAATAGGGCAAAGGCGAGGTCGTAGGAGGAGGAGGAGGAGGAGGGGTACATGTCCAGGCGGAGGGGGATGAGGATATTTATCTAGCTTACCTCGATCTCCAGAAAGTTTTCGGGAGGTCCGTAGATCTCCTCGAATGTTTGTTGTCGCGATTCAGGTACCGCTTGCATTTTTCAGGTCTTGTAGGTCCGGTGAGAGGTGTCGTCGAGTGAGCACGAGGGGTTGGATGCGAGGAGGACCCGGGGATAACGCGGGGAAGGCTGTCTTGGAGGAGATCAAAGACGCACGCGGATGGGAATTCTAAAGTGGTCGCTTAGGTGTAAAGATGAATTTTTTTTTCATGGGATTCAGCGAGGCAATATCGAACCAGAAAAAACAGCTGGTTGGAGAGCGTATATGGCGGAAGAGTTACGAATCCCGCATCGATGGGGAAGTTCGAGGTTTGGGTGGAGGAGCCTCTGTCAAGCCTTTGCATCGGACCCCTACAACACCGCGCCTAAGACACTCAGCGATGGTGACGACGTGAGGTCACAATTTCCTCTCGACCCGAGAAAGAGAATACACCATAGGAAGAATGTCAATAATTTAATATGACACTCTCAGATCTATTTTGGTGTTCAAAGTCTGGACATTTGGGTTGATTGCTGTGGCTGTGTACTCTGGTACGGTGGTGTGGCGCTGGACCGTTGAAAGTGGCTTGATCTATAGCATATCACTCTGCATCCACCTACAGCAACCTGCATCTTCTTTCATTTTACAGAAATCTTGTTATTATCCATATGTCTACTACTCATCTTCCATACTCTGTGCCTGTCTTTGTATCCCACTAATGCGTAGGTTTATCCTGAATAGAAGGCTAGCTTTTCACAAGAGATGGTGTGAGAGGGAGCTTGAATATACCAACTTAGAGTGTCTAAATGTGGCACAAAAAGGCGCATGATAATGCAAGAGTTGCAGCAGATCTTAGCTTTCATGCTTTCCAAATAGCAGTTAGACGCTGCAATAGACAAGAAATTATAGTACAAAAGAAACATAAAGACGACCAATTTGGTACAAGCTAGTCCATGTTCTTTCCACCTGGTAGATGTCAGCTTGCTCCTCAAAGCTTTACATGAAGTGATATAACCCCCGCCAAAAGAAAGAAAGAAAGAAAGAAAGAAAGATGGGATGTAGAAAAAGATCTGATTTGTTTAATACACCTTGAGCAAAGCTCGAATAAGAAAAGCAAGACCCGCACAACAAATGGAAGCCAATTTCCCCGATAAATCTTTAAGAAACAACAAGGACGGAAGGAAATAAAAACGAGAACCATACAGACCCAAGCTTAAAAAAAAGGTACAGCTGAGAAAATAAAGAAAAGAAATTGAGATACACATAATACCAGCCCGGAATGTCCTGATATCGCCAGGTTCAACAACCGATTAAGCAAGAAGAAGAATACAGAGCTTCGCAGAGGAAGTAGAATGGATGTGAGAGAAGGTAAAAAATGCATTTTATTCCTGTCGGCTGCGCTTCGTGCCATGAGGGTTCCATGACCCATCACCCACGCCTTGATTCTGGGGGAAGAAGCCTTGATTGAACCCTTGGTTGGGCCCTTGGAAGCCACCTATACCTCACAAGGAGTCAGAAATCACTATCATCAATGCCAGGTTGAAAGAGTAGATACGTACCTTGCATTCCCATGTTTCCGCCCATTCCACCCATCATTGGATTCATACCACCTGACATGGGATTCATTCCCATATTAGCCATGGGATTCATGCCTGGCATGTTCATCATGTTCGGTCCACTACCCATACCACCACCGCGACCACGCATTCCTCCAGGTCCGCCCCGCATGTTGCCGCCCATCATGTTTCCACGATTGTTAAAGCCATAATTCTGCATTCCCATCTGATTTCCTTGAAACCCGGCACCGACCATTGGGTTTTGGAAACCACCCATGGGGTTCTGGAAGTTGCGATTTCCACCAAAGCCGCCCATGTTGGTTCCCATTCCACCGCGGCCAGTATAGCCTCCTCCACGCCCCCGGAAGCCCCCACCCATGTTGTTCAGAGGGGTATAGTTGGCTGTCGTCGAGGAGAAGCCGGGGCGTGATTGACCATCCTTCCGCATGATATTATCCTTGGGTAAAGTGCGGAATGGATTTGGCTGGGGACTGGTGTAGTTGACCGTATGCTTCCGCGCCGCCTGTCCCGAGGAGGCAAATGACTCGATCTTGTGTTTAGTAGCAGTTGCAGCCGGAAGCGATGTGAATTCAACAAACGCTTGCCTGGTAATTAAGAAAGAATTAGCTTGTGGCTTCGTTGATGGGCTAGGATAGTCTCCCTTGACTTACCCTTTGCTCTTCCCGTTCACCTTGTGCTCGCTAAATGTTACATCCTTAAGTTCATCCTCACACCCGCTTTCCCGAACCCAGCCGCGAATATCGTCATCGGTAGTCCACCAATACAGATCAGATATAAGCAAAGCAGGAGTGGCATCGGGATCAGTTGGGCGATCTTCAAGTTCCTTGCGTTTCACACCCTGCTGGGGGGCCGGTGTGTCTTTTTGCATTTGCTGCTGATTTGCCGTATCTGCGTGTGTTACATGGTCGCCATTAGCTGTTGGGACGGCTTGTTCATGCTTCGCATTGGCTTTTGTCGACACATTGCCACCATTCTGGGCACTATCAGGTGCGTCTAAAATGAGCTCCGTGTCATCCTGCTTCATCTCATCGTCGTGCTTGTATTCCCCCTGTTCATTGGCGTTGTAGCTACCGCCATCTCCATAGATGTCAATATCGAAGTTATCATCTTCAGTAGCCATCGTGCTTAGATATAGACCGGAGTCTCAAGGCAAAAATTGATTGCTTGATTGGTTTGATTCAATATACAGTCCTTTTTTTTTTGTCTCTTTTTTCTCTCTTTTCAGTCTCGATGAATCAATGCAAGTACATGTCTGCAGGCGTAGGCTATCAATTAGCACAACGAAAGTCATTTCACTTGATAAGCACAGGAAAACTTTTTTGTAAACAGCCCAAAACCCGGGAGGGACACCAGGATACCACCTGGGGTAAATGCTCAAGAACACTTTGCAACTTTGAAAGATGGAGGCGAGATATGAACAACAACAGGAGAACAACAGCAGAAAAAGAAGGCTCGAAAATACGTACAATCCGAAGCGAACACAGCTTCAAAGGGAACAAAGTCTTCACCAGTCCGGATGTGACAGCTCTGAAACGGGAATGCAGAGCGTCTCTCTCTTCTTGTTTGGATAATCCAAATACAGGTAGAATGGGATGAGAAGTTGGGTCAAATATGAAAGATGGGTACGGAGGATAATTCCACAGGAGTGGCGCCCGTTGTCTTTCCGGTGCCACAGCCTTGTGCTAGAGAACAGGTCTAGTCAAACTCTTCAATAAGAGCACAGGAAATGAAAAGGTTGGGGGAAAGGAAAGCAGGAAATAGAGCCGTCTGTAAGGTCAGTCAAACCCGCCCTGAACACCGATATTATCCAGGAAGTACTCAGGATTTCCGCCTAGATAGTATCCCCTGAATTGTAACGGCCAGCGCTCGGGTGAACAAAAGGTGGGACGGCGATAAAGGTGAGAAGCGATAGGAGGAAGGTAATGGTAAATGCAAGAGGCGACTGAAATGGTGATGGGGGGCAAAATAAATCCCTTGAAAGACGTGTCCGAAGAAGGACGATGTCGGGTGGAGCGCGGCGCGATAGAGAAAGGACGACAACTGAGCTTCGAGCTTTCTGCAGCTGAGACCGGGACACGGCTCAACTATAACTCCGGGCCAACTGTTTTCCCCGTGATATTTCACCGCCAACGTTATTTTAATATTTACTTCGCGCTCAAGATTCAAGGTAGCTAATTGATTATCATTCAATTTCTGTAAATTGCGCTCTCAATATCCCGGATAGAATAAATAAAATCTCCCCAACACTATGTCTTAGACATGCTTCCAGACTTGTGATTTTCTTTATATTTATCGAGTCAAAAATGCAATATATCCCAGATATTGACCGCCGGTGTATATATGGCTCATAAAAGAGTGTAAATGAACGCTTCAAAAATGAAAATAAAAAGCAACTCAGGATGTATGAGCCTGGTAAAGCCTCATATCTTTTGAATTTACCACCACACATCCTCCGCCTCATCAGAATCCCGGAATTCCACAGGATGGGTTTTGAGGTGGTTTCTGGTTTTGTGATCGTTGAATTCTGGAATATAATTTAACTGAGAATCATAGCTTCCCCCTACTGGAGGATCGCCTTCGTCTTCAGAAGCATTGCTGTTCCAAGTATGGAGCGTGCAGGTGCCGGTGGAGTAGCCCCAGCCATTCCAGGACGTTGCTGCCCAGGGTTAGACAATACCGATCAATAGAAAGCGAGAGAAATTTGCTTACCGGCTAAGACAGGAACATTGGGATGCCAGCTAGCATCCCGCACACATGTCCTCCATGCACTCTCGCCGCTCCTACTCCGGAAACGAGGATCGTGGGGGCGAGAATCAACCGTCGCGTATTTGGCATCAATCGTCCCCGCCAGGGTTGCGTCTAGATTGTAGACATAGACCTTTCCATCCTCGCTACCAGTATATACATATCTGGAGTTTGTGCTTCCTGGGGGGGAGAAGTGGCATCTAATCAATGTCTTCAGAACTCTGTGGCCTCGGAAAGTAACCACGGAACAGTCATGCGGATGCGGTTCATAAAAGTCATCTGGATAAGGATCGAATCGGTAATCAAACCCGGTTGAAAAGCTAGTGGCCTCGAGTGTATCAAATTTGGCGGTAGACATCATCTTTCGCAAGTCCCAGAGTTTCATGGTCTGATCTTTACCGTTTGAGAGAACATATCGGCCATCACCCTTGCTATCGACGTAAGTCAAGCCTTCCGTATGTCCCATAAACACACCAGCCTCACGTCCATCACCCATGGATCGTCTGTCCCAAACTCGCACGGTCGTGTCGTCAGATCCAGAGTAAAGGATATGGGGCGAGGACGTGTCCCCAAAGCACACGGCATTCACGTCGTCTTCATGGTTCTGTATGCGAAGCACTGATTGTCTTGTTTCAAGGTCATAGACAATGACAGAGTGGTCGCTGGTGCCAGCAACAATTTCGCGACCATCTCCTGAATATCGGACGGACCAAACCTATTCACAACACGGTTAGTATAAATATACAGTAGTCTCTGGAGAATAATAGGGCATACTGCGAATCCTGACCTCCCAAATAACCCGCGCCCAACTCTTCCACCAGGCATAGCGGAGAGGTCTAGTATAGAGGGATCCGACTGATCATCTGGATCGGTGGAAGCAAGGCAAACAAGATTTCGGAGGGAACTATAGGCCAGAAATCTGTTGTCTGGACTCAGGGTAGCATCTGTAATAGTCCACTCCCCAAATGGATAGTCTACAGTCTTGTAGTACTTCCACTCGTAAGGATTGGATGTATCGTACATACGGACCTTGAAGTCCTGTGCACAAGAGAAGAAAAAGTTACCATCGTCAGAAAATTGACCCGAGTAACATTTTGCGTTATAGTGAATGATTTTATCCGCGGTAGAGCCGGGTATTAACCCCTACAAGTAGCCAAGTGTCAGGATAACGTTAATAATCATCATCCGCGCCTACTCACCTGAGTAATCGATTGTACCTCCCTCTTCTGCACTCGGGGGCCATTGATTCCCAGCTCTCGCCACATCATCTTGGACATAAGTGACTTCTTGCGCTTCATCCGCTCATCAACATAGTCCGACTCGTTCCCGAAAATCCCGGACCTCATCAGGGTTGTGCCCTCATCACTTGGAACTTTAGGGTACTGAGGAGCTCCAGTCCGTCGTGGTCGTCTCCCGTATCCAAAAAACCCAAACTCTTCGTCGTCTTCGTCCTCGTCTTCAGCATCACCGCCGAGACCAGGACGGAATCCATTGTACTGGAGGATGTGTCGGAGGCCGCTAGAGGTGAGTATATTCAGTAAGCGTGTAGCAGAAACTACTCAGAATCAGCATGGGACCCTAAACATTAACCAAGCCTCTGGGTTCTGAGAGGAGACATTTCTACCTCTTGTATGCCTTGCCGCGGAATCCACCCCAGCGTCGTCGTCGTCGGGTTCATCCATCGAAAATTCGATATGTATGTTGCGAAGTTGCAATTCAGGGTCTTGAAATACTGCACAGAATCACCTGAAATTAGTATCAAAATCTCAGAAAAATAAACGAAGCCGAGGAGAACGGGCATAAATACTGGAAGGTCCCTCGGGGTCCTCCTCGTCGTCGTCCACTTGGTCATCCAAATCAGCTCTGTCTTCGGATATTTCAGATTCTGGCTCAAAGTCCATATCATCATCTTCTTCCTCTACTTCTTCCCCTTGTTCAAGCCATTCTCTCGCGGGGTGCCATACACCCCCAGAGTCACTCTGGTGCGAATCGTCCCGTCGGTCACCACCAGCGGGAGGGGCGTTGGATGAGCTCATGTTGGGTTAAAGGTAAGCGGGGTACATGCAATCGGAGGATAGATTCTAAGGGGTCATAGATATCAAAGATTCATTTCCTGTTCAATACCTAACGCAAGGAAGGATGGAGACCACTACGAAGAGGAGAATGCTGTTTCTCGCAATTGGCCGGGAGCTTGGGCCGGATCATGCATAAACTCATGTAATCTCGGGGGCTCTTCACAAGTGCTTATCGATAAAATAGTGCCACATAACTATGTCATCCCGTCCACCCCCTCCTTCGGCTTTGAGAGGTTAGTTAACTCCTATTTCCGGAGTCATCCCCTCTTTCACTTACTGTCCTACATCTTCTGTTCTACTCTCATCTACAAGATCAAGAAAGATAAGAAAATCCAGGCATCTGCCTGTAAAATACACCCATCCGACAAAAGAAAAATATGAAAAATAAAGAAAGATTTTCCAGATACTGGAAAGTTCTGATCAAATATGTCACAAAAATCCCGAAACGACTGACCGCAGGATATTAAAACATGCAAAACGCCGGGTATAAAACCGTCAAAGCAATTCAAAATATAAAATCCAGGGCAGGGAATGAAGAAAGGCATACATCATACTAATCTTAGTATATCCCAGCGGCCACTAGCCAGGCTGACATATATTTGCGGATTTGGGGGCACCTCCAGCTATTACCTTCAGCACATCATCATCTGTTGTGAGAGACGGAGGCGGAATTCCCAATTCCCAGTCCTCTGATTCAGTGTTATCCATTGCTGGGGTTGACTTTGACACTGCCGCTCTGAGTGCAAGAACCCCTGCGATTGCACGGATCCTGACTCGTAAATGAGCTCGTCTCTTTAGGGAGGACTGTCGTGCGATTTGCAGGTTTGCCGTGGAGCATTCATGATCTCTCCCCCGGGCAAGATAGAAGAGACGATACACAGGGATATCTAGGTTCATGTCAGTCAACGTGACAGTCTGGATACACGATGTCTAAAGGTGAGTTAACATACGTGCATTGTCAATAATCCAGGGCGCAAATCCATACAACCCTTGCAAGGACAGAGCAGAGAGATGCTGCGGCTCTGAAATGACGAGTCTTTCATGCACACAGGTTAAGAACGATCGCTGCACTTGAGTTGCGTCCAGGTAACGTTCGAAGTAGAATAAAACGTCAAAATCTTGTGGAATATGCTCTTCATTGACTGATCCTGTCCTTTTGCCAAGACTACAGAATTGCCCTAGACTTTTCTTTTTCAAGTCGTCTTCGTCGTCCCCATAGGTCCTCTTCAAACGTAAAGCAAGAACCGTGCTGTTGAACCCTACGAGTCGGCCAGGTTTCTCAACAGACTTGGATGAAGTGCCGAGTATCAATTGGTCTGAACTCAAGGCGGCCTTCATACATGGGTCTGGGTCGAAAAATGTCTTGAATTTATTCAAACCAAGTAACTGGCTCAGGTAAGGACAGCCGATGCTGCGCTCCTGGCTAGTACTCATGAAACAACCTTCAGTGCTAGCTCGCTTCAGAGAGATTTTCAGACTGCACAGGTGACATTTGTCGATAACTGGGCCCAGTTTTTCGCATTGTTTACAGTCACCAAAAATGTGCCCACAGCTTCCACAGGGGTTTTTTTTAGCCCCTTGTTCATTTTAGGGCGAGAATCCTTTTTGGAGTGTTTGTCAGTCCCATCATCTGGTAGTCTGTTCCTTCGTCCTCGAGCAGAATCTGGATTTGGGGAATGGGAAGGCGCATCACCTAGTATCAGCTTCTTGATTCCAGAAGCCCGCGAGCAAACATTCTCCCCGGAACCAAGAAAATTGTGATACTCCGGAGAACTGAGTCGCTTTGGAACCGGTTCTGAAACTTCTACAGGGGTGTCAAGGCTGGGACACGGAGAGATCTCAGGGCTCTCCTGGGCTTTCAAAAAGTTGACACCGTAGGAAGCCTGATACCTAGAGGAGCTTCCATAATACATCAAATTCCCCGCGCCTTGGGTTTCATATCAGTTCTCGCCACCACTTGTGCCCTGGGAGCCTCTCATGCCACTAGAATCTGAAGGAGGGAATTGGGCGCCTCCAGAGCCGTCGTCCCGGCCTCCATTGCCATCATTCCTATCATCTCCATCTTGCCTTTGCCGATGACCATTTTGGGTTAAAGCGCAGTGAGAGCAGAGGCAGTTTAGGAGGCTTTTCCACGAATCCACGGGAGTGCCGCAAAATAAACAAAAGGTGGGTGGTGACAGCTGTGTTGAATTTGCCTTGATTTCCTCTTTGGTTAATGGTCCATGACCTGAGTGTGCACCTCTCATATGGTTATGCAATTTGTCTCTCCGCCGTGAGGTAAAATGGCATAACCGACATGTGAACTCAAATCTCTGGGCATGATCAGTTGTGATATGCCTGCTAAACGTCCCACGGTTGGTGTAATCCGTCCTTTTTCTCTCATCGCAAAGAAAACACCGGAACAAGTTTGTATTCCCCCTGTTCCCATCCTGGGAAACCTGCTCCTCCTCCCCTTTCTCTTCCTCTTGTTCGGGTGAAAGAAGATGTTCAATGATCTCCACAGCTTCTGAAAAACATGGCTTGAGTATATCAAAACCTTGGGGGTCTTGAGTATAGTGTGAGCTGTCGGCAATGATAATCTCTTTAACCCTCACTAACTTCTGCCAACGTTGCTGTGACAGAGAAGCAGGGCCAACAGGAGAATATAGGGAAATCGCCTGCGAATCCACAGGTGGGTTGGGGCCCAAAAACCCAGATTGGGAGAGGTATGGGCTTGCATCGCCATCACCAACGACAGAGAAACTGTCGAATCTCGCGGGAGCAACTTGCTGTGCGTGTTGGGCGAAAGATTGGTCAAATAGATTGCCACAAATGCCTTGCTGGTTAAGACCTGCCGCAGAAGCAAGGCTGAGGTATACTCTCGGGTTATCGATGGAAATTTCCGGGCTAGCTTGTTTTTGGAAGGGTTGGGCGAAGGATTGATCACACGGGCTCCTACCGGCATCCTGTTTGATAAGGCCTGAGCCCTGTGGATGTCTCCTTGACATATCTGTCTAATGGGGGCCAGGAGGACTGAGGAAAGGGGAAGGCGTCACAGAGGTAGAAGAGGAGGGAGTGGCAGGGCGCTGAGAGGGACAGCGACGACAGCAAAGGGAATAACTTTTCAGAAAAACGAAAATAGGAGAGAATCAGAACCAGCTTTGATCTTATAGTAGGCTGATTCCACCTTTCCGGCGAGGCTTTAGTGGCACAGTGATAGGATTGACAACGTCTCATATATACGGACTGAAGGGAAACCCGGGTAAACTGGCCAAGGTTATTATTATATTTTATTATTTTCATATTTAAAAAGAAAAACTAGAGTATGCCCAAATCACAAAAGGAAAGGAAAGGAAGCATAGAAACAACCCTTGGATCACCCAGCCCAACATCTACTAATACTTACTCGCAATGATTATTACGAGCATCCCAGGTAGTCCACTCAAGCTCCAATAAAAACGATAGTCTTCAGAGTATCGAACAACGCCTTAGGAAAGAGCAGAAAACAAGATTATTGTTGTTTTGCTTCACTATTTCTCTGGATAGTTATAATTCTTCTTCTTCTTCTTCTTCTTCTTTACAACTGTAGTCGTCTCCGCTCGTTCCTAGGTATCTTTGCGGGATCTAATCTCTGATCATTAAAAAAATTCAATAAAATAACAACAACAACAACAACAATAATAATAATAAAAAGAGAAAAATAAAAAAATAAAGATCTTTTCTCTTTTTACTTGTTTACACAAAAATCAAGCCTTATTTCTAGCCTAGATCTAAGGGCCCCTTTTAAGGGATTCCACAAATAGCCATATGCATAACTAGAGTACTCTATATCAAATGATGAAACACCCTAGGAACAAAGCTGAGAAATGTTACATCATAGATAGTTATTGCCTCTTGTTACTAGTAGGTACTTTGTAGTACATCAGGTCTATTCAGAATTTATTTAACCATCATACTGGTTTCAGCTTCCTCTACGTAGCTTCCATTTCACCCAGGGCATAACCATGGTGGAGCAGTCACAGGTAATGAAAGAGCTCACCAATTTTAAGAATCCAGGAATTAGAACCAGCTGATAATTCATGTTACAGTTTGGAAGAAGAAAAAAAGAGTAAGGCTGATTGATTCTAGTATTCTATCAGATGTCATGTATAACTAGTACTTTCTTCTTTAAGTACCTCACTCAGTATCAAAGTAAAGTACCTTTTTTTAGTTCCTGTTGGTGCCTACCTTGACACCAACCTACTAAGGCAACAACAACCTTTTCTCTGTCTGCCTAGAGAGGATTGGGTGCCTAAACTCTGGACATTCTAACTTGCAGCATGATTATTCCTTCCCAGGCCTCATTCCATTTATGGGGTTATTGTTTACATCGTACCTTGAACCGGAATCGGCCTTCTTTCCCCGCCAGCACCATCCTGGTACGGTTTGCCGTTGTGTTGCTCTTCGAAGAACTAAGCCACCGCGTTCCTGACTGATTAGCAAGTGGGAATCGAGACGAGAATCACCCTTTTTGCTTCTCACAGGGGGCCCGGGGGTTAAACAAGTGGAGACAGTGGCTGAACAGGGTTGAAATTAATAAATCTCCCGTCCGCTTGATGGAGTTCCGCCGTCCAATCACTGCCAGACCGAGGAGGGTGATTCCACGATTCTAGCAGTTTACCAAAGGCCCCGGCAGACGGCTTGCTTCCTCGCTTTTGCGTGATTGTCGCCGGGTCCGAAAAGAACCCTCCCAGCCGTCAACTTTAGTCACTTCTTAAGTTCCTTCATGTTCTGCGCGGATGTATGCTTCCGGCCCTTCAGGCGTTCGGGTCCCTGGAATGGTGTGTGTGTGTGTGTCACTCACTCGGTATGCTTGTCTAGCTTGCAACTATCGAAACCGAGTCGTGCGTGTACGCCCGAAATGCGAATATCAAGAATCCAGGAGTCCTATGAGGGGCCTAGAAACATGCGGTGTCGGCTGTTTGAGAAATAATCATACAAATCAAATCCAGAATAATATCCGCGCAAAGAGAAAACTAGAAGGTCACTACGAAATACCTAGGGTAAAGGTACGTATCTATCTGGGCTTCCCTTCTCTTTCTGGCTGGCATCCTTTTGCACCGCCACAGCTTATGACATATTGTAGTTCAAGCTTTAATTCAGGAACTGCGGTCTGTCTTCCCGATAGAATGATTATTCTCGTATATCATGTAGGAGATCAGTTCCTCATACTCAATCAAAGACACAAATGCTGCAATCTATTTTCTTTCTCTCTCTCGGAATATTGGAACCTGTCAGTCTTTTCTGCAGGCGCATACAACAGTCATATGCAAAATAAATAAATAAATAAATAGAAAAAATAGAAAAAATTAAAATTAAACCCAAATAATATTCTTATCTTGTGCTAACCCCTTTTTTCTCTCTCTTGTTAATGATGAGAGAGAGAGAGAGAGACTGTTAGATGATTTATCCACCTATTAATGATGTATCATCTATGTTTTAACAACCATGAGGCATAGTTAGTTAACTAGGTAACTGGTTAGAGAGCCTTGCCCTCGCTTAGATGTCCCGAGTTTAGACCAAGGATATCATTCTTTTTGCCTATCTTTGGTAGTCTATGATGATGGGCATACTCTGTACTCCGGGCGAGTGAGTTTTACTCACTCGCCCACTAACTAACTAACTAATCACTAGTACTAAGTAGGTAGGTAGGAAGGTATGAATCCCAATTATTCTGGACTTTTATTAACGGAATTAGGATCTGCTTTCTATATCTGGAAGGCGACAGTATGTACTTCAGGTATTACGAGTCCGTGTTTCAACAATATCAGGCGCAAGCTCCAAACACCTGCTCTGCAGTTAGTTTATAAGCTCCTAGGTACTACATAGTTCGTACTAACTATAAATTCAGGAAAAATAAGACCATGAAATGAAAGATTCAGATCAAGACAAAATATTAGCATGTTATAGCTAACCTGGTTCTAATTTACATGACTTGGAGAAGGTAGCAAGTCTGGATGTGTTTAGCCATAGGGTATATGAAGGATTATTCCCCTTCCCTTCCCTTGACTCGTTTTTGGCAGCTGTCTGGACTGTAGCGGGCGTTGGGGGGGTGTGATGCGGCATAGGTTCACTCGCATCACCAACCCTTTTGCTTTTGCTTTTTTCTCTTTTTCTCGGTAAACACAGAATGTAGCGCGCGTGCGGGGTAAGAGGAGGAGGAAATCCTCCCGAGTTAGCTACCATATCTAAGATAGTAGAGTTCATGCAATGTCTTCGATCTGTCTACCGGTATACAGCCCTGCCAGTCCCGAAACACGAGAATCCCGATAAGATCGTCAGACCGCGTTTCTTTAACCGTGCATGCCACTGTGTAATGGAGAAAGAAGTCGAAATGGGGACGTAATTTTCGTCCGCGTCCCTCGCCCAACCCGACACTGACCACTTGACAGGGGCAAAACTACCTAGTAGCTCATGCTATCCTGGCAGTGCAAGCGATGAACGGATTACGCGGGTTACTGTGCTGCAGCTCTGCGATTGAGGCAGTGAGGGTGAAAAAAAAAAAAAAAAAAACAGCCTAAACAGGAAGAAAAGAAAAGAACCCAAGGAGAGAAAAAGACCCGGGTGCATAAGTTCAACTCTAGACACGTTCATTTGGTGGATTAGATACAAGCTTGTCTTGGTCTCACCGTTCTTTTTTTTTTTTTTCCCCTAACCCTGCCTTGCGCTGCCCTGTCTATTGATTGGGGGCCTTCCTACCTAGGTACGTATGACTATATATGATAGATATCCCCGGGTGTCTCCGGCGGTGAGGAATCATTTAAAGTAGACATAAGTCAGAGAACGATGTTTGGCCGTAGCTGCGCCTACACCTACTCCTATTCGTGAAAGGAATACGGAGTAAGAACTTAAAAGGGGACAGGGAGGGTTGAGCTCGATGGGGCGGAGCTATTATGAGGCACTTGTAACTATCTGAGAAGAAGTCAGGTGGAATGCTTCTTTCATCCTCAGGTAGCCATTCTGTAACATGCGATTGACGTTGGGCATGTTAAACCATGTACTGGAGGTTGCGTAACTGCAAGGTCCTCTATAATACGGAGTTGACACTTTTTCACCAAGTGGTTGGTGATCCATAACCTGTATCGCCCCTCCCAAAAACTTGACCGAATCGAACTCATGCAAATGAACGGGAAATCAGAATTGGTTTAATTTTTCTTCATTTAGGGGAATCTATGCACAGAATAAAGTTGTGCCAGAGCATCGAGAACCCTCCTTTTTTTCTCGTCACAAATGCAAACTCCACACGTGGATGTGAAAAACCCAGAAACACCAAACAACCGCTGCGACCATTCCATTCGTTTAGATGTGGGTGTCGTAAGGGAGAGGAACGATGGTCTCGGCGGCAGCACCCTCGACAACGTGGGCCTCACGGGGCATAGCGGGCTGTCTCTTGAGGTGGAGGTGGACGCCCTGCTCCTTAGCTTGGAGCTTCTTCTCGGCGTTCTGCTTGACACGCTTGATGAAATCCTCACGCGAGCGGGAGTGCTTGACGTGCTCGATGCGGACGTTGATGCGCTTCTCCATGTAGCGGTTGCCGACGACCTTGTAGAGGAGGACACCGACGGAGGACTTGGTGACGTTGTAGACGACGCCGGTCTTACCGTTGTAGACCTTGTAGGGCATACTATTCCGTGTCTCAGTCAACTCATTCTTTCATACTCACAATTTTTGTGAAATCGAAATCCAGACTCGTCCAAGGCTTTCGAGGAAAAAAGGAAGAAAAACTGACCCCTTCTGAACGGCACCGTTGACCTTGACATCCACAATATCGCCAACCCTGTAAAAAAACGTTTATCAGAACCTGCTATCCCATATTTTCATAATCAATTCTCTCGAGGGGGGTTTTTTTTTTTTTTTGTTTCGTCGTACCGGTAGGTCTTCAGGTAGGTCGACAGGCGGATCTGGCCCTTCTCGCGGAAGTTACGGCTGAAGGCATACTGCAATCATCGTCAGCGGGCACGCTCTTCGAACCCCCAAGTAAATCGTAGACAATAAGAATATGGTATCAACATACCCGGGTGCCGGATCGGAGACCGTGGGAGTGACCCATTTTGACGGTTTTGTTGGTGCTGGAGTTGAGAACTTGTCGACAACGAAAGAAGCCTCCTTCTGATGTCGTCTTCGCGATGTTCGACTTTTCGGATGCTTAGTGCGCCGCCCTCCGCCTTGGGGTCTAGCCCTACCCACTAAACCCAACCCGGTATGGTGGCTTTCATTCGCTCCACGGGCTCGGTTAGGGCCCATCTCCTAAAGTCGTTCAACTTCAAAGACTTGGTGAAATTCGTCCTGCTTTAGTGTATTCGACAACATCGCGACACCGCGCAATCAGCAGCCATGGCCCCCGTCCCGTGAGTATATACACTCTGAGTGAGATTCTCAATGTGTCGCCTCTTCTAATTACCGTTCTTGCAATGCAGGCGCGTTTACTCCAAGACCTACAAGGTCCCTCGTCGTCGTAAGTAGCCATCGCAATAAAAAAAGAAAAAAGAAAAAAAAAAAAAAAAAAAAGCGAAAACCTCCAAATTGAAAATCTTTGTGCTAACTTCTATTCAGCTTTCGAGTCTGCTCGTCTGTTAGTACTCTCCGGCCACTGAACAGAAGCGTGCTTCTGTTTATGTCGTGTTTTCCGCCTAACATGGTGTATCTAGTGACTCGGAATTGAAGATTGTCGGCGAGTACGGCCTGCGCAACAAGCGTGAGGTGTGGCGTGTCCAGCTCACTCTGTCCAAGATTCGTCGTGCTGCTCGGTATGAACCCCGCCAAGAAGAATATATTTTTTGAAGGGTAGGAATGGAATGGCTAATGGAACTCCCAGTGAGCTGCTCACCCTCGACGAGAAGGACCCCAAGCGTCTTTTCGAAGGTAATGCTTTGATTCGTCGTCTGGTCCGCATCGGTGTGCTCGATGAGTCCCGCATGAAGCTCGATTACGTCCTGGCCCTCCGTGTTGAGGACTTCTTGGAGCGTCGTCTCCAGACCTGCGTGTACAAGCTTGGCCTTGCCAAGTCTATCCACCACGCTCGTGTCCTGATCAAGCAGCGCCACATTCGGTAAGCACCATTCAACAGCTATTTCATGAAGGGTTATACGCTAACACCCTCAAAGTGTCGGCAAGCAGATCGTCAACGTGCCTTCCTACCTGGTCCGCCTGGACTCCCAGAAGCACATTGACTTCGCCCTCAGCTCCCCCTTCGGTGGTGGCCGTCCTGGCCGTGTCCAGCGCAAGAAGGCCAAGGCTGCCTCCGGCGGTGATGACGAGGGTGAGGAGGAGGAAGAGTAAATGATCAAAAATAGGAGTACGGCGGGTTTCGTTATGGAAAAGTAACTCTCACGGGGCTTTGATGTCACTGCGGCATAGCGTATAATGTTGTACGACTTTCCAAAATGGATGAATACCAAAAAAAAAGTAGCCTACGCCTCAATTTCGAAACCTGAATCATTTTCATAGACTCCTTCTAGTACCTGTAGATCTCATAGACATGTGCGCCACGCTCCACCCATACCTTTATTAGTCAATCCCAAACGCCATCCTTCCGGATATCATAAATCGTGCAGTGTTCGCAATCCCCGGATCAACCCTAACCTTCCACGCCCACGAGGTTCTTAAGTGCTTCCTCCGCACTTCTATACCATCTTCCTGCTTCCTCAAGCCCATCGCTTTCGCCCTCCTGTTTCTTCCTCTGTGCTTCTTTGGCTTGATAGATCGCGTCCGTCTTCCGTCGCTCGAGTATGCTAAGTTCTCGTTCCATGGCCTCGGCCTCTCGTGTCTTTCGTGGCAAAGTGTTCTGCACTGCAGCGAGCTGTCGATTAAGTGCAGCGAGTTCAGCCTCTCGTTCCGCCAGAAGAGACAGCGTTGCAGGGAGTGGAAGATTCTGTGAAGAGGAGGAAGCATGCGTATCGGAGGATTGTTTCGCCCGCAGCGTAGCGATAGTAGATTCGAGGTTTTCAATCGATTCAGGGAGAGTCTCTAGCTGGGTCATTTGTAGCTGAACATTCTTGTAGCCTGTCAGGCAACCCAATGTTAGTTCATATTCTTTCCCATCCCATCTGTATAGAAGGCTAAGCGCACTTACGACTTGCAAGATCTCTAGCAGTCTTCTCCATATCCTCTATCATCATCCGAACTTCTTCTTTGCGCGCCTTAAGTTCTGCCTTCACTTCCGCCAACTGCCCCTCCAGTTCTACATTCTCATTATGGCCGACGACGAGGGGAGGATCGCCCACGATAGCGCGCAGGAACTTCTCTTTTGTAACTTGTTCGACGTATGAAAAGCGCAGTTTGGAAAATAATTCCTTACGTCAAACGTCAGCCAAATTGCATCGCCGTTGAGGCCGGGGAACCCAATTCATACCTTGTAGTGTGCCAGGTCTGCCACGAGGGACGCTGGAGATGGGTTATCAAGGGCAGAAACATCTGAATTACGCTTTGAAGGTGACGGCCCTGGATTTTCTGCATCCGGAGAAAAAATCGGCTCACTGATTCGAATGATGGAAAGTTGGGTTTTTAGGTCACCATGATCTTCCTCGAGTTGCTGGAGCTGTTGTCGTATCTGGGCAGGGTCTGGCGTTTCCATTTTGAATGAGGTATAAACCGCCTATCTTGTAAAGAAAAATACCGATTTCAAGAGACCAGCAACCACAATATTAGATCTTCACGACGTTGATCGAAAAGCGGCAGAACTCGTGGAGGTAAACAAAGCATCGAAGCGGGCGCTTGATCGATACCTTGGGCGGTGAAATCATCTATCGCCCGCCCAGAATACTCACTTCCAGCTCTCATTCATGCGACATCAAGAGATATCCTCCCAGCCATCCTCCTGCGCTGTAAATGGTGACTGCACAGATGGAACCTGTTTGGCGTATTTCATAAACTGGTGTGATGTAGCCAGAACCCTGCTTCGAGCTTTCTTTCGTTCCTCGATTTCCGATTCCCAGCTCTGTCGCCGCAATCATGCCTCCAGGTTTCGCAAAAAAGGCAGCTGCGGACCCAAATGACGATGACTACGTTGCGCAAGTACTCTCAATGGAGGCGAGGAGCAGCTCCTTGAAGTACTCTTCCCTTGGGATGGAAGCATATGTGCCGAAAAGGTACGGACCCCTCTGCTTTATGTTATACGATTGATGATATCTAACTCATTGCTTCCCACAGGCCTACAGGCGCGGCCCCTAAACCCAACACCCGGTTTCTTCGCCATATCATCAAAGAGACCGATAATCATAATGCTGCGTTGAAGAAGAAGGAGGAAAGGGAGGCCAGAGAGCGAATGCGACAGCTTCGAAACCCGCCTTCTTCCTCCCACAGGAGCAGTAAAGATCATCGTTCTCGCCAATCCAACACATCCGACAGCCGAGATTCACGGCGAGAAAGAAGGGATGATCGTGATGACAGACATCGTTCTCATCGACGAAGGCCAAGGAGCCGTTCACCTTCTACAGAGAGGGAACGATCATGCACCTCTCGACGAAGACATGACTCGCGTGACCGTGACGACGACCAGCACAGACGATCTAGGAAAAGTCATCGGCGCCGGTCTTACTCCAGATCGCGGAGTCGATCTCCACAGAATGAAAAGGGCAAAAATTCTCGTCGCCACCGCCAACACCGAAGGCGTTCCAGCTCACCACGATCTCGCTCCCGGTCCCCTGAAAAGCGAAAGAGCAGAGATATACGAAAGCTATCACCACCACCATCTACATCGGCCTTTCGCAACGAGGAATCAGGGGACGAGTCTGACCCTCTGGAAGATTTGGTTGGGCCTCTTCCGGCCAAGGAAGCGCCTGTCCGCTCCCGTGGCCGGGGCGCATACAAACCCAACTCCAGCAACATCGACGCTCATTTTGCCGCCGACTACGACCCCACTCTTGATGTACAACCAGAGGATGACGATATACAGTCAGGTAGCAGGCTAACTCGCCGCGCTGTTGCAGGACTCATGACGGGAGACGATGATTGGGAGGTTGCCCTAGAAGCTCTACGGGATCGCACACGCTGGAAACAAAAAGGAGAGGAAAGGCTACGAGAAGCGGGCTTCAACAACGATATCGTTGAGCGATGGAAGAACAGCTCCTCCGCGGCGCCAGCCGGAGACTCTGAAGGGAGCTTAGAAAACGTCAAGTGGTCTAAAAAAGGTGAAGGCCGTGAGTGGGATCGCGGGAAGTTCATTGATGACGACGGACATATTGACGTCAAGGCTAGCTGGTAGGAGTGCTTTTTCGGAGTAGAATATTCATCCATGTACAAATAGCATACCTTGTATTGCATAGTTTTTTGCTGACCCTAGTCTTCCGACGGGCACTACGTACTATATATATTTTCTGGTTTCCGTGTAAACACACGCAGTATCGGAACAACAAAAAGTCACTATTATTCCTACAACTTACTCAGTATGATGTTCATAACGCATTTATAGAAATAGATGACGAGATTTAGGTAAGTTTTTACCTGGTCAATTGTAGCTCTCTCAGCAAGGGTTAAGTTTTGTCATGCTAGATATCACTCTCTTTGTCTCCCTGTCAAGATTTGGGGAAATCCTCTTCCTTCCACTGGTTGAATCGCATACTCGGATCTCCAGCTGTTGCCCCCGATAAATTCCATCAATGTGCTACCAGCCCAGGAGGAACAGGGCCAAAGAATGTGATTAACCGGGCCAGAATCTCCCAGCTCAGGTTCGACTCCCGCTTCCCTTTAGCTCTTTGAAGTCCGGGTGTACATAGAGCACAGTCCAGAACAGATAACGCGGCGGCTCGCTTGATTTCACGCTGGCCGTTGTTGTTTTTCGAAAAACCAATCGACCATAACATTGTCAGGCTTAATATCTGGGCAAGAAGGTTGTCAGTGCAGTTTAAGAACTAGTTATGTAGAGGGGAGATCATCTATGGATTATGTATGATCCCGAAACCTATGTAAATGGATCCTCAATGGTTTAGCGTGGAACCTCTCCACTGCCCGTCTCCGACGTCTTGGAAAATATAATCTATCTTTCTTGCGCGGAGTGGAAGATTCGAGTTCTTCCGAACTAGGGAAAGCAGGTCATGCTCGAAGTATTCATAAACAAGTACCAGTTCATCTTCGTTGGCGTCGACATGTGTTCGAAGTTGGTTCGTATCTGGACACCCCCGTTTGAGGGTTAAGGATTGCTCGAACGAAGATTGACTTGGAAACAGGCTTTAGAACAACGGGTTGGTTTTCGCAACTAGGGTTAGATCCATTACTGCCTAATTAGTAGGAAAGACTGGGAATACTACTGGGATTCTTAAGGGTGGTGAGACTTACTGCGCGCGATAGATATTTAGCTCTGGTCTTTTGGGATGCGCTCTGAGTACCTTGTCTCGTACATAAACACGACCCGAGGCACCAGCCAGGATTGAGGACATTCTGATTTTGATCCCTCTTGACTTGATGAATTTGCATAACAGTCCTACGGTCTGACTTTTATTAACAAGCCTTAAAGGGGATCCCTCGCTATGCTTTAGGTTATGGTAAGGAAGAGCTAGAAGAAACATCAGGGCCCCATATAAGGTTTATTTATAGAACAAACTTGGGGTAGATAAGCTTATCTTATCATCAGGGCATATACCACTTCTAATATGCTGCTAATGGGCATATGCTTGAACTAGATGCAATGCTGGCAGCAACATGCGTGGACGTATGCGACAAGTCATCTTGTGTAGATCTCAAAGGTGTTACTTCTCGGAGGGTTTCCTTATTGGGTATATTGACGAAGCGAAAACAAAGCATATTGACTGGCAAGGGACCATCCTCAAAATCTCATGATTATGCATCTATGGCAAATCCCAGTATGCATTCCGGTTGGACGGGGAGAAAGGTAAACAGATCCACTAATATGGTCTGCAAAGAAAGGGGGTTGGCTCTGGCCATTGCATCTGTGCAGCTCCGCAATGTCCTTGGCGACTCGTCGATCTTCCATTTCGCGTCTGAAGAACGTCCAATCGTTGCTCCTCTTCGACAGGCGGAGAATGTGAACGGGAATAGTGAATGTCTGCAAATGAGCAACGTTGAAGTCATAACGATGATTATTGATGTCGAAAACGATGTATGTGTGCCGTGGGTAGACATCAACAACAATATGCCGCACCGCATGCTGGATTTCCCAAGTTTTAACGAATGGCTCAACAAGATTGATTGCCGATTCCAAATAGTTGTCGGAGGTTAAGCGTTCAGTAGGTACATCAGAAATAATCCGAATCGTCCGCAGATCTCGAATAGCTTCGAGAACACGTCGGTTGACTTCGTCCATCACGAATGGGTTATGATAGAAATAGAGTGTAAACAGCGGATTGATGATTGCAAGGGGTTGAACATCTTGGATAGGAACGCTCTTTAAATCTACCTTATCCAGGTCACACATGAGTTTATTGCCTATGTTTGCTTATATAACCATGCGTGATTTGTTGACAGTAAGGCGCTCCTCGCTATTCCGACTGATCTTAGGAGAAGACAGTGCGTAATACTTTGATGGAGGTGAACGATCAGCAGTTGAAAGGTCGATGAATTGACTGCGCCGCGCACAGGGCTCTGGACTAGGAAGAACATTGCCAGAAACATTGTATAACGCTGCCGTTCCTGCCCCCGCCACCAGTTGGACAAATCTATGAGATGGCCACGGATTAGCATAGTTTGTGGTCATTGTTTCTTACTTGGCACTGCCGAGTCTCCGAGGATAATGTGGTACGAAGCGAGCCACTCTCCACAGACAACAAGCCTGTATTCGGCCATTCATCTCCCCGCTAACGCACTGGCATCTCCATGATGGGGATGAAATCAAGAACCCTGTTTAGTCTTCACTCACACGGACAAGAGAATGGACGATATCGATGTTCAAGATCTTTTAGCTCCGCTCGTAATCAGGCAATGCCCATTTGACCATCCACTCCGATTTTAGTACCTCTTCAGCAGTCGGTCGCTCTTCCGGTCGGAATGACAGCATCCGGCGGATCAAATCTAGAAATGCAGCTTTCTCGTCTTCCTCAATCCCGTCTCCTAACTTCCGTCTCCATTTCTGTACACCGATCTCAAATGACTCCTCAAGCGAAGGCCATCTATTTTCCCTGTAGGACTCTATTGGACACCCATACTCATCGAAATATTCAGGTCGTCCTTCCCAGCGCTGCCACCAATCTAGAGGCATAGGTCCCAGTACATCGATATGCTGAGACACTATCTCATCCTCATGCACAAAATCGGTGCTAAAAACGGCCTTCATTCCGATGATCTCCCAGATTGCCGTAGCCAGACTCCAGATGTCCGAGGGATATGAGAGCGGGGTCTGCGATTCGAATTTGGCTTCTGGAGCTCGAAACGCAGGTGGCGTATGGCAGTCTTGCCCAAGACGAGCCTCCGAAGCGGGGGAAAATGCCTCACCAAAGTCACTTAGAAGTGGGTGCGCGTCGGATAAAGAGAACTTCTCTGCGTATTTCCCTAGGAACAGCGGTACAACTGCCTCGGCTGGGGCATTAGGGGGTAATGGTTTCCCACCGCATCGTGTGACGGGGATTGTCTCAGGTTCGCCGTATTTTTCATATAATTGCTGGATAGAAAGGTCATCGAAACTTGACGGGAGCTTGACCAAAATGTTGCTTAAATGAATATCTAAATCAACAATGTTTTGAATATCAGCTTACTAGCATGAAACCCAAGTAGATATCGTCACCGTCAGACAAACCAAACCTCCATGAACATAGCCTTGCGAATGTGTATAGGCAACGGCCTGCGCAAGTCCATATGATAGTGCTCGAGCCACTTCGAGGGGGAAGAGACGGCTGAAGGATATTTCTCTGAGGTTGCATTGTGCAGGGGTCACCGTGTAGCATGTATGTTTTCCATTAGGACCTTGCACTTGGAATTCATCCAGGAGAGCAGGTACTAAACAATGCCCAGGGTGTGTAGGCGAAGACGACGGGAGCGGAGCAGACAAAGCCTTGAGGGCTTTCGTCTCGCGCGGACACGAGTCTGCTATGTTGACCTTGACAGCAACATATCGCTTTAGATGAGTATCTTGGGCAAGCCAAACCGTCGAATAGCCCCCAAAGCCAAGTTTGTCGGCAATGTAATATCGGCCATGTAGCACATCCCCGACCATGATCGGATGATAACCCCCAGGCTGATATTCTTCGAGTGTTTCCACACCCTTGATCCAGTTGTATTCAATGCGATGTTTCTCGACCATTGTGGAGCCCAGCCGCGCGGAACACGCCAATCTGAGCTTTCGAGGACGCCAAAAAGATCCGAAAACTGGAATTGAAGGTCGAGAGGAGGTCGATGACATAGAAAATGAGACAGGGTTCGCAAATATTTTCAAGCAGTGTGCCATGATATTTGGCGTGATTGTTCAAAAGAATGGCTAGAAAGGGTCTTCAAATTGTGGAGGTGAATGGATGCATTGATTGGATAAATAATCTACTCTATCGTCGAATGGGACTATCCCTAGGTAGGAAATTAGGTACCTTAGGTACCTGGTAGACTCTATGTATTATGTAAGTAAGGATAGCGACAATTGACAAATCTTTGTAAAGATTTTATCCCTAAAAGGGATATCATAATCGCACCTCTTTGTATGTTACGTGATTCACGGACTATAGTTAATCCATACTGGGTAGAAATCTTCAATACCTTACGTCATTCATTTGTATCATTGAATTCTGCGAATTCTGCTATATTCTATTGTATTCTGTAACTATTCTTACAATTTTTTTGTATTACTATTAGTTACAGTGAGCGCCACCAATTCTGCACATTTGTCAGACAGCGGAATTCCTCAGTCCCGCTTCCCCCCATACATATTCTTAATCAGATAAAATCCTTTAGCTTGAATCTATACTTTAATTGGATATATTCTATTTCACATTGAAAGAAAACAAGAGTCAAAGAAATCAAAAACAATGACCGACCAATTCGCCTTCTCTTATCCCTCCCCGCTAGAGGGCTACGAAAACCTAGAGCCACTGTCGGAGTACGTTCCTCAGACGAATGTTCAATTGCATTCCATTGCCATTCCCCGACTTCGCTATAGTACTAACATTCATACAGTGAGAGAAACGCCGACGGCAAGTCGCTGAAAAACCCGCAACATGGGATCTTGAGTAAAGCCTACGAGGAGTTTCCGGATCCGCTATCAAAGGACCGAAGAGGAGGGTTCGATATTCACATTTATCACTTTCAGGTTAGTAGTTTCCGCCTGCATTATTAAAGTAGAGTATAGTTACAGGGACGGATCTGATCTCACCCTTTGCTTGCTTGCAGAACAACCCAGACCAGGTAACATTCGCAAAGGCTCTTTACGAGCGAATCCGACGTGAATGTAAGCCACCACATATCCTAGCTTCTCCCCTCTTCGTAATCGATCTACCGTGTGCTTTCAAGCAAGCAAGAGAAAAAAAAAAAAAAAGACTAACAGGCGCAGTTCCCGAACTTCGAATATACGCCTTCTTTGACAAACCCGTCGGTCCACACCCGATCGCAATGTTCGAAGTGAATCTATTTACCCCCGCGCAATTCGGCGCTTTTGTGCCCTGGTTAATTGTGAATCGGGGTCCCCTGAGTGCATTGCTGCACCCGAACACAGTCGATTCCGAAGAGGAGCGAAATCACACGCAGCGGGCGACTTGGCTGGGGGAAAGGGTTCCGTTGGATTTGCGGATCTTTAAGCTGGAGAAGGAAAGGCAGAGGCAGGAGGTATAGGTAGCCCTGCAGTAGACTGGATGTAGGTGTACTCCGTACGGGAAATCTGATGTAGTTAATAGTTAATGAATTGGAATGACCAATATCAGTGAACTAGTATATTCCTAACATCTGGCCTTATAATTTACTTAGTTATGACCACTTGGCTGCAGTAGATTGTTTTTAGAATACTACTACCTATGTACTGTAGTTACAATGATACCATCATCATCACAGGAGCACTTTTATTTAGATAGTCATGCACGTATCCGATCGGCCCCGCGTCTGATTCAGGGTTGACTGGCTGGAGATCGCCGACGTTATGCGATAGTACCTAGGAAATCTGATCCCAAGAGATGATTTGTTCAGATGACTCTTCAGGGGCACCACCTTACATCACGGGATGTCTTTGTCTTTTTTTTTTTTTTTCTTATTATTTAGCCTCGCGGGGGAAAGAAAAGGGAGAGCGAGCCCCGAGGAATGTTGTCCACTCCATCCAGATGTAGGTAGGTACTTACTAGTGCAACGCACGACAAGTACTAGGTACAAACCCCAATAACATGGCAATCCTAACCCTACCAGGCCTACCTAGGTAATTTCGAATCATGCTTATCTATGTTCCATGGGATTGTGTATCATATGCAGAAGAGTCGACGCAACCCTTCCCCGCCGCTGCTGCAGACCCTGAACTTTACAGCCAGCCAGCCAGCCAGCCAGCCCTGAGACGGACAGGAACCTCTAAAGAAAGGGATTGCCGGTCAGCCAGATAAACAACAAGCTTTTGATCCGCGCACGCGTTGGAGAGAAAACGACTCGTTGGTGGTTGTCATCGACATCTGTCAGAGTCGGATTTTAAGATTATCAGCAGGTGTTGCGGTGTAGTCCAGTTGCTGCCCCACGAGGGTGCATGAGTGGATGCGGCGGGCAATTTATGTACCTACAGGTTAGATACCGGTACACGAGGATCCGATCAGGAGGCCCAAAACCATTCCCGGTGGACTAGGTCGTAGTGCTGCTGCTGATACTTCAGTTGTAGGGTAGGTACATGAGGCCGGGGGAATTTATAGATTTGCATATGAAGGTACCGTTGTTGCGGAGTGTAAATTGATCTGGGTTTTCCTAGAGACATTAGCGACGCTTGGGCTTGTTTTATCAGCTTGAGAACGAAAAAGAGATATTCTGAAAAGCAAAAAAAAAAGAGAAAAAAAAACTGATGTGGTCTCTTACTCGCGCGCTCTTTGGTATCCAGTTACCTATCATGTCTGTACAGGTCCCTCTTTACGTGGATGCCAGTGGGTTGGCTACTACTGCTATCCCGAGCTATGTGCTCGAATACGGTGAGTACTGGGCAGTGTTCCGGGTTATACTAAGCCTAGATATGATATATATGTGTATTCAAAGGGCATGCGCTAACTGGAGTTCTACATAGCACCGCTGGTGTGGCTATACAGTGAAGAAGCATATCGGCCCGCTGGCATTGCTGACCAACTCGTCCATACCTCTCCGGAGGTGGATTGGGAGGTGGTCCAGAACTTGGAGTTGCCACTTACACTGGACAATCTGGACCAGTTGAATACCCTGGGAAACACCAGCGTTTATCTGACTTCGAAAGAGGGCATCGATGCGAAGCCGCAGCCTTCGTGGTTCCAGGGTGCGGCGATGCAGGAGAACGGGCAGTCGGAGGGCGCAGGGTCTTCGATCATTGTTGTTAACGATCATGGAAATGGCGAGGTGGATGCGTATTATTTTTACTTTTATGCGTGAGTTGGTTGGTCTCTTCCTGGATATCTCTTTCGTACTCATGCTCGAATAACTAGGTATAACCAGGGAAATACCGTTTTGGGAATGGAGTTTGGGGACCATGCTGGCGATTGGTGCGTATCACCCACCCACTACTTCGGCCTTAACATCCCTGTATCTAACTCGCTGTATTCAGGGAGCATAACATGGTTCGATTCCAGAATGGAACGCCACAAGCCCTTTGGTACAGCCAGCATGCCGGTGGACAAGCTTTCACCTACGAGGCAACCGAAAAACAAGGGAACCGACCGATCGCGTACTCGGCGAACGGGACACATGCCGTCTACTCGATCGCTGGGTATGGGAATGGATGGCCCTCTTTTGCTTTCTTTGCAGAAGGCTAATATGGATGGATGGATTTAGTGACCATGACCACACAATCCCTCACCTGAATCTTCCGGCCGGGTTTGTCGTCGATTACACTGACCAAGGCACGCTTTGGGATCCTATCCTCAACGCCTATGCATATAGTTATGCTCCAGCCACCCAAACGTTCCAGCCCTACGACCCAAGCCACCCAGTCAACTGGCTGTACTTCAACGGCCAGTGGGGGGACGATGCGCTGCCCGGCGGTCCAGAATTATTCGGCGAGGCCAAGTACAGTGCAGGCCCGAACGGTCCGAAATTCAAGGGGCTTACTCGAACGAATGTTTGTCCGGATGGGTATGATCCCTGTATTGTTCTTTCGTTTCGGACTTGGAAATAGTTAGTAGATAGTTTGGGATGAACTTGCCCTGTCACCCTTTTTTTTTGGCTCTAGCTCTGAGGTTGTTACACAGTCCAGGCCAGATTGGTTTGGTGGGGACTAAGGGGGGGGTAATTTCCGTGAGATGGATGGATAGAAACACATACTCCGAATTTTGGATTTCTTGATGGGGTTTCATTTTGCTGGAACTCCGTAGATACGATGGCAGGGAGAGAGAGAGAGGTAAATATATAGGGTCTGAGAAGAATACTCGCCGAATACTCCGTACTCCGTAGACTCAACACGAAACAAGACTTTGTAGTCTGTGTGTACTCAAAGATGTTCCAACTCAGGGGCAACAATAATACGGGTTGGCCCGGGACCGCGCGAAACTCTACTCATCCCTGGTGAGAGAAGCTGGTGGTTAATTCCCGCAACACTCCATACCACTACGACGGGACTATATTGATTTTCCATTTGCTTGGAGCGGCGGACTTGGACATTTACCAACTAAGCAGCTATATACTTCAGAATATGCGCGATGACGACCTAGATTCCCCTTCCAGAATACTATAGACAGTGAGACACTGAATGGCATGCCAATCATGTCAACTTGGATCTTTATTTATGTAGGATAGTTAGTAACGTGGACTAGTCCCACGTGTGGATGGGGTTTAGATCACAGCTTGACTGCAAAATTACAGCGCTTCACCACACTTCTTTCCAGTTGGTCCTAGTATGATTGTGGTTACTAGGATTCTTATGAGCAAGGATGGATGGTAACTAGTTACCTTCACGATAATCCATGTCTTTTATGCCGCCAGCTATAAGGAGTTGCCTGATCTTCCACCACAAGTACCCATGACGACTCGTCGGGATACGAGCCATTTGGGGGCGTGGAATTGGGCTGCACGAATGTTGAGACGCTGAACTCGAGGTTCAATCCCAAGAGATCGCCATAGTCGCTTTCGTTCTTGTTTCAGTTCATCGAACATTCTAATTTGAAGACAGCTTCCAGGGAAGGATTCAAGATGACCCGAGCCCCCTGTGATGAATACCCCGTACTCTTGGACTAGATAGGCTGGACTCTGGAATCACGAAATGGATTGCCCCTCCAGTCGCCTGGGAACTTTTCCAAGTTAGCCAAACTAAATCTCTTAGAGGACTCGCGGAGTGGGGGAATTTGGAAAGGGTTGGAAGTTTTTGGAGAGGTCCGGCCCCTTAGTGTAGTAGCTTGACGTACACTGGCTGATGTTGCCCCTGAATCTCTGGAGCTGGAGAACTACTACCGAAGAACTTGGACTGCAAAGGGAAGTAATCATATTTTTTTTGACAAAAAAAGGATAAAGAAAAACAAAAGAGAAGAAGAAGAATTGGCCTGGTGAAAGATTCAGCTAGTTCTGACATCTCCCACGAGCGGATACACAAGACAGTCCGAATCTCTCGTGCTTTTTCCTGTACGGGACGAGGCAAAAGAGGATAGAAGAAAACATCCATTCGTGCTCTCACTGGGCGATCTTCATTCAGCGCCTATCATCCGTTTTTGTTTTATTTTATTTCTTTCTTTGAAATCTCCTCCTCTTTCTCCTTTAACCTCTTTTCTTTCTTTTCGATCTGTTCCCCGTTCGTTTCGTCTTCAATTGTTTTTACTCCCCTCACTTATATGCGCCGCATCAGTCGGACGCTGTGAGCAGGCAATTTTACTCTCTGGCGCTCAGAGTTCACCTTTTTTGAAAAAAAAAAAGAAAAAAAAAAAGCTCTAGGGTGCGAGTTCAATTATCGGAACTGAAACTCCTCCTATTCCATTCGTTTTGACATTCTCTTGTGCTCATTATCCTCAACCAGAGAGGCTCTGGATCATCTCGATAAACACTTGCTGGGCGAGTGAATTGTCGATTTAGATAGCCTCTACCTTCCCTGGGATTGAATCCAAAGGGGTTACACCGAGTCTGCACGTCTTGACGGACTTGTGGAAAGAAAAAAAAAAGAAAAAAAGAAAAACGATAAAGAAAAAAACTCCAGGGACCGATCAATTGGTTGCTGTTGGCAATTGCAGTCAATCGCTTCATTGGCGGATCATAGAGAGACAACCCTACCAGGTACCTACAGGTAGAAAATATCGTGCCCCGCATCTGGTCAACCATTGAATTGGAAACTAGACGATCGAATTGTTCAAGATCAGTAAGTTGTGTTTTGCCATATTGCCACTTACTTGTGCAGAGAAGCTTTGTGCCTGATAATGAGTGATCTTCCCCCTTTATCCGGCTATATTCACTGATTCCATCTCAAAAATTGTATAGTCCGTGCCGTCGAATTATCCAAGACCAACCTGTTGACCTTGACGAATAAGCGTTGGTGAACCACTCAATATCTCTCCCATTGGTTTGAGGAACTCTATATATGAGACAGTATTAATTCACTACGACCCCACTTTTATTTGGCAAAAGAAACCCGTGGTGTTACAGACAAGTCGAGTGACAGGGTAGTGCCACCCGAGTCTGATCCTATGGCAACCTCAGCAGCAAGACCCCGGACCCCGGGCCGCAACCAGCCTCCTGACGATGTTCCTCCTGTCATTACAGAAAACGTCAACTCTGTGAAGGATCAACGCAGAGCTTCTTCCTCCTTGGGCTTCCTCCGCCGTTCCAAGTCCACAGAACCAATCGGCGACAGAAAATCATCCGGAGGCAGGAACAAGAAGATGTCCAAGGCCCAGCTGATGGAAGAGGAGCTTCGTCGTCAGCGCGAGACACGCCCTAAACAACCTCCCCGTCTCCCTGACCTTTCACCCACCCCCGTCCTCGAGACCTTTGGAGGCGATGAATCCAAGAACAATGTCGCTGGTGTCTCTAGCCCACGGTCGCCGGCTCAGCAGTACATGTCTCGCAGCGCCATGAGCACTCCTGTTCCCTCCGAGTACAATGACCCCTATGCCCGTACGGAGAGTATGACCCACCGTGGTCGATATAGCTACGCAAGCAGCGCGGTTAGTACTGTCAATAATCCACGTAGACTGCGTCGACGCAAGGACCCGACCCCGTACAAGTAAGTCGCAACGCCCGTGGATCCCGAGACAGAAATATATGTTGACTGTAACGCAGTATCCTCGTTATCGGTGCTCGCAACTCGGGCAAGACTTCGTTCCTTAATTTTCTCCGAAAGTCTTTGGCCTTGCCCCCGCATAAACACCCCGGTCGTTCGCCCGAAGAAGTGGAATATGAGCGCCAATCTCCGGCGAATGAAGGATATACTTCTCACTATTTGGAAACTGAGATCGATGGAGAACGAGTGGGACTGACACTGTGGGACTCCCAGGGGTTGGAGAAAAATATTGTTGATATCCAGCTCCGTGGTGTAACGGGCTTCTTGGAGAGCAAGTTCGAGGAAACCCTGAACGAAGAGATGAAAGTCATCCGCTCCCCTGGCGTCCGAGACACCCATATTCACTGCACTTTTTTGATCCTCGACCCGTCCCGACTGACCGAAAATATCACCGCGGCCGAACGCGCTGCCCAAGGAACTCCAAGAGCGTCCGATTCCCACGTTCTCGGAGTTCTTGATGAAAGCCTCGATATCCAAGTGCTGCGGACAGTGATTGGCAAGACGACCGTTGTCCCTGTGATCAGCAAAGCCGATACGATTACCACAGCGCATATGGCATACCTCCGAAAAGCAGTTTGGGCAAGCTTGAAGAAGGCGAACATCGACCCCCTGGAGATCCTGACTTTGGAGGAACAGGAGGAATATACGTCTTCGGAGAGCGAATACGAGGAGGAGACTCCTGTTGCCGAAGATGGCTCGAAGGGGAAAGAGGGGTCTGAATCCACGTCGAGTGATGATAACCCGGCGCCGTCGAAAACCCCAAGATCTCCTTCGGAGCGCAGCGAATCCACCCGACAGTCAAACGGATCTCCCGCCGCCCTTCCTCCTCTCCCCTTCTCGATCCTGTCGCCCGATCCATATTCGTTAGAGAATGAAAATGAACCAGTTGGACGCAAGTTTCCCTGGGGATTTGCCGACCCCTACAATCCTGAGCATTGTGACTTCCTCAAACTCAAGGACTCGGTCTTTAGTGATTGGAGATCCGAATTGCGCGAGGCTAGTCGTGTCATTTGGTACGAGCGATGGAGAACCAGCCGTCTGCACCGTCATGATCTTGCTACTTCCACGAAGCAGAGGACCTTTGGCGGCAGAACGGGCCCTGATCCAGGTCGTCGAACTCGGTAACGGTCTTGAGCACCACTACGCGCCGGCGCTTTTCCAAAAAGGACGTTTACATATGTTGATACTTTTTTTGTTTTTTTTTTTTCGATACACGATTATTTCTATTCTCACGCCTTTGCCCTGGAACCAGACTTGCTGTGATTCAGTTTGGGTTTCTGGGACGAAACTCTTTTTCCTTTCTCCATCAAAGCACCGACATTCCTTTCAGATTAGCATTTAATTCTTTCCCCTCCCCTTTTTATCTCGTTCGATGTCATGAGCATGATGCGATTGAATACGATTGCACTTGACTATGCGTGTTTCAACAAGTCAGGAGCTTTCTCGGTTCGAACTACTATCTGCGACAGTGGAATATTGAGGGACATAAATCCTCTCTCGATTTTATCTGCCTCTCAATCTATGAAAGTTGTTGGATTTGCGTACTGTGGTTGTTGTTTCCAATCTCCGGGAACTCCAACAGACAAAATCGCCATATTTGATTCCCCACCCCTTGTACAGGCTTATGTGTCTCTTGGGGCATTTTTTTTTTCTCGACCTTCATTATACCACTTTTCGTTTTGGCTAGGACATCATTGTGATGTTCCGGCGTTTCTGCTTCGGTGTACTCCCAGACCTGATTCTAACCCACCATTTCCCCATCCCAGTTATTTTCATTTCACCATATTTCCTTTGAGTACCCTGTATTCTTGATCCGTTTTAGTTGAACTGTCAAATAAAATACCACTTTTCTGCACTTGTCACAAGGTGGCGGCGCCCTTTTCCGTCTTCGAAGTGGAGTGGTAGGGTTCCACCTAAGAGCCGCTCAGATAGTCAGTAGCCGCTAGTGATTGGGTGCAGGGTCCTGGATTTTACAGGACTCGTCCTCATTTGATGATGTTGTTGTTTAAGTGCATCCTCCTGCATGATACAGACAGAGTACTCCGTACCTCCTCCGTACGTGTGGGTGACAACGGCCAGGCCACCGTTGTAGGCAACCTTTGGATCAGTACAGTACTCCGTACATAGATAGATCCATACCCTGCTTACTCTGAAGCCAGCGACCACTTGCAGGAGGGGAAGACAAATTAATATGGATTGTGGATGCGTCTGGGTTCTGTACGTACCTAGTAAGCTTCAGATGCGGCTCCAACGGGGCGACAGGATTCCCTGGAGGATGAGGGTATTTTGACTCGATATACAACTGGGTGAGTACATACTTTTCTTTTCCTTCTTCATTTTTTTACTCATAAAAGTAGAGAGCGGGGAGAGAGGAAAGAGAGTTCTTGGTGGGACTGTAGTGTGCCTCAGCTGAGAAGAGCCTGAAGCGGCACTTTTTGTTCAGCCCCCGCGATAGTTAGTTAACTCAACTACCTTACTTAGCCTTGACTTCTGCTTGTTTTTCTCTCTGTCTTTCCTGCCTCCTCCTTTAGTATTGATAAAATCATCGGTACTCCTTCTCTTCTTTGTCTCCCTCGTGTCCACTCTGCATTGTCTTTTTTCTCATTGTTTGATTGTGCGCTGATTCGTACGACTCTTTCCCCGACTCTGTCTGTGCACCTAGCTAAGTAGTTAGCCGCCCGTCCTCCTCCCCTCTTTGCTTGTATTGCAATTTGCGATCGCATTTTTCCTCTTCTCTCAAATCGTGGTTCAGGTCTTCCTGTTTTCCCGTTTCCATGTCTCTTCAGGTCAGCGACCCACGGTCGCGCGGCCGTTCCAAGTCTCCAGGCGGCCGTATCCGTGAGCGGTCCAGATCTCGCGACGACCGGGGAGTTTCGCCTGCCCCTGCGGACCCAAGAAGAAGCAGCAAGTACTTGGTGGCCGGCGACCCATCGGATGAAAAAAGCCGCGCAAGCTCGAGAACTCGAGGAGCTAGCCCTCTCCGCGGCTATCGGACAAGTTCCCGCTATGAGTCGGACTCGGATCGCGATCGAAGAGACTCCTATGCGCGTTCTCGTCCCAGCCGCAGTGGTGATGACCACTACTACCGCTCGGGCTCGGAAGAGGATAGGGAACGGGAAAGGGCCGCGAAGCGAGAGAGCTCGAAGTATACCGCTCCCGCTGCCACTACCACCACTCCCAGTTCCCGTCAGCCCCAGCAGAAGTCTGTGCGCTACGATGCCTACTCGGATGATTCGTATACAGAGTCGGACTCGGATGACGACCATCTCGTTTACGGGGATGCGCCCGGAGATTTAGAGCGCGGATATTATGGGTATAAGGGGAGTAGCTCGCATACTACGGCGCCTCCTTCGCAGCCAGCCATGATGACGGGGGCGCTGAAACCGGATACGAACCCCAGACGCAGTGCGGAGGGAGTCAGTGGGCACACCGGCTATGGGAGGCCTGATCAGTACCAGTATCCAGCTATTCCTAGACAGTCCAATCCTGCTCTGTCCGGACCGGCTCCGTCTCAGCCAACCTGGGCGCCGGTTCCTGACTGCGAGAAGCCAGGGTTTGTCCCGGTGTCGCAGTCCATGCCGGGGGCATTCCCGGGCGCGACGCCCAGCCAGCCAGCTGCGTCGTTGCCGCAGTATGTGAACCCCTCGTGGACTACCGCTCCGACTACGAATTCAGTGCCTGCTCCAAGTCACCAGCGGAACCCCTCCGGGGACCCCAAGGCCCACCAGTCTTATGCGCAGCCTCCTCCATTTCAATATGCACAGGTTGACCCGAAGGTTAAATACACTTCGAAGTCCTCGACGGCCGCAGCAGCCCCGTATGGCTCGAAATCCGGTGCGCAACCAAGTGACGGCCAGTATGGTGGCATTAGATATTCTGCAGCCCCTCAGTTCCCTACTGCATCCACTCCCCAGAAGGACAGCACGCAAAATTATGTCGAACTTACGCCCGGATCCCGCACTGCTGGTCGCCCCCACAGTCTCTCCGTCTCGTCGGCCCACAACCTCTCAGTCGCCGGTCCTGACCCTGATCACCGCCCTGCGAGCCCAATGCTTGAACCTTACAAGGGAACATACCAGAGCATGTCCCCGATGCCGTCCCCGATTCTCATCGCACCTAGATACGATGATGATATTTCGGATCTCGAGCCGCTGGACAATAGCACCGACAGCGAGCGACGGAGACGCAAGTCACGAAAGTCCAGAGATGAGAAGGAACGCAAGGAGCCCAAGAGTGATCATTCAAAGCGGGGTAGCAGCCGCGTACGGCATGAGCGACATGATTCCAGGGGCGGTGCGGAGTCTTTGGTTGTCATTTCACCCCGGGATAGTCGACGAAAAGTGACCTTCTACGATGCCACGCCAGACGCCCTAGCACTGAAGGAAGCCCTTGGCCATACTCGCAGCATTGATAACAAAACGCTGATCCAACTCCTACCCCACTTGACAAGCGATGAGATTTTAGCCCTGCGGAAGGAGTACAAGAATCATGTGAAGATCCATGGCAAGGGCATTAACCTAGCTAAGCAGATCCGCGTTAAACTGGGCAACAGCTCCTTCGGAAAGGTCTGCTACGCTACCGCCCTTGGTCGCTGGGAATCCGAGGCGTTCTGGGCTAACTGCTACTACCAATCCGGCACCTCAAGACGCGAGCTCCTCATCGAATCGCTGTTCGGTCGTAGCAATGGCGAGATACGCGAGATCAAGGATTCGTTCAAAGACTCTCGGTACCTCGACAGCCTCGATAAGTGCATGAAGGCCGAACTCAAGGCAGACAAATTCCGAACGGCGGTGCTCCTTGCCCTAGAGGAGACTCGACAGAGCGAACGCGAGCCGATCGACCCGGAACTCGTCCATCGGGACGTGCAGGCCCTGCATGCAGCGCTTGTTTCTCGCAACGGCGGGGAAACCGCAATGATCTACATTATCGTTCGCCGCAGTGACGCGCATCTGCGTGAAGTTCTCCGCGCTTACGAGAAGCATTACGAACGAAACTTTGCGCGTGACATGATTCAGAAATCCCAGAACCTTGTGGTACGTTTGCGTCCTCCAAAAACCCCCAAACAACCCCCCTCCTTTCCCCATATATTCAACTAACGCGAAGTTCCATTAATATAACAGGGTGAAACTCTCGCCCACATCCTCAACGGCGCCATCAATCGCCCCATGCGCGACGCCCTTCTTCTCCACCAAGCTCTCCGCGAATCTCGCTCCGGTCGCGAACGATCCGAGCTCCTGATCTCCCGCCTGGTCCGGTTACATTGGGAACCGAGACATTTCGAAACCGTCAAGACCGAGTACCGCCGACGGTATGGAGAGCGGCTGGAGGAGGCGATTGCGGAGGAAATCCTGCCTTTGGCTGGGGGCACTGAATGGGGGGAGTTTTGCATTCAGTTGGCGCAGAGTTCGAAGACGCTTGCTGGGAAGGTATAAAACAATGCTGTTATCGTTTTCTCTCTCTCTCTCTTTTTTATATATATATATATATATGTTTATATTTATGTCTCTCCTTTTGTATTGGTACTGCGGACGGATAATGACCGTGGATGGAATGGGATATGGATATGACATGAATGCAACGAGACGAACTGAATGCACGTGCGTTACTTATGATAGGACTGGATAAAGGAAGACATTAGGTATAAGATATTTAATGTCACATTCACATTCGAAATTCTCAAATCAATCTAAGCCTATACTGAGTACTGAGTCTTAATCCCCATTACCAATGCAAGGTCTGTGAACAGCGCTGGCTTACAGAGCAGAGTAGGTAACTAACTAGGTGTAGGTTGTACTCTATGCATGTCGAGTCAACTGATATGCACTCATGCCCTGTGCACACACACTTGGAATTATTTTGAGGGGCTGATGTACTACATCGGAGTTACCTACCAGGCAGGTGATTTATCATATCCCCCGGTATACTCCGTACATCATGATCTTAATATCGAGGGTTCGCATCATTCGAGTCCTAGTTCTGTTCAAGTTCAATGTTGAGAAAAATCGTCTACGTGATTTTGCGACCCCTGTTGACGTTGCTGCTGCTGCTGCTGCAGTCATGCAGTCAGCTCATGGATCCTATTAGACACCAAGAGACAGGTAGTTATCTAATTGCCCGGTGTTTTCCGTACCTGCGTGGAATATTATATTATGGCGTTAACTTTCTTTCTGACTTATCACTTGTGGTGGTGGTGACCGACAACACTAAAATTTGTTTTTTCTTTCTTTTTTTTTTTTTTTTTTTTTTTTTTTTGGTCCTGATGCTTCGAGTAGACAGACAGACAGACAGACAGATGTCCACTGAGGAAGAAAAAGAAAAGAAATGACAGCTTTTGTGCCGAGATCCGGTAGGGTGCAGGCTGCCTGCGTGCCTAACTAACCAACCACCTTCTGGGTTTCTGCTTGCTCCTCAAATGAAAACTGGAGGGAAGAAAAGCTTCATGGGTCTGTACTCTGCATGCTTACAGTGCACAGCGTACCTACCTATCGACTAGACTACTGCACTCGATAGGTTTCTGACTTCATCAGGAATTAAGGTGACCATCCGATAGCTTGGCGACTTGGCTGGCTCGAGAGAAAAGCCGTCTCTGGTGGTGTCTGGCCCACTTCTGTCTTATGTAGTCGTCCACTGTATTCTGAACACGGAGGAAGAAGTTGGTTCGTTGGTTGGGCGTGAGAGGTGGTGAGAACCTGTGGAAATGAGGTCACACTACCGAGTACGTTGGTTTCCTCCTTGACATGAGGACTAGATAGTCGGAGACTACTGTATGTAGCGAGTGAGTTAGTGTGCTGCAAGGTAGTTGGCAGGGAGGGATTTACATGGTTTTCTTTTCTTTTTTTCCTTCTCTCTTTCACATGATACTATCACAGTTGTTGGTCAGTGGTGGGTGGTCACATTGGATGGAAGACTGAAGGGAGAGATGCGGATTATCCAACTGTGTAAGGCTAGTGAAAGGGCAATCTGGGGTTGGGGTCTGGGGAAGGATGGATTTGGGAAGGATGGAAGTTGACTTGAGACAAGTTGAAGATGAGTTTCCTATTCGGGAAGTGTTGTTTCTCCTCGTCCTCCTCGTCCTCCTCCTTCTTCACATTTTGTCGTTTTGCTTTCTCTTTCTCTTCCTGTTGTCCATCTCTCTCTCCCCCCCTTCTTACTACCGTCTCTTATTCTTCAACCTTACTCTTCGTTCATCTCCTTGGCTGGTTAACCCCCAGTTACCAATGTCGCTCAACGCCAAATCATCGTCATCTCCTCAGTTGGCTGTGCTGACAGCATAACATGAGTGACCTTGGCCTTTTTCGTCCCTATAATACTCCGTACAGGAAAACTATTCGACACTTATCATGTGGATCCCAAAATCCAAGCCGTGTTTACCCTAGATTTTGGATGTAGGCTGGCATGATCATTGGGTCCTGGATCAAATCTGCCTGTGGAGTGATAGTCGAGAGGAGGATGTTTACTGGTTGCTTCAACTTCATGAACAGCATAGCATGCATGGTAAAGTCTGACCATTCTCCACAATCTCTATTCTTGTCGTGCTCGTCTAGCTTGTCTCCGTAGACCGACGCCGTGGACTGCATGAGTCTCCGCAGTCAAATTGACAGGTCAGACGACATTCGGGGAATTCTATCATGCGCATACTCTGCTGCATGCCTCTGCACAGTCTAGATGGGGTTTTTTTAACTGACTAGACTTCATTCTATCAGCTCCTAGACTCCTTCTATAAAGCTTTCCTCGCCCGCGGGGAATGCTAGGCCCACCGACTATAAAACAGTTCCTGGCATTCCTTTGAACATTCTCAGTTGCCACATTATTGTTTAGCTATTTTACACTCCTTTGGATTGTGCATTCTTCTTTTTATTCATTTTCTGTCCTCAATTCCCTTCATCCTCTTTTCAAGGATGATGCTTTGCGGTTGATTCATAACGACCGTCCAAACCACAATGTATCTTCTTTCTCTGGGTATACTGGTCGCGCTTTTAGTCACTCTCACAGGAGCTACCTCGACATTCTCTCCTGCTAGGCCACCCGCCTTGCCTTTGGCGGTTAAGTCTCCGTATTTGAATACCTGGCTGTCTGCGGGACGTGACGGTGGTAATGGAGGGTACTTGGCCGGAGAATGGCCAACCTTTTGGGAGTGAGTGTGGTTCATACTAAGTAAACTCATTTGTTTCGCCAGCAAGACTAAGATGGGTTACAATAGGGGTCAAATAACTGGATGGGCGGGCTTAATTCGTGTTGATGGCAGCGTTTACACGTGGATGGGACTCCCCGGCTCAACCACTGTGAATCAAACTGCCTATGAATACACGTCGACGAAGAGCATCTTTACGATGCATATCGAGGATGCAGTCGAAATGAAAATTACATTTCTATCCCCTATTACTCCTAATGATTTGCGACGTCAGTCGCTTGTATTTTCGTACCTTGATGTGAGTGTTTCATCTCTGGATGGGCAGTCTCACGATGTGCAGGTGTACACGGACATCTCAGCAGGTAAGTTTTTTTTTTTTTCTTTCTTTTCTTTTCTTTTTTGCTACTTATAAATAACCACACTGTACGAAATACTAATTCGCTTAGAATGGATATCTGGGGACCGCTCTGCCATCGCACAGTGGGATTTTGGTGTAACCGGTGATGGGGTTGCCTATCACAAGGTTCATCGCCAGACGGCGCTTCTTTTTTCTGAAAACAGGGACCAGGGAGAATGGGGAGACTGGTATTGGGCGACAGACAACGAAACTAGTCTCACATATCAGACGGGAGCAGACGTTGATGTTCGGGGAACTTTCTCCAGCAGCGGAAAGTTAAATAATTCCAATGACGCTAACTATAGGGCTATTTCTACAAACTGGCCGGTATTCGGCTTTGCTCATGACCTCGGGTCTGTTAATTCGGCCTCGAGTGTCCTATTCTCTATAGGATTGGCCCAGACTGACGCAATTCAATACACCGGTAACACCAGTAGCCTTGCTCCAGTACCTTCCCTATGGACAAGCTATTTTCATACTGCTTTGGACGCTGTGAGTGTTGTCGATTCCCGAGCTCCATAGATATCACTAATCATTCTCCATTCTCTAGCTTGACTTCTTTCATCATGACTATGAGGAGTCCAATAGGCTTTGCTCAAATCTAGATGATCAAGTTGCGCGAGACTCAATTGCCGCCGCCGGACAGAATTACTTAACCATCACGTCGCTGAGTGCGCGGCAGGCATTCGCTGCGACCCAGCTTTGTGGGACACCAGAGAACCCGTATCTGTTTATGAAGGAGATATCTTCCAACGGCAACATGAATACAGTCGACGTGATCTTCCCCGCTCATCCGGTCTTCTTGTATACTAACCCAGAGCTCCTGAACCTCATCATGAAGCCACTTTTTGAAATTCAAGCGTCAGGGCATTACCCCAATGCCTATGCCATGCACGATATTGGTGCTCATTACCCTAATGCGACGGGACATCCTGATGGCAACGATGAGCCAATGCCTCTGGAAGAGTGTGGAAATATGGTGATTATGGCTCTGGCTTATGCACTGAAATCCAAAGACACAGATTATCTTACCGAGCATTACTCCTTGCTGAGACAATGGACAAATTACCTGGTGGATGACGCTCTGTATCCAGCCAACCAGATTTCCACGGACGATTTTGCTGGCCCTTTGGCGTATGTGATTGCTCACAATATCAGTGCTTGTACTAACAGCATGAATAGAAACCAAACCAACCTGGCATTGAAAGGGATCATTGGAATCGAAGCCATGTCGGTCATTGGCAATATGACTACGAACACAGCGGATGCAAACAATCTAACCAACTACGCACACGATTATATCACCAACTGGCAGACCTTGGGAATCGCTCGTAACACAGACTACCCGCACGCAACCTTGTCGTACGGATCTAATGACTCTCACGGTTTGTCTTGCAGATGATAGGCACCGTTCATACAGCTAATAAGATATAGGACTGCTTTACAACCTGTATACGGATCGAGAACTGGGCCTGAACTTAGTCCCACAGTCAGTGTACGATATGCAGAGCGCTTTCTACCCAACTATCAAAGAGACGTTTGGTGTGCCGCTCGATACCAGGCACCAATACACTAAAGGTATGTTGAGACCCCAAGCTTCCCAGCGAGGCAATAGCTGAGACGTTGCACCTAGCGGATTGGGAACTTTTTGCGGCTGCAATCGCATCGACCAGCACCAGGGACATGTTCATCAGTCTGCTGGCCGACTGGATTAATGAGACGCCTACCAACCGCGCTCTTACCGATTTGTACGATACGGTATCTGGAGAGTAAGTGTTATGACATGGCTTTCACGAATCTGGCTGACCTGAGCAGCTATCCGCAAATAACATTTATTGCTCGGCCGGTAATGGGTGCCGCCTTCGCTTTGTTACTTTTGAATGAGGGCATGTGACATTCCTGCATATATATACATATGCCTTGTATGGTTTATAGACTTGCTTCGCTTTTGAGCGGCAGGGAATCGCTACATACTACCTATTGATACGCCTATATTTTTAAGGCCAAGGCCAATTTTCTGTCGTTCATAGCCATTGGTTCACCACGCATTCGCGGGACGTTGTGCATACTGACCTCCGTGGTCTGCGTGTCTGTCTGATGACAATCAAGGACACAGTAATAGAATAGACACCAAAATCGGGAATCTTGTAGCACGTGCAGAGGATCTAGTCTCCAGACGAGTGTAACTCCAACGAGATGCCTCGAACGATCCAGTCTAGAGGTAGTACAGCATCATTGCCTCGCCTCTCCACAGCACGGAGTACAGTAAGGATCGATAAGTATTCCACGCACGACGGTCTGCGACGGATGGCCTCCACGGGAATCCCCCGCGTGTCAGTGTTCCCTTTCCGATTCTGATACAGGCATATCTCCGAGACAACCACGGTCTTGTCTTGCCTTGTCTTGCGTCGAATAGGATAGGAACGTGGCTGGTGTAGGTAGATAGATCTCTGTCGGATGGACTTACGGGGGTTGGGTTCAATGGATAGGCAGGGTTAGGGTTAGGGTTAGGGTCGTTATGGGAATACTTCTTTATACTCCGTATAACTATAGGATAAGATAACTATAGGGGGGAAGTATTTTACATCTTTGTTGCAAGAAGTCTCAGAATCATAATCCTAATCATACTGGAGTGGGGACTGATCCAAGGGTTTCTTTATCCCTACCTGGGAAATCGACGAGCATCAGAGAGTGGATTTTGGACAGGTCATACTTGGTCGTTCATCTTCTTCTTTTCTTTCTTTCTTCCAAAAGGAGCATCAAATTAGAGCTGCTCCATTCTGCGCGAGGGGGAGCAACTAGGAAGCCGCTCATCTGCACTACGAGCGCCAGCGACATGAAACAGATCCTTAATCCAGCAAGGGATCAGCCGCAGTTCGAGGATTATGGAGTCCTACGGAGTTACTACGGAGTGGAATCCGGAGAAATGAGTTCAGATCTACCTACCTACAGAGAGAGAGAGAGAGAGGTTCTTAAATGGACTCCCCGGCCTCTATCACGCTTGTTTGATCTTCTTTGTTTTGGTTTCGGGCTTTTTTTTTTTTTTGCTTTTACCAGCCGCTGACATTCTTTTTTTTTTTTTTTTATCCCTCTTTGGGGTCCAGTCTTTTTGATCTTGATCGTGTTCAATCCTTCATTATACATACATACATACAGACAGACCTACATATACGCATATATATATATATATATACATACTTCAATCTCTACCCTAAAACAGTATACTACCTACATAACTAGCAGCACCCGAAATGTCCAAATCCAAATCCAAATCCAACCCCCTCCTCCTCCTCCTCCTCGTCTTCGTCTTCGCCCTCCTACTCTCCTCCACCATGGCAGCCCCAGAAGACGACGACCCTGATACCATCCCGCCCTCCATCGCCACCGAAATCATCACAGCCACCGACTCCGGCCCGGACCAAACCGCCTCCTTCAGCGTAAACCCCACCGTCGTCGAAACCGGCCTCGCCCTCGCAACAGCTACCTCCAGCGACGACCCGACAGAAACCCCATCCTCGACCAAGGCCTCTGCTCCCACCATCCCTAGTGAGATTCTCACTGCTGCAGATGATGACGACGATGCTGCGACTGCGACTGCGACTGCGACTGCATCCCGTGAAGCACCGTCGTCGTCGTCCTCATCCACCGCCGCCAACGCAACTACGTCCTCTGGTTCTGGCGCTGCAGCCGCAGTGGCCCGAGGGAACCCCGGTCTGGCTGCGTCCTCCGTGGTCTGTGGTTTGCTGGTGGGCTTGTTGTTGCTGCTCGGGGCTTGGTTCTAAGTACATACTACGGGAATTTTATTTTCCGGAATCGGACCTGGATGGGTTGAGCTCTATGTAGCTTTGAGCTGCACGTTTTCTGGATTCTAGGGGGGAAGTTGGCGGTGGTGTGTGTGTGTGTGTGTGTACATACATAAGATAATAATAATAATCATACCTACGTGATGATGTGTTGCTTGCACATGAGGGATTTATATACATACTGGCTTTGCATCTATGTGTGTACTTAGTACCTACTACATAAAGTAGGACATTGATTGGGTGATGGATATGTTTGGTTGTGGTATCGTGTTCTCTCGTTTTGATCATTTTGTTTACTTGACTCTCTCTCTCTCTCTCTCTCTCTCTCTCTCTCTCTACGGGCAGAAAAATGTTTTAGAGATCTTGTATAAAGGATCCGGAACTTGCTGGGAAATAAAACGGAATAAACACCAAGTATCCCTCCCTCCCCCTGGGTATCATACGTAAACCATACTGATAGCAATGTTCTAATAAAATAAGCGGACTGGGTTCAGCCCAAACCACCCGTGTCCGGCTGTCGGCGCGTAGTTCAAGGACGAGGCACATCGATGCCTCGCTTTTCAAGCATGTCGTAGTCCTTGGCTTTCATGGTGACCTTGTCAAAGTTTCGGGGCAAGGGGATGGATTCACTGCGGAAGGTTAGATCAGTTGGGCGCCCAGGGGGGGGGGGGGAAGAACGCACCGAAGAAACTTTATCTTCAAATTCCGAGCACGGTCCTTCAGTTGCACCTGGTTGCGCCCTTCAATGCGTGCTTCCCCGGTCTTGAGTGGCAGCGCTTCGTTCTGCCGTGCGATACGCGCCCAGCCACATCCAAGCTCTTCAATCAATCGAAGAAGTCGCTTATCCTCCGCAGGCGACCAGCGCTGGTGCGAGGATGATGAGTTTACGGAATGGAGATAGTCCCTGCTGGCTTGCCGGCTGGGAACCCAACCAGGTTGTCGGCGTCGGGGACTGGCTTGGATCGACTCGTCGAGATCGTCATCATCACTAACTTGTTCTTGTTCTTGTTCTGGTTCTGGTTCTTCAACTCGTTGTCGTTTGTTTCCCACGGGCCGCGGCTTCTCTGCTCTTCTACGGTCAATGTCAGCCTGGCCAGTGTAATTGGAGAACTCCTCCTCCTCATCGCCTTCGGATTCTTCGGACACCTCTCGAGCCCGCTTTCGGGATACGCGGGCTTCTACACGCCCGACAGCGCTTTGCGCCTCGACATCTTGACTGATCGGGGACACACGCTCGGCGTTGTGCTGCCGGTCAATGAATGCCGGTGGTGCAATGCGACTAGGTGATGAAGAGGCCTCGCGGAAGGAACCCATCTTAATCGAATGCCATACATCCTGGCTCAAAGCCCGCGAGGGTCTGTGCCGCTGGGGAGGGGTTCTCGTGCGTCGGACTGGAGGGCTGTGTGACTTTTCCAATTGGGTACCCTCGTTTCCAATGGCAAGGTGTGTATCAACGCCGATGGTGAACTCGTCCTCACCATGCAACAAGGTAGGTGAGTCCTCGGGCGAGGCGGGGATCTCACGGGGTTCGTCCGCCTGTGGTGGCCGGTCCGGGCGTGCGGGAAGCGTTTGACGACGGCTGCTAGAAGATTGCTCGGGAGCTTGCTGTGAAGCAAGACCAATGTCAGAATGGCGCCGGCTATCTGACGTTTCGGTTGCAGAGCGCAAGCGTTCTTGTCTTTGCGCTATGCGTTGAATTGACAGAGCATTCAAGAATGAACTTCAGGAAGTTAGAAGCCGACCAAGAATAATTGAGCAGGGCGCAACTTACGGCTTAGACAACCTTCTTCCTTTTTCCCTATCCCGTGGTGAGGGCCGTGAATCCTGCGGCCGTTCTGCTGATTCAGATACCGCTGGTTCGCCCACCTCCGACTCGTTGGGTTCCTCCTCAGCTTCTTCGACAGTACTTGGTTCTCCCTCCGACCCACCCACAGTGCTAGTGAAGCTGGGGTGTTTTGAGGTGAAGAATGCATCGTGCACATCTTGCGCGCTCATATGATTTTCCAAGTCGTTGCTAATCTCAGCCGTCCTCTTGCGAATCCACTGCGCGGCTCGCAGGACAAATCGTGGCCAACGGTAAGCGCCTTTCAACTCCTCAACATCAAAGGAGCCGTCTCCACGCTCGGACAGGAGAATTTCATTGAAACGATCCTGGGCAATGTCCCGGTATTGTGCAGGAAGAGCTCCGCTCTCTCCACCAAAAATAGGCAAGTTGAAGCCTCGAAGAGCCGCAGTTCGAGAGGTACCGACGAAAAAGGCCGTTCGCACAGCATTCTTGGCGTCAAACTGAGGATCATCCTGGTGGTCTTCCAATTGTATGATCAATGCTTGTGTGCGAATTTCCAGAGCAAGGTCAAACGTGTCCTTTTCTAAAGAGCTATCCCCAGCAGCCTTTGCTTCGTCATCCTCGACCAGGTCGTCCATGAACGGCTTGGGAAACAGAGCCTCAACATTTGCAATGGCCCGTTTTGGAGAGTTCGTCCCGACGTTTGCAAGAAGGATCTCAGCCGCAAAGCGTGCACAGTTGGCCATATGCACAACAGGATTGGGACTCCAGTCCTTTTGAACCCCCCCACGTCGACCAGCCAGGGCAGAAAAAAATATGATCCCGAGACGTTCCGCATCGAGATAGGTCTCGTTCCCGTAAAACTTGACTTCTTCGTCTAGATTCGTAATCAGACGACGGAGGCGTCTGCTCTCGGTATTTCTGGGATCACCGAGTTGCTTGGCTTTATTGACAATATTGACCGGGTTTGCAGTACTCGGTGCCAGGAAATCCAGGAGATTCCTCCCCGCTCTCTCGAGGTCTGGAAGAACCTCCAGCATCATTTCCGGATCCAAGTCATTATCGGGTTCTGATGGTAGAATAGTTGTCCCGGAGATATTTACTACATCTTCAGGGGACTCGGGTATGACCGCGTTGCCATACCGAACACCAGGCTTATGTGGGGACCGGAAAGGCGATTCTTCGACCACGGTAGACAAACCTACCCAAATGTTAAGAAAAATCAAAATCAAACATAGACATAAACAGAAAAAGCAATTAAATAGCTTAGAATTGTTCAAACATTTATGAAAGGATACAAGTTTTGGGAATGCGAGTTTGGTTGAGATACCCTCAAACAGGAACGCGGATCAGGTAAACAATACAATGTGCTCCAAACAAGCGAGTCGCGGGCAGCCGGCACTTGAATATCTAGATACACTTACCCTTGTTTTGTCCCCACTTGTTTCTGCCGTTAGATGGATGCGATGGAGCTGTGTGATGATTCTTCGACAATTTAGGCGCTTGGTCCAGCTCGCGACTCTGGCTTCTCGTCACACGTCTACGTGACGGACTAGGCACAGCTGGAGAAGCCAAAAGGTTCTTCTGTCCCAAACGCGATCGGGAGTGCGCCATGACGCTGGGAGCGATGCTGGAGGCGGTAAATAAAGCGGGAAGAACCAAAAAACCGCCGCTAGAGGAGAATAGGTTCCAGTATCAGATGGGGTTTTGATGAAAGGGTTGCATGGTTGATGAATCTTGCGGGTGTGAGAGATGGCAAGTTCCAAAGACGAGAGATGAGGGAGGGAAAAAAAAAAGGGGGGGCTGATGGACATGCGTGTTTATGTTTTAACTGGGGAGAATGGCAACAGGTTGGGGATAGGGTATTTCTTATGTAATCATGCTGAGTCAGCTCGAATATCCTGACCCTAACCAACTACCCCATAACCCTAGTATTACCCTAACCCTAACCCTACATCCCGGACCAGGTACCTACCTTTATAAGGAGCTCATGATAGCGACTGGGAACCATAATAAATCTGCGACAAATCCCAGAGGACAAAGAAGGACAAAGAAGCCTGGTTTTAATAACTCAGAAATAGCAAAACATCAGACGGTTCGCTCACTTCTTTCAAATTCTCTCAAATCTCATCCTTTACACCGGTCATGTCTAAATGCTACCGTAGAACTGACAATTCCTTCCCGCCTAGTACATAGCCTCTATTAGATAGATAACACCGAAAACCAAGAAAGCAGTCGCGCCACCAAGGGTCACTTCACGAATGTTAGCGTGCGTCTTCGTTAGTGGGTTCGCTTGGGAATAAATACATACCAACACGCATACTGACTTTGCCAGCGAGAGCGCTGCCTCCAATAACCGCGGCAGCAGTGCAAAGCCCATGGCCGGTAATGGCACCGATAGTGACCCACCAGTAGTCCTGTCCAGCAGCCATGGCGATTGTTGCAATTTGACTACGGTCACCCCACTCTCCAAGGAAGGTCATAACAAAGGTCTGAACCCAAGCAGGGCTGAGAAGAAGCGAAAACAGGTTGTTCATACCAACCAGGAGGTCATTCCAACGTCGCGTGGGGCGGGGAGATGATGCGCGCGAGGATGAGGAAGAGAGACTCTCGGGAGGCGATGGGAGACGGTTCGTAGACGAACGAGGTTTACGCCCCAGTCGACCAGCTTCCAAAGAATGAGGGGTTACCGAAGAACGACGACGGCTCATTCGCAGCTGCTGGTGTTCTTTTTCTTCAAGCTCCATCTCCACTTCTTTCATCTCTTCGCCAACGCCCGCATCGGGAGACATTTCCCGGCCCTCTTTGAGCATCTTGGCGCCAAAGACAAAAAAGAGCACAGCGGCCAATATCTTAGTAAAGGACTTGGGAATCAATGTGGGGACGGCGTGTCCTAGAACGGCGGAAAGCACAGTCATGGCGATCAAGGCGCAGAAGGCGGCGGAGAAGACAAGTAGGCGTGGGTGTCTCATGGCCATCAGAGCAGCGACGAGGAAGGTCTTATCGCCAATCTCGGAGACAACAATCATGGTGAATGAGAAAAGGAGGGAGTGGAAAGCACCTTTATCTTCTTGCTGGATGGCATCGCTAGGATTTGCTGCTGAACCTTCCTTCTCCAGTCCAAGCGGGTTGTCTTGTACACCGGCGGGAGACTTGGGAAGCGGAATATCGTGAGGCTTCTCCGGCAGATCTGCAGGTTTCTTTTAAATCAGTTAGATAAATCATTCCTCACGGGGTGTAATAGATGCCTCAGGGAAATACCTCGAGCACGCCCAAGGTCGAATCAGCGCCAGAAGCTTTGCTGTCCTTTGACCCAGTTTCCTCTCCAGTTGTTGGGAGCTTCTGTACCTCACTGTGCGGTAGAGGAGGCGCCTCCTTTGGGCTACCTGGAGCCTTTTCACTAGCATAAGTACCCCCTTTGAGCTTCTCCGATACGCCACCCTCTGTTCCACGAGTTCCTTCTTTCGGAGCTGCCCGGTTGCGGTCGTCCATGACCCCATCATTGGAATAGGGGATTGGCTTGCCATCGGGGCCCAGGTGCTCTGAAGACCTTGAGTCCGACTTGGTCTGTTCGTCCACTGAGGTTGTTGTTCCTGTTTTTTTGCGATCCCGCTCCGCATTCGTCTCTACCCACGGACCAGCGTGTGGTCTACCATCTTTACCGTCAACCGGGGCGTCCAGCGTCCCTTTCGAGGCAGTTGTTGGGGCGAGTTCGTCTAGATCAGGAATAACTGGGTTACCACCTGAGTATTCACGTCCCACCACGGCAAAATCCTTTGTGCTTTCATCACTTGGGTTTGGTGTTGCAAGCGCGGAAGTGATCGCAGGAAGCAGGAGGAGGACAATCGGCGAAGATAGGCGGAACTTCATTATAAGAAAACGGGGTAGATTAAAGATTGTACGAAAAGGAAGCCGTGGAGAAATCGCAGGGAGAGAAAGAAGAGAGAATCAAGAGTCCTTGAGGGCTGAATCAAGAGAGAAGAAGTGGTCGCAAGGGAATTCAACTTGTCGGAGGGTCGAAGATCCTCAATAATCAAGCCACGATGGCAAATCCCCGGCGAAAGGAACGAGAAGAGGATCAATTTAAAGGAGAGGCTTTTTTTTTAAATAAAGAATATAAGGTATAATAATGGTGTAAATTAAAAGAACAGAATAAAACGAGGCCAGGAGAAGTCACAATTCGAATTAATTGAAAAAAAAAGGGGAGGCAAAAGAGGGACGACGCTGCACTGTTGAACGCCTTTTTTTTCTGGCTGCAAAGGGGCAACGCCGCGTTCTGTCACGTGACCCCATTCCGCTTGCAGCGGGTTTGAGCTTCCATTTTGGTAGTCTAGAGATGAATCTTTTTGAACTCTTTGGATTGAGTATTTAAATTATTGACTCCGGACTGTCTGGTTGAGCTTTAATCTTCTTATTCCTGGGTTTAAGTAAATATCTGGCGGATTCAAGTCCGTTGGCCGGGACGGGAATTTTTGAACTTAGGGCTTTCTTTTATACTCCATTTCCAACTTTTGTCTACCCAAGGAAAAATGTACCCTAGAGATCTAGCTCTATGATATAATACTGACGGTCTTTGTTGGGGGATCTGACAAACATCATTTCACCTCTAATCTATCAAATGTATATACAGGTCCAAGTATAATAGCCGTGAGGGAGGGGTGCATCATCGAGGATGGAAGAACCTAAGCTCTGGATGGAGCGATTGATTGAACCAGGCTACTAGTACCGTTTCACCCCTGTCTGGGCGGCGCTCAAATCAACCTTGGAAGAGGGCTGACTATCTTATGGCGAATCATTCAAACCAACTACTGCGTGGCTATTGCGGTATTTGGGGCCAGATCAAAATAACTTCAAGTTAGCAAGCAGGTCTTCTTATCTCTGCGGTTCAACTACGTGCCAGGAAGCAACAGCTTCCAGTCAGCTATAGTCTTCAAGTCCTTACGGCTTTTCTGCAATACCAGATGTTAAGTAGTATTCGAATTTAAGCACGATGTTTCTAGTTCTGGGCTTTACCTATAATACCCCGGTTCATCCCCAGGGCAATTTTGCGGCGCAGCTCTCTTGCAGCGACGTTCACATTTCCTCCTCCAATCGCCGCTCGTTAGAGATAACTAATGGTTAGGGATCGGCTTAACGAAATCCTGCCTCGTGAGTTGCCTGTCTGGAGAGGCCAAACTGCATAAATATGGCGGCGTGTCTCCTCTTCGGTCTCGTTCCCTTTCCTACCTTTAGTACTCCCCATCATTATCATCGCACTCGACGAGAAAGCACCTGAAGAACAACAGCCATCATGACCCGTGTGCCTGTGATATCTGGGGCTTCATCGCCCTCGCCACCTCCAGCTGACAATATCACGTCCCGTCCACACACTCCTGAAGTACGTCATATCGTTCCTTCCACGGAGTTCACTTTCTCTCCGTCCGGGCCAGGCTTCAATTTCGCCTTTACTCCTCCATCCCGAGAAATTATGACACCGGGTTCCGACACTACCAATACTAGGTTTGGTCCCTTGCTCGTGCCATCTGTGTCTCGGGAGTCCACCACTTCAGATACCAGAGCTCGTTTGTCGGCCGTTGATCGAGGGTCTAGCTTGAGGCAAGAAAACAATGGAGCACCCGAGACTCCTCGGCCCACTGTACAGAGATCTAATCTATCGCCTAATCTCAATATCGCTACCTATAGGGACCTCCACAATGCAACACCTACCCCGAGTCCCCAACCTACTTCGTCCAGTGGGCCAAGTCAGGAGAGCTTATCTTCACGCCTAGAATCTGTGGCGCTTGGCTTTCGGAATCTGGCGGTAAGGAGTCAGGAGAGCACGGTGATTACTAGGTCTCCTTTGTCTTCACATCTAGAATCTGTGGCGCTTGGCTTTCGGAATCTGGCGATAAGGAATGAGGAGGTTCCGTCTATCCAAGGACACGAGGAAGAACAAGGCGATAACACGAGTGATAGTTGGTCCGACGCCAGCTCTGGTGAAGAGAGTGATGAGTATCATGTCTCCCAAGAAAAACTTCCCGACGCTCCAATATATAATGTTCGTCTACAACGCGCCGTCAAGGAGGTGCGTTCGCAACTCCTTCACCTGAGCAATACGATGGGACGATGCGGACTGGCGCACGATCAAACAACGGATATAAGCGCCTTATACGAGCAGGTTCAAATGATGAGCAAATTTGATTACCCGGCGACTCGCACGGTTGGGCTCATCGGAGATTCTGGCGTAGGTAAGTAGTCGGATTACAATTGGGACCTGGTAGGATGCACTTGAAGTAACCGCGAACCAGGCAAAAGCTCCCTCGTAAACGCGCTTTTAGACCAAAGCGGTCTATCCCGATCGGTATGTATAAACCCAGAAACGTCTCTTTCATATCTAACTTCAGGGTTAGAGCGGAAATGGCACTGCCTGTACTTCCGTCGTAACCGAGTTTCGAAATGTGGATGAGAGACATCAACGCCCATATACTGTTGAGGCGGATTTCATGGGTACTGATGAAATAAGAGAGCTTTTACGGGAGCTGGTGAGATGCTTTCGAAGAGTTCATACCGAAGCTCGATCAGAAATTGTCGGTGGAAATGAATGGGATTTGGCTCAATCATCCTCGGTGCGTGCCTGGGCGGCGTTGGAGGCTTTATTTTCCTCGGAGCCTGGCTTCTCGGAGGAATTCCTCTCTAATGAGGAACCTGATGCGGAGAATATAATTCTTACGCAATTAAAAGAATGGATTCAAGATGTGCTGAGCCATAAGCCTGGTGGCCCCGATGCCATTCAATATTCATTTACTGCACAGGATGCCCACGAGTGCAAGGATTCACTTGATATGCTTACAATGGGGCCTTATCACCCAGGAGGGAGGGCTATTTGGCCTTTTGTCAAGATGATCAGGTTCAGTACAGATGATTCTCAATATTAATTCCCACTTTCTAATCAAGGGTTGCAGGGTCTTTCTGAAATCGCCCATTCTACGAACAGGCCTTGTCATAGCAGACCTACCAGGTGAGAATTTCCCCTCGGGGGGGGGGGGTTCTTTTTCTATTCGGTTTCTTATCAATCCTAAATTCTTCTAGGCTTGCGGGACTCAAACTATGTCCGAGTAAGGGCAACTGAAAGATATCTTCGCCATTCCTGTGAGGAGGTGTTTATAGTCTGCAAAATCACTCGGTGTGATTCAGATGTTTCAATCCAAGAGATTATTGACAAGTGCACTCCGGACCAACAGATCCGAATAGTCTGCACTCAATCTGAGGTATGGATTTTGTGCAAACACGGGTGAATCGCTATATCCTGACATATATGATGCCGACAGACAGTGGATGCTGAAGAAACCATGCGGGACCGCGCAGCCCCTCGAGGAACAATAGAGCAGATCCAACAGCTCCTGGCTAATATTCGCACCCTTGAACGGTCGCTGAGGAAAATGGAAAAATCTCAGAGTCGGAACGCAGTGGGAACGGAACTATGGAGACTTGCAAAACGCGAAGCAAAAAGGTAAGTAATCCTCTCATGCTAGGGGGGGGGAGTGGAAAAAGATTAATTCCTTGCGATATGTAAAGAAACGAACAAAAAAAGCTCAAATTCAGGTATGTAGCTTATTTACCATTCCATAGATGCCGCCCAGCACGCTGATTTGAACCAGGCTCAAGAAGCTCTTGATTGAGACCCGAAATCGAGATGCGAATCAAAAGCTGTCCAAGAAATATAACAGAGTGGTTAAAGTTTTCTGCGTAAGCAGTCAACTATACACTAAGCATCGCGCGGATGGCCGGCAGCAAGCTAGCGAATACATTGATTTGAGTGGTATTCTCGAGCTGCGGCAGTATTGTCAGTTAGTACCGGCACAGGCTCAGTTCCAAGCAACCTCTGCCTTCCTTGAGAACAGCGTCCCGGCTCTCCTCAAATCCCTCGATCAATGGATACTGGCAGGGTCAAACAGGGTCACCGTCGAGAGGGCTCAAACCCTCCGCCGGGCCTTGGACGAGGCAAGGGCTACTATCACGTCGGTATGATAGGTTCCTTTTCTCGAAATGACCAAAGGGAGCTTATGAGTTAAGGGAACGAAGTGATTCGCTCCTATGCTGACAAGAAGTAGCGCCTTACTTCACGGAATTCATGTATGCGTCCTGTACAGGCCGGACTTGCTAATCAGCTCAGGGAATTTATCACCAGGCCAATTCGTAAGTTGCTCATGGGTAACCTCGACTCGATATCTTGTTCCTAAAGGATAGTAGGAGATTCCGAAAGAAGATGGAACGCTGAAGCTACCCGTGTGAGCCGGAATTGGGAAACAATAGTAAGATCCTATACAGACAGATATAGCTTGACCGGTCCTGTCTAGTTAACTATGTCTCCATCAGCACCATGACACATACGCCGCATTTTGCAGAAAATACGGAGTACACCAATCCAGAGATAGTACTATACGCTACTGGAACAATGAAATTCTCCAGGGAGCGCAGGATGAGCTCCTTCATAACTGGGAGTCACTACTGCAGCTGTTGCGTCAACAACAGAGTACCACTGAAACTCGGGTGACTGGTATTTTCGAGTCGGTTTGCGACACACTAGAAGGTTGGTTGGTATATGCCGCGCGACTCTTGTTGAATTGACTGCATGCTCATATCGAGAATCAGAGCATGTCCACCTGGCACCCGAGGCCATGGAAAATCTCCTGGATAGTATCGATGCGCACCAACGGTGCATAAACGTCTCAATTTCCAGCTGTTTTGATGACATTATCGCCAGCTCCACGTATGTTGAGCGTTACCTGGCTTATCAAGTAGAGGTTACTGACAGCCCTAGGCGAATTTCATGGGATGCGAGCGACGGCCACAGCGATATTTCTTACATGGCCGATATTATGCGACCAGCCTATGACATCTGCAACTTAGAATCTGGTAAGCTAAAGATGCTTGCTTCCTTTTATTCGACTCCCCGTTTATATGGGAAATGGTCCGTCCTGATGTCAAATTTGCGTAGGGAGAGGAAGTCATGACAGACGAAAGCGCAACATGGACCAACACCTTCGGCATTCGCAAATCTTTTTGAAGCTTGCAACCAGGATCCAGGTCGAGTATGATAGTATGACGAATACACTTTTCGATGATCTGAAGCAGAGATTAGAGGCTGAGGTCCAGAATATCACCCGAGACTTGGGAGTGGCCATCGCCGTTGAAGGTGAGGTGACAGAGGCCAGCCGTGTTCCAGCATTAGCAGACGAAATGAGAGAGAAGATTGCGCGGATCGAAGAATGTTTAGATGAAGCTCAGACTCTTGTGAAGGAGTCGTCGCAGCGTCGTTCTCAACAACGGGGGGGGCTAGAGATTGATACGGGTGAATTCTCAACACCAGGGACTGCAAGAGGAGAGGGTTTGATGTATTATTCGTAATTTTATTATGGCAAGTTCAACCCATATCTACTTTTTTTTTCCCTTTTTCTGGTTGTTGGTATCATGGCTGCAGTGTCGAAGAGTTAGGCCAGGGCATTCTAGAAGCCAGAATGGCATCCACAACAGCATCATCATCGACAAGTAGAAGACTACTCTGTAACTCGATAGGAAACCATTATCTATTCCTGTACTCCGTAGTTCAAACTAAATCCTTCGAGTTCTTCGGGGGCTCGATTCTTTGTTACCCAGTCGACCAACATGCCCAAGCACCAATCCCTCGACGATGACGCCTCACTTTCGATCCGCATCCGGTTCCTAGTTCTTTATTCTCTCGAAACCTTAGACTGTTGTGTCCTTTGTTTGGTTGAAGTTCTGATGTACAGAGTCTCTCGTATTGTGCGACTTAGTTACCTCCCGTTTCCCTGGCTACTTTCTCTTTCTCTGCAATTGCGCCTCCATCACAAAGAACCTTGTCCTTAAATATCTTATTTTCTCCTCTTCATGCACCCTTTCCAAGGGGACAGAAGTTTTCTGTGTGTTAGACCGTGGGGGAATCTTTCAGCTCCATTGGAAAGAAAACACCATGTCGTCCAACTCTTCCTCCTCCTCCTCCTCCTCCTCTACTTCAACTGCTGCTTCCGCAACCCATACGATCCAAGTTGGTCCCAGGGAGAGCCCGCATCAGTATGTACCGCATTCTATTTCGGCAAACGTGGGCGACGTGGTAGTCTTCCAGTTCTATCCGCGTAATCACTCTGTGGTCCAGGCCGATTACAACGCGCCATGTATACCTGCGAACGGAGATTACTTCTTCTCGGGTATTTTCGACACCTTTGATGAAGTTAATGGTCAGCTTGTGGGAGACGTATGTTTCCCTTAATTTATATAGACGCGAATGAAGTCTCTGGCATTGATCTGATGGGAGTTTTGTTATTCTAGCCGCCTACCTGGAGCTGGACCGTCGATAGAAGCGAGGTACGATTATGAAACATCTACTGTACTGCCGTTTGGCGGGTTAAGAAAAAAGAAAACAGAAATGAAAAGCAAAGAAAAGAGATAAAATGGACCCCGTGCTAATCGTCATAATAGCCTACTTTCTTCTACTGCACTGCCATCGACTCGTGTCTTGAAAACGGCATGGTGGGAGCCATCAACCCGGTACAGTACATACATCTACATCTCCTCCTTTCCTTCACTTCCATCCACAGATATAAATTCGTTTCAGTAAATTATTATACTAACTAACTTGTTTGAATCCACTCCACTCCCAGAATGCTTCCATGACATGGCAAACCCAATACACAAGCGCCCTGAATGCACCCTACATGCTGTTCCCAGGACAGCCCATGCCCGCAGAAGGCGAGCAGCAACAATCCTCGCCATCCTCCACAACCTCGTCTGCCTCTCCTTCTTCTCCCTCCACCACCTTGGGAAATCCATCCGCGTCCTCGTCCTCGTCCTCGTCCCTAAGCGGCGGCGCCATCGCGGGAATCGTCATCGGCGCGGTAATCGCCGTCCTCGTCATCGGCGCCTTGCTCTTCCTACTCGGCCGTAACAACGTCTACAAGCAATGGGTGACCTCGCAATCCGCCGAGGGGAGCACGACTGCCCGTACGGCGCGCTGGGCGTTATTTCAAAGCGGAGGTCCAGGTCCAGGTCCAGGCACAGGCGCCATGAAAAGCGAAATGGATAGCTGTGTCGGTGGCGGTTCTTTACCGTATTCTGGTGCGTCGCCTGTGAATATGGCTTTGCAAAGTCAGGGCCAGGGCCAGAGCCACGGCCACAGCCACAGCCAGAGCCAGAGCCAGAGTCTCAGGCAGAGTCAGGGACCGGGTCCGGGTCCGGGATCGGGACCTGAGCTAGGGATAGGACAGGTTGAATATGGATATGGGCATCCTGGGCAGCAGCAACAACAACAACAACAGCCGCCGTATTGGATTTGGGATCAGAGCGTGATGCCCAAGGGTCGGGTTAGTGGGCCTTCGGAGTTGGAAGGGACATATATGAAATGAAATGAAATGAAATGATGTGATGTCTTGTTCCCTGGCTCTTTGTTGCGTTCTGTTCTAAATTTAATTTTTTTTTTTTTTTTACTTTTATTTTGTCTTCAGTTTGCATGGATGGTCTGAGGGGAGTTAAGAGGTTGGCTTAGTATTATCATGTTGTTAAGTGAATATACTGTAAAAATAATATATATCATAATGTATATTAATTGGTAGAAACAAAATAGGGATTTTCCCTCTACACTAAAACACTGCTCTTCACGTTGCGCACTTGTCTTTTGATGTCGACTTTCCTAATCCAGGTAATTCATGGTATAAATCCTCTTTGTGAAGCATTCCAGGATTCAACGCCCAGGACCCCCACGGTACAAATGTAGCGAGGAAGACCAGGACGGATATCACAGTAAACTGGACACTGGCGATATTTCGGATCGCTTCGTAAATGTTGCCGCCTCCTTCTGAGCCGCCGGTTCGAGCGTAGACGTGGTCAATGTAACTGCCGAGAATGGGAGATGTGATTGCGTAGAGAACAATGTATGTGGAGTAAAGAAAGGCCATGACTGCGCCCAGAGACGAGACGTTCTTTGTCTTCGACTCGACCCGTGCAAGCGCTGCTTGGATGTAAGCCGCTAAGGATACGTCACCTGCTGCCCAGCCGAAAGAGATGGGCAGAAAGGTGGCGGCGGCGATCCAAGCCATGGAAACTTGCGAAGGTGGTGGACGCCAGAAGGGCAGATACCAGGTTATAAGCAACATAATCGCGTCCAGCCGTAGCCAGGGGATCGGGGTATGGACGAGGTTGGCGAATAGAATGACAAACAATGCGCCGAGAAGCTCTCCTAGATTCGAGCCGCCCACAATGATCTGCGACCACGCGGCGTTCCCAAAGTAGCGACGAGCGATCGCGGGAGCTACACTATTCTCAAGGTAGCGGTGGGCGTACAACGCGATGGCGTATCCGGGCACTAGCCAGATAAACTTGCGAGAAGTGAAGAGGATGCGCGCACCCGTCCAAATTGACTCCAGAAAAAGCCAGAATCCCACCACCACCGCCTGGATATATGGAGGCTGGTTTTCAAGAACTTCGGCACGTTGGGTTTGGAACCCACAGTCCGAGAGGAAAAACCATACAATGGCCGCGAGCCCAAAACAAACAGGCGTAATCAAAAAAGAGTAGTTGTTGCCAAAATAAGGAATCAAAGCGAGAGCAGTGCAGAACGCGCCAGCGGTTCCGGATACCTCGTAAAAGATATGCACCAGCGCATCCAGCTGGCGCAACTTCTGAACGTGGCCACCAACAAGATCGCGAGGAATTACTCGACGTATCAATTCAACCATACCGTATGCAATTCCAGCCACACAGTAGACAGGAATAATGCCGTCCGTGTTGTAGCGGCCGTAGTAATGAAAGTCATGTTCCGGATGATTGTTACGGAAGGATGCTGGGGCAAATGTTCCCCCTGTACTAGCATCGATGACGAGAAGTAGGGCACTGAGAATGCCAAACACGAGAACTCCCGCAGCCAACACTATCCGCGCAGGAAATCTTCGTATCAGAGGGGCGATCAAGATAGATCCGACACACTGACAAGCCTGATTAAGGCCTACCATGAGCCCAACGCGTTGGAATGTTTTTGGAGGAGTGTGGGTGATGTAGGCATCGTAGTCGTATTTGTTCGTGGCAAGAGTCACGATAGATCCATTGAACGCCTCTAAGCCAAGTTTGTACAGCATGATACCCAATATATAGATAGCTATATCGCGTCTCTCCAGAGGAGTAAACATACGCCAGTTTTGCCGGACGACATTGTAGAAGGGTGCCATAGCATTGGCTGCTCCATAGTCATGACCACCACGATGTAAGTAGTCTCATACGAAGACAACGTAACTGGGACAAACCGGACAAAGCTTTGATATAAATAAATCTCAAAACACACGCGCGATCAGGGTGTGCTCATCGAATTCCTGAGCCCTGGCATCTTGGTCAGCCCAGATGTCCCTCTCCCCTGTTTGCACCCCAGCCAATTCCATCACCATCTTGGCGCAGCGCAGTATACCAGGGAACAAATCCAGCGGCGGCTTCAAGACACGTTGGAGCGGGGGCCAGCAGGGGAACAGATCGAATGTCGTCTAAATCTCGCCATGGCGATAATAAGTTGCGTCCTTAATCAAAGAATTCAAGAAATGAATACAGGTAGAGGAATTGAAGCTCGCTATACACGCACGTGCTGACTGGGTCCATATTAGGTTTAGTCTTGGAAATCACCTCGCCTTGGTGCCTTAGGACACACTGTGCTGAATTAGGAAAGCATTTATTGCCTCAGGACTTTTTATTAGATTATGATTTCACTTGTGATTGTTAAATAACCAGAAGTTGACTGAATCTCAGGAGACACCAGAATCTCCCAGGTCTTCTAGTTCCCCCTCATCATGACAGGATACCTGCAAGAAGATTATTTGGTCAGTTTCCATTTCCTGAACCATGTCTAAAATATCCCAGCCTCTTAACCTCGTTGTACTCCATACAGAGAATGGTCTCACCATCATGATGACCCCTGGGCCATTTAACCCACACCTTTACTTGCTAGGAATTCACTCAGAGCATGGTTTTCAGAATGAGCACACTGACGCACGATCAGTATTCTTTGAAGGACTCTACACGTCCCCCACCAACTAACTAGTTACCAGACAAAACACCCTGCAAGATGACGAATAATATTCCAGATCGCTGGGCTACACTCCCCATACTGGAGGACTATCAGTGTCCACCACAGACCTTCGCTAATATCAATTTGTTGGAGCTTCCGATGATCGCGGGAGAGGGATAAAATGGCAAACTTGGCAGCAGCCAAAACCGCTCAAGTTCCGAACCTCAACACATGGACAAGTACTGAAGAGGGTACAAAAGACGTCGAAGGTCAAAATTTTACAGAGTTTGAGTCTTGAGTGGATATGAAAGGCAGATGAAACAGGAGAAACTACCTGCACCCCCAGACGGGACCGCAATCAAGCCACTTGCCTCCTAACCCGGCCGCCATCCATTTCACTACACAGGGGATCCCGAACATGGAGTTATGAATGCCTCTTGATGGTCTTTGTGGAGTGCCTCCTGTCAGCTGCTATATGATGCAGAGACACTTTCGCCTTATTTCGGACACTGTTGATTGCTGATTGGATGTTTTGCGATCTCTTCTGCATGCGGTCAAAACAACCCACTTTTTAGCCTTTGCGAGTTTGTCGCTCCAATCTTCCTGTAATCCTTCCCTCCCCCCCACAAATCTGTGGGCATCATCTTGAACTGTTCCAAGTTCCAACTTCACTGGCTGGTGCTTATCACAGCTTACGAAATTTGAGACCCCTACAGACGTCAGCGTGCAGATACCCCTCCCCCATGTGGACATTATCATGTATAGCGCCGTCGATCGAACTGACCCTTGGTTTAGGTACAAACTACAGAGTTACCAGCATCTCCTCTGCTATATCGCAGCCCGTACGGAGTACATAATTTAGTTTGCAGTTAGTGGGTCTTTAACAAGCTTATGTTTACTCAGAATCGCCTAGGGGGAGGCGGCTGTTGCCCACCGCCTCTCTCAGGATTCATTGGGATTGAAGTTTGTGGCGCTCATAGAATTTCGACTAAAACATCGCGACCTTTTACCCTCTTGCACATGACAACTATGGAATCCACTGGATACTGACCAGCCTCCCAGAGAATCTTCATATTTATATTGGCCTTATCCTCTCCTTCTTTTAACTCTTCCTCCGAATATGTATGGTGACTATCGTTAGCTATCATAGTCGGTCCTGCTTATCGCAGGCTGTGACCAGACTAGTGGTGAAGGATAGGCGTGGTGCTAGCAATCGAAGCATACCCCCTATTAATATCCCTTACCCAGCCACCAGCGACTTGTCTCCTTACTGTATGAGGCATGAACTAGTCGTGAGTTTCACATCGCAAGACCTTTGTCGGAATTGCTAACCAACCCCCGTGATAGGTACGTGCCTACTCGTTTTACACAAAAAAGTCGGGGTTTTTGCAGCATAATACTTGGATTTTCTGCTCCTCACTACCGTCATCCAATCCTCATCCTCCGTTGACTTTGCCGCACAATCACGTCCCGAGTCGATTATGACGATTCCCGAGACACAGCCTGCGGCCCCGGCCGCCCAAAGCCTGAACGACAGCAACAATGAAAAGTCGCAAGGTACCAGTTGGTGGAAGAAGCTGCTCGGGTCCTCATCTGATGATGCCAACTCAAATGTAGACGACATCGGCTATCGTCCGAGAGCAACATTGGGTATTCTTAGCGATCGAGAAACGGACGAGGTACCGGGTATGAATGAGTGCTTCACCTGAATAGATATGTTTTCCAAAGGACACCTCACTAACACACATTTTAGGGACTGTTTTATTGTTGTCCTCGAATCGCAATGAGCCGTTAGGTCTGAGGCACCAACCTCAGCGCACCTCTGCCTCATCTTTACCTGCCCCATATCCCCCATCTCGTTCGTCTTCACGTGCATCTGCGCCTCCGACAAAGAAGACAGCCAATGGAAAAATTGTTCTGGAACCCCAACCAGACGATTCAATGAATGACCCTCTGAACTGGCCAGTCTGGAGGCGTGACGCCGCATTAATCTCTCTCGGTTTCTATTGTCTTATGGGAGGAGGTATGACACCTGTTCTGGCGGCCGGCTTCAATCAAGTCTCAAGTGACTTTGGTGTCAGCACCCAGAAGGTGGCATATACAACAGGCCTGTACATGATGGGACTGGGTATCGGTTCAGTGATCATGTCACCAACCGCTATTCTGTGGGGCAAGCGTCCCGTATATCTACTTGGTGCGACACTCTTCATTCTCTCCGCCGTTTGGTGTGCTCTATCTCCCAATTACCCCAGCCTGGTTGTGGCCCGGATTTTTCAGGGAATCGCAGTGAGCACAGTGGAGTGCCTACCTTCAGCTACTATCGCAGAAATTTACTTTTTGCATGAGCGAGCATACCGTGTCGGCATATATACCCTTCTTCTCCTTGGTGGTAAAAATCTTGTCCCCCTGGTAAGTGCAGCCATTATTGAAAGTCTGGGTTGGCGTTGGGTATTCTGGATTGTCTCCATAATCGTCGGGGCTTGTCTCATTTTGATCTTCCTCTTCGTCCCAGAGACATTTTGGGATCGAACCCCGCGACCACGACGACATCACAAGCGGCCTAATATATATCGCAGTGTGTCAGACATGGTAAGCCACGGGTTTAGGGGCCGCGCTGCTGGTACTCGGAACGAAGAGGCCCCACACACGGAGGACACTGGGGATTCTATGTTGCATAAATCACACAAAAAAGGCCATGTGGGGTTTGTTGATGGTGAGCCTGAGAAGGAACAGCTTGGTGAACCGGAATCAGAGGCCATCCAGCAGCAAGGGAAGGTCCCCCCGGTTGCAGATGAATCAGGAGCTAGAAGTGAATCGTTGGAACCGACAGGCGGGCTGAGTTTAACTTTGCAGTATACCAACCGACTCCGAGAGAGGTCGTCCATTCCATTCACCCACTACCTTCGACCTTGGAATGGCCGGATTTCCCAGGATCGTTGGCTACGTGTGGCGGCCCGGCCATTTATCCTATTTGCCTACCCAGCAGTTCTATGGTCGACTGTGGTGTACTCGTTATCCGTTGGATGGCTCATTGTTTTGTCGGAGTTGGTCTCGCACATATATCAAGGCCGGGAAAATTACAATTTTACCCCTCTGCAAACCGGACTGGTTTACATCTCTCCCTTTGTCGGGGGGTTGCTGGGGACAGCTGTAGCTGGTAAAATTTCGGACATAATTGTCCGATACCTCACGCGTCGCAACGGCGGTGTTTACGAACCGGAGTTCCGCCTAGTCATGGCGGTTCCAATTGCCCTAGCGACGACAATTGGGCTAATGGGCTTTGGTTGGAGTGCTCAAGAGAAGGACAACTGGATTGTCCCTACCATCTTTTTTGGGGTGGTGTCATTTGGGTGCTGCTTAGGCAGCACCACCTCTATCACTTTCTGTGTGGACAGCTACCGACAATATGCGGGTGAAGCTCTCGTCACGTTAAACTGGAGCAAGAGTATGTATTTGCCCTTTCCCCGACCCTGGTTGCTCTGTATCACAATGCTAACGAGACTGCAGACGTCTTCCACGGGCTGATATTCTCCCTGTTTGTTGTCGACTGGGTGGAGGCGGACGGTGTGCGGACAGTCTTTGTGGCTCTGGGAGTCATTCAGATGGTCCTTTTACTGTTCTCTATTCCGATGTATATCTACGGGAAACGCGCACGGATGTGGACCGTCCGGAAACGGCTGATGGAGCGGTTTTAGATAGTTACATTTTGCTAAGGTTATCATTCCTGAATCGGTTACGACGCGACGATTTTTTTTTTCTTGTGGTAGTTATGACTGGGGTTGAGATACAGTGTTATGATCTCCCTGTTCTATAGACACGCTTCTAGAGCTTGGATATTGTAGACCGGGTGTATTGGGATAGATTAGAATATTTGGTTGTTTGTTTCGTGAATCTAAGATTCTACACCACAGCCACAGTTTCTCGACTACCCAGAAGGTTAGTGATCTGGGCCACAGAGAGTAGTATCTTTCTGTGTCTGTGGATATGATATGATATGTTTTTTGAATTGTCAAGACCTAGGAAGCCGCACCGGATAACCTGGAGTAGGATCAGCTTTTTTTCACATCACCCCTCTCTGTCGTCAGCATTTGCCCAGCTTGAGGACTATTTTCTACACGGCTTCGATCAGCCTGATCAATGGTTGAGTGATTTTTTTCCACCTTATCCCATGTCTTTTTGGAAAATTTTTCTCCCGAGGATGTATGTCTGTCTGGAGACACTAGAGGGCGGAAAAGAAGAAGATTGTCGTTACCTAGCGCAGGCTAGCTTGGGGCATGTGCCATGTACTGTGATGTCTATTGCTCGAAATACGTATGTATGATGGGTTGCAAAACAGGCAGGGAGGTGAGAGTCTCATCATGGGGAGATGTGGTGTTTCTCTATATCTCGACAGTAAAGGCTAGACATATATATATATATACATACATATATACATATATATACACTCCAGGGGGCAAAAGAAACTAGTTACTTTAGCAAAAAAAAAAAAAAAAAAAATAGAAATAGGATGGTTCTCGACATGTATGTAGTTCTAGAAGTACAAGCTTGTCAAAATCGAAATAAAAATAGCAGAAAACTCCACAAAAGCTAGAAAAGCTAGAAAAGAAAGAGAAAAGAAAGAGAAAAGAATAGAAAGACCTTCTTGCATTCAAAAGCACGCATCCTAAAGACAAACCCTAACATGTTCAGCCCTGGATAAAATTGCCCGGTCTGTGCAAAAAAAGTCCTGTACCAATTTATACAAAAAAACAACGGTCAACCATCGGGATGGGTACGGATCGCCTTCATCTCACTCATCTCACTCATGTCCATACATCTCGCGTCCTCATTACATGCGTGTCAATTCCTGTCTTGATTCCACCATGGGGAAGTTGGCTAGGGCACAACGTTTTCCAATTTCAACGCCAGCTGTCGAAGAACCGGCTCTCCTTTCTGTTGGTATTCGCGCATGTGCGGGATGAGAAATGGGATTCCTGCGGCGTTCTCGAACTGCTGGCGATAGGCAGCGTAGTTTTGGAACGGATCAAGGAAATGGACTAGGTCCGGCGGGAGCACAGGTTTCGGGGCTAGGCTGGCCGTGGGAGTATCCGTTTCGACACACGCAGACGACTCAGACACACTGTATTTATGGAGTCCAGTGAGAACAGCCATGAATGAGTGGTAGGTGCGGAGAAGTAGTAAGGGCTGGAGACTGTCAGTTGGATTACAGTAGCGAGGCGCAAAACAAACACCTTACTTGTAAACATTCTTGGATGCTTCCCACCATATCCGGGAGTGCTGTGCAACACTCCCACACGTCTAGGCTGAGGAGCTCCCACTGGATGCAAAGGCGCTGGATGAGGCTTTGGTCAAAGATCCCCTGCTCGACGATTCCAGAGAAGTCCCGCTCGTCGGCGTTGGTTAAGGTTCGAGCGAAGTCCATAGAGGAGGTTGAGCCTAGTAGATCCTCAAGGAATGAAAAGGCAACGTTAAAAGGCCGGGTCCATTCCATCGCTCGGGCGTGCACATAGGTGCGCTGAAATCGAACTCCAAGAACACTAAGTACCTTCAGAATTAGCGTTAGGCTGGGTGGAAGGTCTCTAAAAAGACGCTGGATTGGCCCCGCGAAGAATTCAAAGCCCTGAGGTGTATTAGAAGACAAGTCGGCTTGGCTGCTGATGCCTTGTACAGCGAGAAGGCACCGAGCCAAAGCCCGGTGGGCAAAGGGGCTTCGCTCCCGGAGGTGCTTTGAGGGGGTTGTTAGCCAAATCAACAACAGCTAGACCCAAAGGACTCAAACCTTCTCGACTTTAACATACCTCCCCCGGTCTTCAGGAAAGGCATTCAAATAGTTCAAGAGATGAACGTAGAAAACAGTATGCTGCTGCAAAAACCAGTCCACCCGGGAAGACGGCCAGCCCAACGAATAGCGGACTAATTCCTCGAACGAAATCCGGGTAAAATGCAGCTGGCTTTCAGCATCAATAGCCTCTGCAATTGCAAGAGGAGTCAAATCACCGTCCTTGCAAGCTGGGAACCAACCCCACGACACCAACGAAGGAGTGGCAACCCTACAACGTCGGACAATTTCCTCGACCTTCTGCGTATGCGAGAGACTAGGAAATAGCGCTCTCTCGTGGGGCTCGACCAGGGTAAGGAGGAAAGTATCAATCGTAGCCGCGTTACGGGTCTGGAGTACCTTGCGTGGCAGGTGTTCATCTTGAAAGAGCCCGTAACGAATGACGCGTTTGATCTCCTGGGCATCAAAGGCCCAGAGAATAGTCGTCACTTCGTCCTCCCACCATCGATACGAAACGAAAAATTGCGGGACCTCATCGGCTGATCGAAACAAAGACGGATAGTTCGAGTGTCCCAACAGATAGCCTGCCGCGCTGGCCAAATCCGGGACGGGCTGCTGAGATGGGAACTGTGACATCTTGTGCAAATGCGCAAGGAGAGAATAGGGAAGGGTAGAGGGATTGTTAAATGCGAGAATCCCGGGAAGCAGACGCTTATATCCGGCACATTTCTATATGCAAAAGGTGTCTCAGGGACACAAGGATATCAGAGGAAACTTTCTTGGACGCAACCCTGCGATATCGAGTTCGATGACGAAAAGCAATGAAGATAAAAGCAGGGACGCGGCCGATGGAACGAAGGGAAATGAGCCACGGCGATTTGTATAAGGAGGGAGGAAGAGGAGGAGCCTGGAACTGAAATCAAGGACAACTTGAGCAAGGAAGATTAAAGAATAATCCCGAAGTCATGGGAGCAGGGAATTGGGGCTTTTAGTGGCTTTTTTTTAATGCTTCGGTCCTGGTCAAGGTAGAAAACTCTTTAATAATTCACTTAATTATTATTTTTCTACTTTATTGAATCCAATTTCTTTTTCTTTTCTTTCCAACTGCATTGATTTTGCCTTCTTCACCCCTGTCGTTGCCAATCTTCCAATCCAACGATTCTTGCCACATTAAACAGCCTATGAATGACCTGCATTGGATGCGAATCACGGCTGATAATCGCAATCCTTTGTTTCTTGATCCCTACTGAAGTGCTGGATCCTGAAGGGAGAAGGGAAAACATAACGGCAAGTGGCGCATTTGCAGAGAACGAAGGAGGAGGGAGAGGGGGCGGATCTCGATCCAAACCGCTGGGCCACTGTGGTCCCGACATCCAGGTAAGCCAGGCTAATTGATTATTGGGGGTCTGGACGGAGATGAGATTACCTAGTAGGACTGAGCTGAAAACCGATGCACCTAGCGGAGGGCGCTAAGAGAAAAAAACATGGCTATCCTACTACTTCAGACTGAGACCAATCAATCTGGAGGTTACGGCGAAATATCGATGTAAAGCGCCCCCTAGTCTGGCTTCGAGCTAGATCCTATAAGAGCTGTTAAGCAACAACTCGGAAGGAAAACGAATGATAAAATGATTCCCCACAAGGATTCAATGTGAGTGAAAAGAAAAGAAGAAGAAGAATCACACAAATATCTGCCCCCGTCCACGCATGACGGAAGTATACCGATATGCTCGCTAATAAAATACTGAGAATAATCAACCAGCATCATATCATTATCGTGGCCACCATTGTCTAGTCCATTTCTCAATCAGACCCAAGGCCCAGAATAGCAACACCATGCCACCACCAACCAGCTGTCACCAGGCGATATGAAATAGGGGAGAAGCGGTCAGGAGCTACAAAGCCTTCAACTGGTCCGCAGATGAACGGCCCAGGGAATAGTACCAACTACCAAAATGTACCGAGTATCCACGGTTGAGTCCTCGATGTATTTCAATCGGTTTCCGATCAACGGCTCATCGGTTCCCAGCGGGTTCCCTTTTTCAGGGGGGGATATGCTGTTGGTGCTGTCCTTTCGCTCTAGCGGTGTGCCAGAACTGGGTAGAGGAATGATCGATTGATTATACGAATCGAAGAACGGAGTATACGGGATAGATAGGTTGTACTGTGTATGAAGTACATAGGAGGTTTCCATTGTTTTTTTCTTTCTTTTCATTCTGTCTTTTTGGATGTCCCCTAAACTCGCCTTCTGTCGTTGAAAGGGGGAAGGGAGGAGGAGGGATTGAAGGCAAAGTATTCTTGTGTCAAGTAAGAAACAGTGAGAGAGGAGAATAATCTATCAGGATGGTGGTAATGACAATGAAACTCGATCTCTGTATGCAATGATCAATAGTATCATAAATATTAGGGATGATCCACCCAAGTCCAGCCACCGTAGCCTAAGTAATGGCCCTCTATTGCCACTGTGCCGGGAGTTCTACCTAATCATCCTTAAAATCATTCTTAGATTACCAGGTTACCTACTCCGTAGTGGGAGAAACTAAGCCAACACTAATGGGCTAGTGGTTCACTACTCTGTACTTGTATAACGCACCTATGGATCAGGATGGATCCCAAGCGGCTTCTCCGTCTTTCCCGCAAGTCTATACCTTTTTTTTTTTTCCTTCTTTCCTGGTAGATCCGCAACTTAAAACAGTTTTGCCTCCTGCTTTGCTTTTTGTTTCATTCGGATTTCTCTTGGAGCCTGGAGCTTTGAAGCTTGGAACTCTGTCCCGACTCCCCACGCCAACAGTAAGAGCAAAATGAATACAATCTCAGTTCTTTCTGCTCCAGATATGAGATCATTGGCTCTTCTCACGCCGATCGCCAGATCGGTTCCCGGCTTGGTTGTCACTATACTGAGTAAGGCAGAAAAGAGTTCCCACCCCTTATAATAACGGATTTGGTTTGATTTGCTGGGCTCATTTATCCAACGGAAAGCTGTCACTGCAGGAAACCATGGGAATACTTTTTTTTATTTTTATTTTCCCAAAAACTTGGATATTGTGCAGGCCAAAGAAGAAGAAGAAAAAAAAAATGGACGAAAAGAGGAGCAAGGCATTGCACAGGCCTCTTTTGCCGCATACGCGCTGGGAAGAAGCATGAAACTTGGTAAGCTGTACAACGGCATCCATCCCTAATCTGCAGAAACTTGACTTTGTCTAGTCTAGGTATGCTCTTTCTCATCATGAGTTGTCGCGTACCTCCGAAATAGACAGCCTTTCATTAACAAAGAACAAATGAAACTTGTCTGCTGAAGGCTGACTGACTCGAGCGGTTCGAGTTAAAGCTCCGCAGGGGCGGCACTCGTGAATGGATAGATAGATTCCAGACATGCATGTCCAGCTCCTGCTGCTGCTGCTGCTGCTACGGGGACAACGGTTGAGGAGCTAAAGGATTGCCATGGATCCTACTTGCATACTGGAACTACTCGAGTAACCACCACCACGAAGTGCCTACAGTTGTGGACATCTGACAGCATCGTGTATAGAAAGGTGTGGCGCTTCCTTGGACGCCATCTCAGTCGTCTCTAAACCAACGTATACTATTCCTTAATTAAGAACGCCCTCGTGCCCATCTTCCCCACCAAATGAAAATCCCCCTAGTCTACCAGGTACTCTGTATGCTTCCAAGAAACCAGACCCTGGATGGCACCCGAATTTCTTATCGAGACCTCCCTCTATACATACCTGAAGTACTCCGTACCTGGTAGTCGAACTTTGATCGATTTAGTCTCCGGCCATTGATTGGATACAGCGATTCTATCCGGTCGACACTTTCACCTTCACGCGCCGGCGTCGATGATACCTATCAAAATCGAACGCCTAGGGAAATTCCTCCCTCCACTTATAAGTGCGCGTGAAGAACGAGCCGAGCACTGGGCAGGATGACATGTCAGTTCACTCTGTGCATTGTTTGTTTGCATTTGTGGTTTTGTTTTTTTTTTTTTTTTTTTTAATTATTATTATTCGTGCAGGTTTCAATGTGACTGGTTTTCTAGCCTTGACTTCTCTTAGGGTACCTATGGTTGTACTCCGGACCTACTCGATGCTCCTGTTGTGGAAGATGCAGTGCAGTGCACGGTCTGGCGTCCTTGTTAGTTTTTGTTTTCGTCTACTAACTAACTAACATTAAGTTGCAATGTAAGTTGCGTCGGCATTGATCCATACATACAGGGGGGCGCATTTCCCTCGTTGAGGACTCCGTACTCGAAATAACTCTTTTCTTTTCTTTCTCTTTTTTTTTTTTTTTTTTTTTTTTTCAAGTTATATTGTCGCTCAATCGAATCAGCAACTTCAACGGCCCTATTTCCCAGACTCGACTAGAAAAGAAAAACCAACCTCCAGACATTACATAACTAACAACAATCTAAACCTGCAAAAGCACAGACCTAACGTGGTTTTCCGAGATGACCCCCCTCTGCCGATCCTGATTCCACTCTTGATAGGGAGACAGAGAGGAGAGACCTCGAAGATAGGAACCCACACCAGCAACAATAAATAACCTACATGACGGATTAAGTTGACTGCGAACTTAATTAGCTATCTAGTACAATCCAGCCATAGGTACAGTAGTTACCTAACTGTTACAGGTACTACTACTACTACTACTACTACTACTAACTAATATTATCACCAGACGTACAAGCTAGTGTACACTGTCCTGCTACACATCAAGATTGTGAGGGGTAAAGAATGAGGTTAGGTAGGCAGTCAGTCGGCCTGGATGACATCCCAGCAGTTGGCTCGAGGGGAAGGATATCCTTGTTCTTTGTGGCGGAAATGGAGCAAGAAAAGGAGCGGGAGGGGAAATAACGCAGCCCGGGATTCCACGACTCCACTCCCTCCCTGATTCTCTTGTGAGTCTCGTCGGGTTCGGGTCGTGGGACCTCCTAGAAGCGAGTAATCCCGGGACTGCTGGATCGAGGGGACAGAGTATGGATGGGATTCATAGGGAGAAGGGATGAGATGGTGATGCGATAATACAGGGGCAGATAAGGTAGGATTACTTGGGAAGTCACTTGCAAAATATGATTAATCATAGGTATCATAGCAAAAGTAAATGAAGAGAGACCGGTTGCTCTTGTTTTGCTTTCTAAGTATGCTTCATGCCTACAAAGAAATTCAAGGAAAATGCTTGCAGACAACTTTTTTGGTTAATTCATGGTAACACAGGCGTCATACAGTCCACAAAGCAAGACAAGTGTCTCTCTCGCGGGTTTTACGTTTTATTTTATGCTTTTTACTTGCCAGTAGCCTCTATCACTTACCGGACCACATTTAGGCAGCAATAGCATGGGCACGGCGGCGGTCACGCTCCTCAGCAATGGAGAGCTATATTACGATTAGCATGTGGCCTTCTGAATGCATTTTGGAGTATGAGCATACCTTGACACCCTTGCCCTTGGGGAGGGAGATCCAGGGCTTGTCCTGGCCAATGACGAAGACGTTGCTCTCACGGGTAGCGAAGGTGTTGTCAATAGCGTCCTTGATGTGGACGATGTTGAAACCACCATCGTGACGCTCACGGTGAGTGACGACACCAACACGACCCATGTTACGACCACCAGTGACCATGCAGACAACACCGGTATCGAAGTGGACGTACTCGGAGATCTTGCCAGTGGCAATCTCAACCTTCACGGTGTCGTTGACCTTGATGGCAGGGTCGGGGTAGCGGATGCTGTTGAAAAAAAAAAAAAAAAAAAAGGCTCCGTTAGCATAACCTGTTCGTAGATTCAAAAACCTTACTGGGTGTCCCAGCAAGGACAAAGTTCTTTCGTCCTCCGCCGATCAACCAAAGCTTGGTCCAACGACTGAATGACACGGAACTTCTGGAGAGTATTCACTCACGTTCGCGCATCGTGCGTAACCAAGAATGGGATCCCGCCACGGCCGAGCTGCACCTTCTTGACCTTGCAAAGCTTGTACTCAGCCTCCTCAGCCTGGATGCGGTGGACGGTGAAGCGACCCTTGGTGTCGTAGATGAGACGGAAGTTCTCGCCGGTCTTCTCGATGCCGATGACGTCCATGAATCCGGCAGGGTAGGTAGGGTCGGTGCGGACCTTGCCGTCAACCTGGATCAGACGCTGCATCATGATCGCCTTGGTCTCACGGCCGTTCAGGGCGTACTTGAGACTATAATGAAAAAAAAAAATATCAACGTTAGCCCTTCATCTCCTAATCCGTCCAGGAAAAAAATTTTCCCCATCTTCGAGGCGAGTATTCGTACCGGTTGCGGATGAAGACGATCAGGGGAAGGCAGTCCCTGAGCTTGTGAGGACCGGGAGAGGCCTTGGGAGCATAGGTTCCGGACATTTTGTCCAGGAGCCAGTGCGAGGGCGCACTGAGGCGCTTTTGGTGCTTCTTACTACAAACCCATCGCGGTCAGTAAAACACTCAATAAATTCAACAACGCCAACTGTAGAGAAGAATCCGCCCCTGAATATCGAAATTCCGGGGCAGCATCTTTGTTTTCGGCGATGAAATGATTGCTGGAATAATGAACTCACGGTCCGCGAGGCATCTTGACTGCTTTGTCGACTTAAACCCGGTAAGTTGTCGGAAGTGTCGCGAAGGAAGAATACTGTGAAGTCAAGGGAGTCTTTGACTGATATGCGATCCACTCGCGAAATTCGCTTAGCGGCTGGTGGTTGTGGGATAAGCCCTAACACTAGACCTGATCTAGCCCCACCTGAACTATACCAGATTAGATTAGACTCTAAGTCCGCCATCAAATCCTGGTTATGTAATAAAGATACCCTTAAGACCGAGGCTTTCTTTTTCAACATTTTTTATTTTTGTAGCCTAATAAAAGGAATTCATATCTGACGCTTTCTAAATGACTATATACATTTGCAGGATTAAATGTATCCCTTGATCACAGCAACCTCTGCGTTCAGGATCGATGATCCGGCAGCACCAAGCACGGTGTTGTGTGAGAGCGCAGCGAACCTAATATCGAAGTAACCTCCAGGGTTGCCTTCGCGGACACGCCCCACACTTACAGTATATCCCCCAGAGATATCGCGGTCCAGCCTTGGCTGTGGCCTGTCGGGCTCATCGAAGACCTTGATCGCCTCGGCCGGCGCAGAGGGACAGCCGAGCTTCTGGGCTTCCGACTGATATTCTCTCATAGCCTGCACGACCTGTTCTGCGCTGGGTGCTGGGCGGTTCTTGAAACGCAGCGAAACAAATGCCATGTGGCCATCAGTAACGCCTACCCGGGTACAAGTAGCTCCAACTCTAAGACCTTCTTGCTCAACGAAAGCGGTCGCATCGCCGTTCAGGGAGCCAAGGATCTTCTGAGCCTCGTTCTCGAGCTTGTCCTCTTCGCCGCTAATGAATGGAATGACGTTGTCCACGATATCCATGCTAGGAACACCTGGGTAACCAGCGCCCGAAATAGCCTGTTCAGTGAAGACCTCCACCTCTTCGACAGGTCCGAACTTAGCCTGAAGAGCGGCAAAGGGGATGACAATACCGATAACAGCACAATTGGAATTGCAAACCAGGAACCCCTTTTTCAATCCGAAGTGTTTCCTCTGGTGGGGAATGAGGTCGAGGTGTTTAGGGTTGACGGTAGGAACAACGAGAGGTACCAGGGGGTCCTTGCGGTAGTTCTTTGCGTTGGAGAAAACGGGGATTTCGGCCTTGATAAACTCCATCTCTGCAAGACTTTTGTTAGCAAGTCCTCCGATGCTACCCAAAAGAACCAGTTCAGCGTACCAACTTCGCCCGCAACATCGCTGTTGAGTCCGGAGAACACAAGATCACAGTCGGCAAACTGATCGGCCTTGCAATCCCGTAGAATAAGGTTGCTAAGCTTCTCAGACATTGCCTTGCTCTGCTTCCATTTGACAGCATCCTTGTACTTCTTGTTGGCGGACCGTTCGGATGCACCAACAGCATGGAGTTCCAAGAAGGGATGATCCGCAAGCAAGAGGATGAACCTCTGGCCCACCGAGCCAGTGGCACCCAGAACACCTATCTCCCATAAGCATTGTATATTATTTCCGATCTGTTTGAGGTGTCTTCATACCGCACTTCTTCCTAGGATATGATGCCATTTTAGATGGTAATTCGATGAGTCAAAACTTCAGTCGATCTAGTTTAGGTGTCAATTGATATTCCCGATTACAGCAACGCACTTTGAAATAATAAACAGGGCCAAAAAGCCCAATTACGCACTAAACACGCATCAATTGGAGCAAAACTCGACAGACCCAAACCGGCGATTAGCGAAGGCCAGTGCACCGCAGCTGCTTTGGGCCCTGGATGGGGTTTAAATTTGTAAAAATTGCAGGTCAAAATCCACAAGCAGATTCAGACAGATTAAGAAAGCATCCAGCACAAATGAAACTTGAGCACTCACCACCCTGATGTTGATTGAAGGTATAAAAGGATACAAGTGTGGCAGTCGGAATTCATTCTGCGATATCGCGGGAGGGGAGTCATTTGCCCCGCGATGAGTCAGCCAGGGCTACACTTTAATTGTGACCGACCGATCGGATCGGAGTCTGCATACTTCTCCGGAAACGTACCGGTAAGATATAAATTAGTACCTGTTCTGGATCCCCAATTTCGTCTAATATTGCAACTTCTATACTCCGTATAGCCTAACTTAGGGCATCGCTCGCTATTGTTCGTCTTGGAAATCAAATATTTTCCCCGGGTTTAGTAGCCAGTCGGGATCAAGTGCTTGCTTGATGCTACGCATAACACCAATAGTGCAAGGCCCAAGCTCCTTCTTGAGAGAATTCTTTTTACCCAGTCCAACACCATGTTCGCCCTATTTACAAGGTCAGTCCTCTATGCTCCTTATAAAAAAGGCTGGAGATCTTACTGTGCAAGATCCTTCCATCTCAAGCGCTCGATCAACCATCTTGTACACAACCTCCTCAACCCGTTTCCTCTCATCAGGATCCTTGGGGTTATACATCATGCTAGAGTGGAAATTCCCATCGCCAATATGCCCAAGGATGCTAGCAAATATCCCCAGGTCGTCAATCTCCTTTTTCGAGATCTCTGATGCATTGATTAGGAAAAACTCAAGCAATTCACGTGGTTGACATACCGATAATATCTGCGAGCCTTGAAATCGGAACTGAGACATCAGTTGACCATACCTCTGATCCCTCTTTCCTCAGCGCCATCATACTCCACAGAGATTGTTTTCTTGCAGACCACAGGTCATGCGCTTCCCTCTCATCCCTTGCAAATTCAAACGAATCAGCGTTATTGCTGTTAGCCAGTTTCTTCGTCAAGTTGATGCTATCAGCAACACCAGCGGTTGTTCCAGAGAACTTGAAGAACAATGTTGGTAATGTCTTCCATGTCTTCGAGGTGCCGCCAGCCCTGTTGATGACATCCATCTGGACGTCGTCTAGAATCTCCATACACTGAACAGAAATTCCTTTCCGTATCAGCTGCATAGCAGTAGATGCCGCGTCACGCATTGTAGGAAAGGCAACCACACCGACCCGGGTCTCTTCTGGAATCGGTGCTAGTTTAAGCGTCGCCTCAGTGACGATACCAAGTGTTCCTTCAGAGCCTACAAACATTCCCGTCAGGTTGTATCCGGCGGAGGTCTTGCGCGGGCGTTTGCGCGTTTTCATTATCTGACCGTCAGCCAGAACAACCGTGAGGTTAATTACCCAGTCCTTCATGGTTCCATACCGCACAGCGTTTGTCCCGCTGCAATTTGTTCCAATCATACCACCTATCATCGCAGACGGGCCAGGATCGACGGGAAAGAAAAGCCCGCTATCCTTGATCTTCTCATTCAAATCCATCCACTGAATGGATGGTTGAACAACAACATCCAGGTCCTCCTCATGTAGCTCCAGGATCTTGTTCATGCTTGCAAAATCAATTGTCATACCGCCGTGAGGAGCCGCGAAATTTGCTTCAAGACTTGAACCGCCAGAGTAAGGCACCATTGGCATCTTGTATTTGCTGCAAACCTTTGCAATTTCCGAAACATCCTCTGTGCTAGTTGGGTAGGCAATCGCGACCGGAAGGCGATCAGCATTTATACTGGACCACTCCGAAAACCCGTGTCGTAGGAGGTCCTCCTGTTCGGTGCTGATCGCACCATCGCCTAGCTTGGCTCGTAATTCAGCGATGGCCTGGTTGGGGAAATACACTGTCAGCAATTATTTTCGAGAAGGCACATATCATGGCCGTTATTTCCCACCTTTTCGAAGTCTTGCGTAGAACCATATTGTGGGGGACCTGATTTTTTCGATTGAGGGGGCCGGTTTAAGACGGCGATTCCATAACTAACGCCAGCAGCAATGGCAGAAGCCAGTAGCGTTTGACTCGAAACCCAGCAGCTCGATGAGTTCCTGGAAGAGGACTCGGAGCTTGAGGCATCGCTCTGATTCCCACCAGCATGGCTTCCTGATTTCGAACTGTTCAATCGAGTGACTCTAATAGAAGAAAGAACCTGGGAGCAGGAAACTCTCGGCCGAAGACAGAGGATGCGGGGATTTGTGGGGAAGGCCCGAGGCAGGTGGGTAGGGGTCCGCATAACTCTCACCGATCAATAAGGATGGCTGCGAAGAGGAAAGAGGGAGCAAAATGAGATAGAATTATTGGGGTTAGCAACGACACTTGATCAGATTGCGATCTTTTTCAACGCATTTTGTTGGACCTGTTGACCACTGCGGAGTAGTTCCTAGGTGGACAGGAGAAACTGCATCAATCCCAAGAATGCGGAAATTTGAGCGGTCTGGCCATCTCTCCAAACATCTGATATGTAACATTTTAAATACACATGCAGTAATTTTATCCTGCCTTGTACCGTTGAGAGAGCCTTTAGGCTCAATGCTTCTAGTGTGTTGTGCAGTTGTTGAAGGAGGATATGTTCAAAATAAGGATATATTCTAACTAACCCTATGTATCCTTACGGAGCAGATGACTTACAACACAGCAATAACTTCAATTTCTGCTATTGTTAGTAATACTTTATGTTTTTTATTTCATTTTAGCCCGACTTTTTAATTTTTCTAATGGTGGGAACCTTTCTCATTAGTTACAGATTTTGGTTAAAATCAAAATGCATTGAAAATTTCGGGAAAAGTGGATATTGAAAATATACAGGCCAGAGCGGGTAAGCCACAGCGTTTACGGAGTACAAGGACTAGAATATATCCGTCAATGTCGGTAGATGCAGAGATAGTCGAATAGGTCATGGAAAAGACGTGCTCGATTAGAGTGGCATTGTTTGTCTTGACGGAACCCGCCGTTGAGGGGGCAACCACCGGAAGACTTCACTTCCATCCATCTCCTCTCGCCTCGCATAAGGACTCAACCTTGAATACTCCGGTATAGCGTTGTAGAGGGATCCGGAATTCTATCTGTCGGCCCACAAAATAACGGATAGGATGGCGACCACCTGCGACAAATTTCCCCTTTTATGCTGGGAAGTGGAACGCTTAGTGACTGCTCCATATGCGCCTTCACTCCAGGTGAACCCCGCCAGCGGATCAATTATTTAAACATATTAGCTGACCAACCAACTGGGCTTAGGATCTATATGACCTGGCCCAAGAAGTCTCTTCGGACGGAATATGTTCTTGGGCTGTTTATAAGCGCTGTCAGGTCGGGGCATTAGTCGATGTTCTTGTTGATGGCCTATCACGTTCACACTGGGCTCTGCGCCTCATCACAAGCTTCGGTACACTATTCAACTAAATGCTACTACATAAAATTGACCTAACGGGCCTAATAGCACGAGCATCATGTTTTCGTGATAGTCTACTTGAGCGATACCCCTACCTTCTGGATCAATTTCTTCAGCGTTCAATCGAGGGCGGCGAACCTGAGGTTAGTGTCTGTTCGCAGCTGATGAAAGTATATCCCGAGCAAGGCTAAGTATATGACTATAATAGTATTCCTCAGTATGCATCTCGCTGCTATCTACGCCCCTGCCATCTGGTTTCATTCCACCGGCAAGAATTGCACCCTTCATTATGAACTTGATTGACCGCATGAGGGACAACCCATGCGTGGAAACAGTGAGGTCACTGTACTTGATATCAAGCTTTCTTCAGGCATCTCCAAGAATCATCCTCGAAATTTCGGAAGAGATAATGTCGTGCTTCCAGACTGAACTCACAAAAACTCTTCGCAATCTGGAGGACCACATGGGAAACTTACTATGCCTTGCGACTTTTGCGAAACTTGCATCTGCTCCAATTCCTAACATTACAAGTGAAAACGAGACAGAGGCTTCAAATTGGTGGCAAAATATCAAACATTTTTTCGGTATGAAGCGTGGTTTGAAGACCCTCGATCTCGTTTTTCTACGCGTAATTCTTGCTTGTTCTTCCAACCGTGGTAATCTCACTGCTGGTGACTCGGTGGAAAGCATTCGTTTGGCGATTGAAATTTGCAATGTTGTCAACCAGGAACAAAGGAATTCTTGGATTGCGGGCAATTCCCTTAAAATCGCGAAACTCTGTGAAAAGATTACACGAGAGGGAGTAGATCCTAGTGTTCGAATGCTTGTATGCACCTCTTCAGTGCCTTTGTTGGATTTGGCCATACTAACCCAGTCCTGATAGGGTATAACTTTTCTGGTTTCTCTTATTCCTCCCTCATCATTGCCACCAGATCTAGTGAGACTTGGCCTGGATTGGTTGCTTTCGGAAGATAGCAGAGTTGTGCTGGAAACACTCCCTCGAGACCCTGCAACCCGCTTGGTAGAAGCTAATATTGTGAGTAAAGGGGGATGTGAGTTGAAAGGCCTTTTCTAAGTGTTTGCAGATTTGCTCCGGACAATACGCGGTGAAAAAAGTGCTTAACTATATATTTACTACGTTGTCAACGAAGCCGTCCGTCAATATAGCCAATCTTCAAATGGCAAGACTATTACTGCTTGGATTGCGCAGTTTTGACTCGCACCAATTTCCCTCGGGAATTACAGATATAGTATCCAATCAATATAGGGATACTATTAACAGGCTCGCCGACACTTTTCCGAGAAGACCCTCCCTGTTGAAATGTGACGGTTCCAACAATTGCTATGCGTCGATTTCGAGACTAGAAAACGAACTACTATTTGATCTACTTACTTTCTGCCTCCAGGCATCAATGGCTTCAAACATAGAATGCTCGCAGTCAACCGAGGTTATGGTACTGATGAACTTCATGACGAAGACCAAACAACTGCTGCCTGAATTTAAATGCATATTTTCAGAGAGCAGGCCTCTCGATTTCAGGGCTTCATTCTCATCACTCAAAATTCGTGAAACAGCCCAATTTGCGAGAAGCGATTGGAGAACCGGAATAAGGGAGACGATGATTGCTAGCACACGAATCCTTAATGATGATATTGTGCAAAAGGTGGAAGATATTTGCTATGAGCTCGAGCAGCGTTGCGGCAACATTGAAGAGCCTCTCAGGGTCGCTGCAGAAGAGCGCAACAAATACTTTTTGGAGACAGAGCAACTCAAGCAAAACAATAATGACTTGAAAACCCGGTTAAACGAAGAATCTAATACGGTTGCCGAACTTCGAGAAGAGTTTTCTCGCCTAGAAAGTCACGCAGATGCTGCCACTGAGCGTGCTGAGGAGTTGCTGAGTAGCTTAACTCAGACACGACAAGAACTCGAAGATTTAAAGCGCAGTTCTCGAGAGATCATAGTTAATGAGCGTGAATTGGCTCGAACCAAAGAGTTAGACTTGATCGCTTCCATTACCCAAAAAGATGATCAGTTAGAGGGGCTTCAAGAAGATATTAAGCGTGAGAAAGAGGAAAATGAGCGAGCAATCGCGATTATAGCATCTATTTCAGATGGAAGAGATACTTCCCTGGAGACCATCGCTTCTCTAAATTGCCAGGTCTCAACCCTTCGAACAGAGCTGGAGAATTCCGAAACGCTTCTATCGGAAAAGCGCGAGCAGCTCGAACGACTCTTTGCTGAAAAAAACACCGCGGCCGAATTGGCGGAAAATCTGCGAATGAAGGTTAGTCATATGTTTCCAGCCTTGAAACAGTCTTCCCACTTTCTAACAATCACATAGCTCGATGGAAAGGAGTCTGAATTTGAGAACCTCAGGGCTGCATTGCGGGATACTACGGAGAGTTTTAAGGAGGAGCTAGAGACACTCAGACAACAGTCAGACCTGCGACATTCAAATATGGCTCAAGAGGTAAATTCGCTTAACATAAATCACTGTTATGATCTTTCTTACTAACCCTCCGTAGTGTAACAAACACAAGGAAAATATCCTGTCCCTACAACACGAGATGCATGAAGCGACATTAAATTCCACCAGAGAGCTACAAACAAAAGAAAAGAGAATACAACATTTGGACAAGAAGGTGAGGGTTACAGATAGCACGAGAGAATCTATATTCTGATGGAAATTTTGTACAGGTGCAGCACTTACGAGAAGAACGAGCGGCCAAGGCACGAGAATTTTCGGAAGCCCAGCAGCATATCGGTCGACTTATGAGTGTAATGGGCTTTAAACAGACTGCTTATGATTCTAGAACTACGGGAACACCACGCCCCCGTTCATCATTCGACTTATCGCAAGTGGCTGCAATGCAAACGCAAACAAATTCAGGGGAAGACATCCCCCAAGGCAAAGATGAAGAAGCTCTTGCCTCGCCTCTTGATTCCAACATGTCTCAGACTAGCGCCCGTAGCCCTAAAAGATCTCGGAATAGCGCATTCCCCCTTGTTGATCCATCACCTCCTCATTCTTCTTCCCATGGGACCAGCAAAAAGCCCAGGGATTTAGCTGGTCTGAGCAACTCCAAGACTCCAAGGGAACGACGACCACTTAAAGAGGTCGACTATAACAGCCAGCCAAGCTCACAGGGCAGCGACAGCTCGGTATTGTCCCAGAGTAGGACGGTCCAAGATAATCAATTCAACAAGCAGACAGATCGGCATCAACTTGAGGACATAGATCTGGATTTAGACCTAGAGTTCTCGAAAGATTTTGTCTTCACGAGCACCGCATTATCGGAGTTTAACAAACCTTCTCATTCCTGACATATCGACACCACCCCGTGGCCATAGAGGCAATTAAAACCATCTTATATTATCTTTGCCAGCCTTTTTCATGTTGATGGTTTTTGGTCTATTCTATATAATTACAATTTCTCCTTGTCCCCGGGCAAATAGTAGGCCATAGTACGTAGTGGTGGTATCTGAGAATTCCTACCTACGTTTTGCGGCTACCTGCAACCAATCCTCTTGCGATTGCAAAGTGATCAGAAGTTCCTAGCTTTACAAAGTGCCGACATGTCTCAGGAGCAAAGAAGTGGTTTGATTCAAAGCTGCGAGAACATTCATTTAACAAGATATTGCGAGGGAATTTCTGCATTATCACTTTTTTCCGATAAATGATAATATCATCTCAAGGCTGCTAGGCAACTGAATATACTGAAAATTCTGTGTCGTCGATTCCACTTCACTTCAACTTGACCCCAACCTGATTTCTTTCACCCTCTCATCACTCACTTTCAATTCTTAGCCACCTTTTCTCCTTACCATTTTGACATCCTTCCCTCCCCTTTTCTGGTTGTATTATCTTATGCAGGCACATTATTTACCATGTATTCTACGAGGAACTATCGTCCTTTGCTTGAGAACCAACGTGGCCCTCCCCAGAGATCCTCTGCTCAATCTGCTCCGCAAATCCGGGCTCTCTGGAAATCCTGGGAATCGGTTGCTGTGAATCTTTCTAACGTCCCTAAAGAGGCAAACACATTGTGTCTCTGGAAGGCGTTTCGAGACCAAGGCAATATACTCTCAATCGATATCTTTGAAGATTCCCATGGGAATCGAGCTTCAAGGGCCAAGATTCGCTTTAGGTAGGCCATTCTCTTCGGGAATTTCTTTCTTTCTTCTGAACCATGGCAGACCACCTCCATCAACGGCCTTCTGGAAGAGGGGGAACTGGCAAATCATTCTACCAAATGGAAGATCATCATCCGTTTTGCTTAGTCTCGACAATAAACCCCCTGAGTGGACGATCCAAAGCTCTGTTCGTCCTGATGTGTCCTATCCAGCGGAGATTGTAAGTGATTTTTTTAGTTCAAACGTTGATGGTTGTTTCTATTTCTAACGTGATTCTATTACAAGGACATCCCCATTTCTTCCATGGATATCGGAATACTTGTCAATGACACAACTATGCGGCCCATGCGAACCGTAGGATCTGGGCTGAATGAAAATACCTCCTTAGTTCTGAACCTAAGACGCAAGGATATGCTGGTGTACTTCCCGATTTCCACACATGGTGCCCCGAATATATTGGTATTTCACGAATACCGTCTCAGAGTTCCATTCTCGCAACTGGATAGGTTTTTTCAAAGCAAGAATCCTTCAACAGGGGTAATCTCCCACTTCACCGTCCTGGAATCGCCGCCAATCTATCACCGTCGGATTAAGAATATCGAGACTACCTTTATCGAAGAGAGTACTTGGAGGGAATCAGATACCTGGTTCCGACAGACCCATATTGTGCATAATCCACAGACACTTGTTACTCTTCCCGTTAACTTGCGAAGACAGGATCAAATTATTGATATTGGTAAGCATCAGCCGTTACTCCTCTTTTTATTTTCTTAACATATTCAATGTAGGTCGCTGGAATGCCTTAAGAATAAACTTTCCTGCAAAGTGTGATGAGAGAGGAAAGTTTAGTTTGCTCTGCGATGCCCTAAGCGATCATAACCTGGTCGTTGAGCAGACAGATCGGTTTACCTTGTGCGATGGGACAAAGAAAGCACCGCTTCCTATTTGGAAATGGATTGATGTACCTGATTCTAATGGACCAGGTACATCATACTCATCCCTGCAGGATCTCATTGATCCAGCTCACATCCATTTACCTTTTGCAGTCCGCTATCAGCTGGAAGTATGTCTATCCCATGGCTATCTCTCAGAGTTCAACATGAGCCGTGAGTTCGCTCTCAACCTAGCCGAACTTGGAGAGAAAGAAGCAACAAGGCTCCTTGAACATGTAGCGATGCAAAAAAAGATCTATTACAATCCAATGGATATATTCAAACTCGAATTTACCAAGGGAATTACTGATAGAAGAATACCACCCTACTGCTGCTATATGCGTTCTGCTAGAATCACTCCCAGCACCATATACTACAATGTTCCATCCGTTGATATTTCAAACCGTGTTATTCGACACTACATCGACCTGGCTGATAATTTTCTCCGAGTAAGATTCACCGATGAAAAACAGCTCGGCCGCATTTACTCAACTGCTGATAACACAATGGATGAAGTCTTCACTCGCATCAAGAGGGCTTTGGCAAATGGTATCGTTATCGGAAACACAAAGTACGAGTTCCTCGCTTTTGGCAACTCCCAATTTCGCGAGCATGGGGCTTATTTCTTTGCACCAAAAGATGGTGTTACAGCTGCGAGTATGCGTGCGTGGATGGGGCAATTCAGTCATATTAGAAATGTCGCAAAACATGCAGCAAGACTGGGACAGTGCTTCTCTACGACAAGAGCTGTCTCGGGTTGCTCTGTGCATGTCAAAAAAATACAGGACGTGTCGAGAAATGGATACGTTTTCTCGGATGGTGTGGGGAGGATCTCATCTTTTTTAGCTCAAATTGCGATGTCAGAGCTCAAGGTTAAAACACCTTCTAGAGAACCACCGTCTGCATTCCAGTTTCGCCTTGGAGGCTGCAAAGGCATGCTCATCGTCTCTCCAGAAGCCAGCCGGCAAGAGGTTCATATTCGGAGAAGCCAATACAAATTTTCAGCACGTCACAGTGGTCTGGAAATCATTCGCTGGTCCCAGTTCTCCATTGCAACACTCAATCGACAGCTGATTCTTGTGCTTTCCACACTTGGGATTCCTGATGAAGCATTCCATCTCAAACTCAGGTCGATGCTAAGAAACTTAGACGAAGCGATTGAAAGCGATTCCAAGGCCATAAATTTACTCAAAACGTACGTGGATCCCAATCAAATGACTCTGACTGTGAGTCAAATGATCTTTGACGGCTTCCGGAGATCAAAGGAACCGTTTATAACATCCGTCTTCAATCTTTGGAGAGTGTGGCATCTAAAGTACCTGAAGGAAAAGGCGAAAATCGCAATTGAGAAAGGAGCATGCCTTTTGGGGTGCATGGATGAAACTGCAACCCTAAAGGGCTATTTCTCGGATAAAATCCCGAAAAGAGACGCACCCTTTGAGGAAAAGTTGGCAGCTCTGCCTCAAATATTTGTCCAGGTGTCCCATCCTGGGAATGGAGGACAGTACGAAATAATCGAAGGATTGTGTATCCTCGCTCGTAATCCTTCCCTTCATCCTGGTGATATCCGCGTTGTTAGGGCGGTCAATGTTCCTCAACTAAGCCATCTCAAAGATGTCGTTGTCTTACCACAAACCGGGGATCGAGATGTTGCAAGTATGTGCTCCGGTGGCGATCTGGATGGAGACGACTATCTTGTGGTCTGGGACCAGGATTTACTACCTAACGACTGGTTTCGTGAGCCTATGATGTACACTAGCAGGAAAGCTCATGATTTAGACCACGATGTCACTGTGGATGAAATAACCTCCTTCTTTGTCACATACATCAAAAACGATTGCCTTCCTACTATTGCCCACGCTCACCTTGCTTGGGGAGATTCCCTTGACGACGGCGTCGACGAAGCAAAGTGCATTCAACTAGCACAACTTCATTCGGACGCAGTGGATTACAACAAAACCGGAAACCCAGCAGTGATGACGCGCAACCTTCGTCCTCGAAGATGGCCTCATTTCATGGAAAAAAACAACATGCCTGCACACATGGTTTATCGCTCTGGAAAAATCCTCGGCCAGCTATATGACGCTGTCGAACGAGTTGATTTCGTCCCCAGCACTGAAATGTGCTTTGACCGGCGCATCCTGGATTGCGATATCGAGATCAATGAAGTGCTCTGCAACTTTGCCAAAGGCTTAAAAGCTGAATACGACACCGCCATGCGCCGGATCATGGCGCAGCACGATATCAAGACTGAGTTTGAAGTGTGGTCTACTTTCGTACTGAGCCATTCCAAGCTGAACAAAGACTATAAATTCCACGAAGAGATTGGTGCAATCTCAGCTGCCCTCCAGGAAGAATTCCGTAAGAAAATATATGAAGAAATCGGGGGGCGCAGCTTCGAGTTGCTGGCTCCTATGGCAGTTGCCATGTACCGCATTACACATGAAGAAACCGTCGCGGCTTTAGAGAAACACCGCAGAACGGCCGTACCAGACGAGAATAGCCTCCCTACATCAGCTCCCAAAATCGAGCAGAAGATGCCTCTTATCAGCTTTCCTTGGATATTCCCGCAAACACTCGGTCAAATTGCAACCGGCCACTACGAGCAGCTTGCACCAGAAATGCCTGCCCTTAACCAAAGAGGCCGCGATACACCCATCCCCACGATTACAACCAAGGACGAATCGAACGCCCTGGAAACAGGAACAACCCAAACCACGCCCGAAACCAAGGCAGTCACTGACCCTTTCGGTCTCAATATTGGGGACCAAAGCGTCACCACGGCGAGTATCGAAAAAAGCACTCGCTTGGCTGGAAGTCGGCACAATCAGCAGAATCTACAGCTAAGCAGCAGCAGCAGCAGCAGCAACAACAACAACAGCAGCAGGGACATAAACTCCCTAGAGCAGCTCCTTGATTTCGGTCTCTCCAGCCTCCCAAACGCGGCAGCTTCCTCGCTTATCTTCTCAGGAGCTCCTGCAAACAAGGAAACAAGCTTACTGGATTTCGACGTCGTCACGGACAGTGCTAGATGGTTGATCGCACCGGGAGAGGGTGGGGAAACTCCGAAGGAGAGCCAGCTAGTGCAGGATCAAGAAAGTAACCCGAACTGTATTGAGATTATAGACGAAGGTACCTGTGAACCCACGGCGCTTGATACGTTGAACGAGCTTCTTGGTCTTTAGGAGTGATTCCAAGAGTTAGCTTTCGGGGGGTCATAGAGCTTGAAGAACGGGAATATATCTCCATCCATGCATGCATGCATGCATGTATAGTCGCTAATGAAGGCCTTGATACTTGAGCTATCCATAAACTCGATGTCGTGCAGTCAAACCCACCCAGTATAGGTTAGAATGAGTCGGAAAATTTACCCGTAGTGCAGAGGAGGAACCGCAGTTTAGGCTTGACGAAAATGGCCATGTGCGTATAAAGATCTCAAAAAAGGATAAGAGACAATAACTAGTTACTGAAGAAATATTTGTAATGTGTTCTGTTAATTTCCCAGAAGCACGTTTTTTGGAACTCAAAACAGTATTGTAAAAAAACACATTGGAACTCCGATCTTAAAAGAAAAGGGGGGGGGGGGTATCCAGAACTTGATTCAAGAAAAAAGAAAATTAAACTACACCAAAGACAAGACGTAGATAATCCAAAAAAAAAAAAAAAAAAAAAGGAAAAATGAAAAATGAAAACTGCGCGTGGTCTCTGATATGCGTTTGACCTTGTGACTACCATTCCAAGGCACTCTCGCATTTATCCTGCAACAGTTTGACAACAGGATTGAAGACGGCATTAGTGTGCCTCCAATGCGCTAGGCTTCTGGTTCGAGAATAGAAAACAGGGCAGTCCAAACTGTTGCATTTTATTTCGTCACCAAATGGCACATCCATGCAGGATCGACAAATGCGCTCGAGGTTCGAGACCTTCTGCTCGGCTTGTCGCTGACGAGAGATAAGGTCAAGCAAGGAGACGTGAGATTGCTGCATACATGGTGAGCAGAGAGGGGTGTCGGTTTCGGCGTGGAGTTTGTTGGTCTTACACACGACGCATGTGGAAGACCTCATGTACGACTCGAGGGTCTTCTTGCCGCCCTTCCCCGTGCTATAGGTTGTTCCTTTTACACGTCGAATTCGGTGGAACTTCGGCATTTCGTCATACCATTGACGGACGTTTGCCTCCACAAGGTTGAAGATCCGCTCGAGCGGCGGGATGATGTTCTTCGTGATGTAATATTCTGCGTCGAGTTCGAGCTGTGCATCTTGAAGAAGTGTCTCGGGTGGTACACAGCGATCGACCAGTCTCGACCCAGGGGCTCCGGTAACGACAACATATGGGACTCGTTCACCGTACTGCGGCTCCGCGCGAGGATCTTCCAGCATCTTCTTGGTGCTGATGAGAGCCCCCGCAGGAAGCAGTGCCTTATCGCTATATGTTCCCAATTTAACTGCTTTAGCGAAGCAGAAATCTTGTATTGAAACCCTTCCTTGCAGGATTTTCGTGCATTGGTTCTGGAAGTAGCTCTTTACTTGGCTGAGATCTGCGGTCCTGAAGAGAAGCTTGAGAGCCTTCTCTTCGATTTTCTGCTCCGCGGGAGTACCATCGCGTCGAACAGTTTCAATACCCTTAGCGTCAAACTCAGGCTCCTTCTGTTCCCTGTGCTCGTACTTGAAGCCAACGTATCGTTTCTTAGCAAGAAGCACGCAGGGGTGATAGACCTTCTCGAACTTGAGCTTCACCGGGTGCGGGTTAATATCAGTGACAGCTTGGGCGATTTCTTCTCCAATATCAAAGGCCTCTTCCCGTGTGCGTCCCTTTAGGTAAACAAAGATGCTGTCCGTATCTCCATAGACTACTTCAGCGCCCCATCGTTCCACGGAATGGATAAAAGCAATAGCCTTCTCAAGGGTCTCGCGTCCGGATTGGACGATGCTGTCTGCTATTTCAGAGCAAGGCATCCTCCCTGAAAATGAAGCAGAGGTGTATCCGTACGTAACATTCGCAATCAACTTCAGCGCAAGCTGTCTATTGTTGAGAAGGCGCTGTAGCGCTTTGTCGTCCTTGTCCACTTTCATCCCGGCCTTCACCATCACACGAGTGTCCAGTATCTCTGCGAGCATTTTCGCAAGGAGCGACTTGCGCACTTCTGGTCTTGCATAAATCATGCCATTTGGTGCAATATTTATCTTGTCCTTCAGCAGTTCTAGCAATCGCGGCTGTCTGTTGTAGTCCATAAATCCCATTTTATTTCGCCCCCTCCATTGCTGCACTCTTCCTAGGAAAGTTGAATAGCAATAGTTATACGCGATCATGATACTAGGGTATAATGACTGGAAATCCAAAACGAGAAGAGGACTGGTGTAGAAGTCACTCTGTGGCTCCATAACCAAAGGCAGACACTCAAGGGCATTTTGTTGACCAACTTGTTTCCTGCTTGGGGAGACGAGGATGAAATTCTCCGGTTTTGCAATTCGAAACATTAAGGACTCGACTTTAAATTGAGACCCGCGAGAAAACACAGAGAAAAAATCAATTCCGAGCAATCTGGCTTGCTCACTAGTTCTCGATATAAGCTCGTTCGAGTCGAGAATCTCGATGTTCATTTGGACTCTCGAAACAAAGTAATTGACAACCTTCATAAAGTCTCGAGGTTTAACACTCCGATACCATGTTGTGAGCTCCTGGGATGAATAATGAGGAATTCGTCGGTGCAGGAGGTGGAAAACGACATTTTCCATCGTGTACTGCAACAGATTGAGCTCACTTCTCATAGATCGCCAGATATTGATCATATGTCGCCCGGTAATTCGGATGGATGAGGTGTGATTGAACCCCCATCGATCTGCTTCTTTGCCGAATCGTCCGTGTGCTTGGGATTTGACCCGTGCCAATTCGTCACAAATATCGAAGTCGTACTTCTTCCTGGCTCTCTCAATCACGTAGCCCCAAGAACTATTATGAACCTCGTACCCAGTGATAATGTCAGGATCATACAACCGAACTATGTCAACTAATCGGTTGATCAAATCCAACTCCGTTGGTTCATGTTCCCAATCGACTTTCAAAGCTTTCGACACTTTTATCTCTGGTCCGTCGCCTTCCCCCTGAAATATGACTCCGACACGAGTACCCGGTATATCGCCGTTAGCCTCGAGATACTTATCCTCCGAATTTAGACACCAAAAGAAGGATGCAATTTCATCCTCTTCCGGATTCGGCGCAAGCACTCCACGAGTATTGACATGAATCTCCAAGCTCATAATACTCATATACTGGGCCTGATGTTCAACACTCGCAGATTTTCCATTTTGTGAGTACTTGAACCCGCAGTCGTTTTGCTGGGTAGGGCCTTCAATCTGCGAAAGTGCCTTCGTCTTTACTTCCGGTTCCTCAAATCTAGCCTTTGATTGTACGGCCTTTGTCAAGCATTCACGTTGCTCGTTTTCGAACCAAGTTAAAACCTCAGAGCGGCTTGGGGCCACCGGAGCAAATTCCCATACTCTAGATGTAGATTTGATTCTCAACTGTCGGTCTACTTCCTGCCTGTCAAGTCTATCGCTTGACTCCACGATTCGCTCGCCATATGTCGTAAGGGAACGGCCAGATGGGTCAAAATCGGGAAGGAAGTGTATACTGGTACCTTCAAGCCGAAATTCTCTCCCAGCATAATCGCGTGGGCGATCAGGTACATCGCTCTCTTTACTGTAATGGGGATTTTGGTAAAGAATAGATGGTAAATCGTAATCTTGGAGGGTCGAAGAAACCTCGGTTGGGGTGGGACAAGGGCGTCGCAAGCAACCTAATCGGATGTTTGTTGAGATATTAAATGCATCATATATAAGCGCTGCCGACTCCAAGGCAAAGATATTTGACGTGTCAAACTCTACCCCATGACGGGACGATTGTAATTGCGATGTGTTTATGCTTTTGACATCTGTCTTTGCACTGTCTGTCAATTCCCACAGATCCTTTGAACAAGATCCGTCTTGGCTAAAACGCATTACAGTCATAGGATCATTAGGGTCTTTCACAACTGGGAAGTTCAAAGTACTGTTTTTACCGTTGCCCCTCAGGCGAACTGTTGATTGGGAAGAGAAGATTTTTCCTTGAGAAGCCATGTCTTTTGCATTCTGGCTTAAAGTATCGCTACTTGCAGTGGCTTCAGCTTCTGGGTTTTGTATTTGAGCAATACCAAGTTGCAATGGATTTTGTAAAGGCCGCCTGAAGGGTTGGGAGAAAGCACCAATTGCATGCTTTCGTCTTTTGTGGGAATTATAATCGCCAAGGCCTTCTGTTTGAGGGCGTTTGTTACCTGTTCTTGCGCTCCCGTTCTCAGAATCCAGAAATGTGGACGGTCCAGCGAGGTGCTCAGCTTCGATTAGTTCCGGATGAAAGCCATCAGCGTTAAGCTCGAATGCATCTTCGACAGGGTAATTTTGAAGGCCTGTACCAGAAGTGCCGTCTTGCGGCATATTATCAAGCACATCAACCTGTCCATCGCCATTTTCATCCTCAGAGAATGCTTCATCAATGCTATCCACACCAGAGGAGTAAGGGCCTTCATCGTAGCTATCAGTCAAAACAGCACCTTCGTCAACGTAGTCTGCGGTTTGTTCTTCTATATCCTTACTATCCTCCTTGTATGGAATATTGAGATCCGTGAATCCGTTTTGGCCGGGGAAGAAATCCTCAACGCTCTCCAAAGCGGTTTTGATATTGTCTTCAAAGGAATTTACTTCAAGGAAGCCGTCAAAAGTTATTTTTCGATCACCATCTTGACGTCGTTCTTCTTCAGCGATCTGATAAGTCATTTGCCGGAATTCTTTCTCATGGATCCAATCCCCTTGCGAGCATTTCCTTGGATTAGTTGAGAATGAAACAAGATCTTCGTTGCTAAATGGACTACTATCCGGATCAAGGAGGCCAAGGCGTTTCTTTCGTCGCCGTTTTTCATCCTGCCACAACCCCGCCATACTCGGCACAAGCCTTTCATTGGAAAACACGGGCTTCAGGTATTCGCTGAAGTCATTGTGAATTGACCGTTCGCTGATTTCCAGTCGGTTCAGAATATCTTGAGTGCAAATATCGGCTTCCAAAGGACAGTGGCTTTGCTTAGCGAGAACAGTTTCATCGGAAATCCAGTCTGGCTGAATCGATCGGTCATGCCAACGGTGAGATAAATCAAAAAGATCTAGGTACTCCGGTACAGGAGAGCGAAACTTCACCTTGGAACATTTCATGAACGCACACCCATACAAACTGTAGTCACACATCCACTGTGGGACATATTGCATGTGGCTTTCGTATGGTTGAATCGACTTTTTCATCACGGCGCCTTGAAGCAGCAAGTCCGCTAATCTTGTAGTGTAGATCGGGTTGAGTAAATAAATCTTAAAGAAGAACTGATACCCCACGTGGTAACCATAGAAGGGGACACCCTTCACCAAGGTGATATGTGCAACATAGACAGCGTTTTTATCATACGCATTGCGACGGTAGCTTACTGCCAAGGCATGGTCGATAGACAGATGAAGACGGCTTATCGAGGAACGGACTAAGGACTGGTTAATTCTAGAACGAAAGCATGTAAAAACTGCCCCAACTCACCTATTTCTGGATTCAGGTCCCCGTCATACCGCACATAGAGATAAGGAAATACGCCATGGACATGAACGCAAACCTTTTGGCCGGTTTCTGTAGTCCCAAATATCCTAATCACGGGAACTTTCGGTCTGTCATCTTTCGCTCCTATGCCATCCTTGTAAGGCAGAGGGGGGTCAAATTCTGACGGGTTTGCCTGGTAGTGATCTACACAATTGAGGCGCACTTGGAAGGATTCCATCGGTCCTGTTGGTTTCGTGACAGCCAAAGCTGTCAGCGACAGAGCAAAAGAACATATGCAACACTCATATTATGAGTATGGTCATCCTAATGGAACGACGTGATTTGACTTGGGCGTAGAATGTGCCAGACATGATATGATGGCCGGCAAAAACAAGTTCACGCGTTTGGGTGGCGCGGAAGAACGCCAGGTCACGTGAATACCGGCAGGCTCATTATCAACGATACGGACTTCAGTAAAAGCTAAACACATCAACGTCTTCGCACGACAGTGCTGGTCATTGTTTGAGCTCCTGTTTCTCTTCTGATCTGTTATATTTCTCTATAAAATCCCATACACACCGTCTTTCTTCCACTCTGTTTCGTCTTCCTCTCCAACCTTGTCGCCAATATGTCGTCGCGAAAACCTGCGGACGTCGCATCCAAAGAGCGCAACGAATATATCCCAGCATTCATCTCAAAGAAGCCGTTCTACGTTGATGATGATGACTCTGCAAATGATTACCTAGAGCACCAGCGTCTACATAAATCGACAACAGACCAGTCGAAATGGTACGACCGCGGGAAGCGCACTGGTCCAGCCGCCACCAAATATCGCAAAGGCGCCTGTGAGAATTGCGGTGCCATCACCCACAAAACCAAAGAGTGCCTTAGTCGACCAAGAAAGCAGGGTGCTAAATGGACGGGCAAAGACATACAAGCCGATGAAGTTGTCCAGAACGTAGATTTAGGTTGGGACGCCAAAAGAGACCGATGGAATGGCTACGACGCAAGCGAGTATCACCAGGTGGTAGAGGAATATGAAGAATTAGAAAGGCTAAAGCGACTAGCTAAAAACGATTCTAAGAATGGGCAAGATCAAGGTGGAAACGAAGATGCCGACGAAGAAGCTTCCGGACAAGAAGCTCGGTACGCCGAGGAATCTGATATGGGAAGGCAGCAAAGCACATCCACACGCAACCTCCGTATTCGAGAAGATACCGCTAAATACTTGTTGAATCTTGATCTGGACTCCGCCAAATACGATCCGAAAACGCGACGAATGGTTGACATGGGCGCTCAAGAGGACCAGGCTGCTGCCCTTGTTGCTGAGGAAAACTTCGTCCGTTCTTCCGGTGATGCTGCAGAATTTGAGAGAGCTCAACGTTACGCCTGGGAGGCGCAAGAACGTGGGTCACAGAAAATTCATTTGCAGGCGAACCCAACATCAGGCGAAATAATGCGAAAGAAGGAAATCGCCGAAGGTGAAGCTAAGCGTCAAGCACAGCGAAAGGCACTCTTGGATAAATATGGCGGGGGAGAACACCTTAATCACACGCCGCTGCGCGACACCATGGTAATCGAAAATGAAAAATTCGTTGAATACGATGAAACAGGAGCAATCAAAGGTGCTCCTAAGAAAGCCGCGAAATCTAAATACGCCGAAGATATTCTTACCAACAACCACAAATCTGTGTGGGGGAGCTGGTGGCACAATTTTGAATGGGGTTACGCTTGCTGTTTTTCTACTGTCAAAAATAGCTACTGTACCGGCGATGATGGAAAGAGAGCTTTCCAAGAAGCAGGTAACATGCTGCTGCTAGCTGATGTCGTTGCTGACGGTGAAAAACCGTCTGATGACTCTGAGGAGAAAAATGGAGATGCTCAGGGCTCGGGAGATACCAATCAGGGGAAAGAATCTACGACGAAGAAAAGAACACTGATGGAAGTTCAAACAGGAATTTCAGAAGAGGAGTTTGATTCCTATAAACGCAGCCGACTGGCAGCCGATGATCCAATGGCCACTTTCATAGGGAAAGAATAATTATGCGGCTTAAATTATTTGCATTAGCGCTTCTAATTATGCCCAGATTTCCTTTGATATATTAGCAACCAATTCTTAAGGTATTTGCAAGACTAAAATGAATGTTGTATCAAGATTTCCCTGTAAGTAAATACCAGTTAACCAACCCATCATCATGATCTTTTTTGGTTACGAAAGACAGTCTTGAAAAATGCTCTCATATCACGTGGAGATAGGGAGATAAGCTGAGATCATGTGACAATTTCCTATTTTAGGAGGGTTTATCACGGGACCAGGGCACAAGCCCTGGTTGGCACACCTCGCTTAGCAAGATCCCCCGATCCCAGCGCAACTTTCGCTCCGCCCAGCTAGCGACGACGACAACGACAATCAGCCCTTCAACGGAATCGCCAGGTAAGTTGGGACCCTATTATTTTGAACCGGTCAATTTAAACAGGGGGGTTTGTTTTACTGATCTTTGTCTCTTCAATCAACAGTTCCCTAATTCAAGATGAGTATGTTCAACTGCGATATCCCGTCGATTCGTCCGCCTCAACGTCGAGAAATATTTGCAAACTGACAACGATTGTAGCGAAGGGTACCTCCAGCTTTGGAAAGCGCCACAACAAAACCCACACCCTCTGCAGGCGTTGTGGTCAGTATTCCATCACTCCGAATCATCCTCCGACGATAATTTACAGATCTCTATCCGGGAAAAGCGTGAATCAAGAGTCGGCAGGAATACCAGGAAGCATGACAGATGGGCTAACGTACAAATTTTTCTGAGGATTTCAGGCCGCCGCTCTTACCACATCCAGAAGTCGACTTGCTCTAACTGTGGTTACCCCGCTGCTAAGACTCGCAAGTGTACGAAATTTCCCTCCTTGAGTTTTTTGTCCCTGCTGCTACGATGATAATTGGAATTCTTCCGGCATTATTGGGGCATAATTTTGTATATGGAACACTGGCTTACAAGATTTGCTTCTGGATTATAGACAACTGGAGCGAGAAGGCCAAGCGACGCAAGACCACCGGCACCGGCCGTATGTCCCACCTGCGCGATGTCCACCGCCGCTTCAAGAACGGCTTCCAGACCGGCACTCCCAAAGGCGCTCGTGGCCCTGAGAACCACTAAGTCAATTTTGATGTCGCGTTTTCGTTCCCAGGGGCTGGAGAGAGGGCTGGTATGACAGGGCCTCGCATTTGAAATAGTCGGTTTCAGTGCAGGGCGCAAAATGTGCTTTCCCGTGGAGTTGGTGTTGGGACAGTCTTCACTTTTGCCGTCGAGCAACTTTTGTCATAGAGAGAAGAAGAAAAAAAGCTACATAATTGACGGCATTTGGAAGGCAGAAAATTTCAATTTCATGGGGTTTCGATATGGATAAAAATCAAAGGGGAAAGCATGAATGAATTTCCTTGTTTATGGCTGGCGAATATCCCATGTTGTGGCAGATTCAATGTTGAGGTACTCTTTCCAATGTGATCTGTCTTCTGAATCCATCCATTTGTCTACCGCGTACAAGGCTTGCCTTGCCTCATAACGACTATCTGGTTCGTTTGGAATTGCGACAATAACAGTGCATTAACAGCGTCTATCATATATATTTTTTTCCCACGCGCCCTAATAGCATCGGTATACCTGTGCATAGATATATATCTATGGACCGATCCCAGATCCAGAATATATACCCTACTCCCCGCGACCAAATACACTAACACCCCCATCCCTCTGAACAAAATACAACACCTCCTTCTCCTCCCAATTTTCCTGAGCAGTTTCGCTCTCCCTCTGTCCCCACGCGCCTCCTTTACTAACCCTCAAAACACCACTGACGTCCCTCGCAGCACCTGTTTCCAGATTGCGTAGCTGCATTACCATTTCTGCTCGATGAGCCAGCCCAACTGCAAACGCCGCATTCTCTGCCTCAAGGGGTGTGGAGGTCTGGTGACCAAATGTAGATGCGTTGTGGATTAACGGTGAGTCGGCAGAAATCGTCACGATAGTTGCGGTTGGAGCCTAGATAACCAAAACAGATCAATCATCAGCGACCATCTTTTCTGAGGGGTAGAAACTTCGAGGTTGCGATGCCGTACCTGCTGTAATCCCATGATCCACTCTCCCATTTCCGTACCGCCAATGCCCTTGCTGGGTCCCGTAGCTGCAAGTAGCAAATCCGGCTGATCGACAACTAATAAGACCTCAGATTCCTCCTCTTCTCCTGGTGTCGGTGTCTTCAGCAGTTTTATCACTGTTGCGATGTCCTCCTCAAGCGCATCTAATGCTGCAACCCCGCTACCTGAAAAATGCAATCTTTTCGGCCCATCGGTTTCCTTTGCGGCGGTCTGGGGCACGGCGCGGCCGCTACCCGGCGGTGGGGGAGCAGGTTGTCGCGAGCGCGCGGTAGCGGGAGAAGCTGGTTGGGGTCGGAGGGGGAAGGCCGTTCGAGGAGGTATTGTGGCTCCCGAGAACTGCGATTGTGAAGTTGGTTGCACTGTGACGGGAGGGGTACAGAATAGCTCGGATAGCCCGTCGACGAACGCAAATTGGCGCCTTTCAGAGAGACGCGCAAGGTCCAGCCCCTGACATTAGATTAGAAGTTAATAGCATGTTACTTTTTCATTAAAGAAGGGGAATGTGAAGAGACGAATCAGGTTCATACCAATCTTTTAGCCTCTGTCCTCCAAAATTCCCAACCCCGCAGAAAACTCACAAGCACGACTTTTCTCTTCCTTCCAGTTTCCCCTTGCAGCCCGAATCCAGCTGTATCTGATAATGGAGAGGTGCTTAATGCTGCATATAGGAATCTTAGTACCAGCCAGTTCCCCGTGGCACCCAGCACAGAGGACAAAACTGTGAGCGATGTTTGAGGAGGGGTAGATATATAAGGAACGAGAAGGTGAGGAAGGGGTGGTTGACTAGGCATTACTAGAGAGTGCTAAAGTTGCCTTAGTTCAAGTATCGACTTCGCAGTTGTGAGAATTCAATTGCAATCCAAGAACCATTGAAGCTCTTCCACTGTGTGTATAAAAATTGATGATATTTCGCTCGCAAATGACGTCGTGAAAATTGGATATTCCCGAAGCGTTCTTTGATTGGTTAAAACTCATTTATACTGCCAGCGGCGCTTAGACCACCTTTATGCCCCTTATTTAAGGCACCCATCAACTCAGGCACGGGTTAATTTAGATCTACAAGTACATACTCCGTACTCTGTACTTTCGTATACATAAATGAGGGGCATGAAGGATGGGAAATTTGTAGTCTGCTCCTCTTACTCTTTGCGCGCCCTATTTATAGGTATGTGCGCAAAGGTGTGGCTACCATTGGTTTACAAGCAGGAGACACTAACCAGGCAATAGAGGGGAGCCTGAATCTATTCGAAATAGTAGCACAGACTGGATAGCCCCTGGTCAATGAGAACAATATATCCAATGATTTTCCATAGTTAGACTGTTAACTAGTTAATAGGCATAATTCGTTAGTAAGGGGGAGATAATTGTTTACTCAGACCCAGCCTCGTTCCCAGAGCATTCCGGTATTCTCGGGTGCGCTTAATCATATGCATCACACAGGATGTGACGGTTCCTGGGATATTTGGACCGAACTTTGGCATCTTCTAATTGAGCCCGAAACCAAAAATAATAGGAACATCCTAGCGCAAAATAACCATCATCTCTTCAAGGCCTTCGCCTCCTGAACCCTGGCGTTTGCGAGAAAATTTCCCAGGTGTCACATGACCTGGGCTCCCCCACACGAGGTGATCCTCTTCGCTCGCGTTCAAGGTCGTTGTCCACCACCACTACTAGACAACACTCTTGCTTCCACCTTTCGCTCCTTTCTCATGATGGGCTCCAAATTCTGCGTCTATCCTTAATTCCCCTCTTTCATTCCTTGATCCTTGAACCGTGTATCATCACCTATTATTGTGCCGATCGTAAGTTCACCCCATGCCACCCTAGCCGTTTTTTTTTCTTTCTTTATACCCCACTGGCCCTTCTTGGAGGGGGGCACTGAGCTAGTGTCTGCGGAACTCTTCGCTTTGGAAGCCATGTAATTGAGCATTTGGCCAGATGCTTTTTTCCTTATTAATCTCTTTCCCTATGCTACCGCTGTTGGATAGCCAATTACGGGTTATATGCATCTTTCAAAGTTGATACATCCCCGTGTCTATTTCGTCTTTGTTGCGGGAAAACATCAGTCTACACTTGGGTATCTACTTTGAAAACTAGTGCCAATAATGGCATGCTAACAGCGCGATTTGCAGATGACACCAGTTCGGTGTAGCTACCAACGAGCACGAGATTTTTGGTATCAGAAGACAGATTAAACATGGCTAGCACCCGTGATTCCCACTCTTATGCTGTAAGTCCCCCCATCACCTAGCAGGATGCCAAGGAGATGTTAGGATCTAACTGTTTCCTCACAGTGCGATGAGTGTCGTTTACGAAAGTCCAAGGTGAGGAAGTACTCATGTTCGAGCTTAAGAGCCTGGCTCTGACCTTCGTCAGTGCTCCAAAGAAAGACCTACTTGTGCCCAATGCAAGCAACTGAATAAGGAATGCAACTACAGCCCAAAGGTTACCAGAAGCCCCCTTACGCGGCAGTAAGCTCCCCAATATGTCTTCCTGTCTTACCATGATCTCCTACTATATACCGAAATATTAATTCACCATCACAGACACTTGACCTATGTGGAAGAGCGCCTGCAGGCGTTTGAAACGGCTCTAGGACGACTGTTTCCTGGTGGCGATTTGGATGCAACTGTTCGCTCTCTCTTACATGATCAGGATGGCCCGCCTAAACCAGGCTCGTCGTCTAAATCTTCATCCAGACATTCAACCCCGGCTAAAGCTGAGGCAGATCGCCCTGAGCCAGCACCAGAAGCCTTGCCTCAACAGGCAGACGGGTTTGACTGGGCAGAAAATAAGATCACCGTTGGAGATCTGACAGATGGCATGGCAGCTTTGTCTATAAAACCCGAAGGCGCTGGTTATTTTGGTATGGTACTGTTTCTATTTTCTTTTCCTACATCCGCTAACCACCAGTTTACAGGAGCTTCATCCAGTGTTGTCCCACTTCGAGCCTTGATTAAGCATGGCTTTGACCTCAACATTCCAGTGCGGCCAACCGACAATACAGAACGAATCCCTTTGAAAGCTCAACTCTTGAACATTGCGCCCTCAGGAGTAGTGGAGCAAGCCTTCATGGATGCATTTTTCCTCAACTACCATACGAGCTATCCCTTTGTCCACGAAGCTAGTTTTCGAGCGCAGTTTTACGAACAAGTGCCTCGCCCTCATGGGCAGGTATGGCAAATTTTGCTAAATACAATCCTAGCCCTAGGGGCATGGAGTATTGGTGATGATAACTCTGACCTAGATATCACTTTCTATCAAGAGGCGAGAAGTCGTTTACAGGTAGTTTCAGTATTTGAAACCGGAAACTTGACCCTCGTCCAGGCATTGTTGTTGTTAAGTAATTATGCCCAGAAAAGAAACAAACCAAACACTGGGTGGAACTTCTTGGGTCTGGCTGTCAGAATGTCTATGAGTCTTGGGTTGCATAAGGAATTTCACGGATGGAAAATCAGCTTGCTACAAAGAGAAGTTAGGAGAAGACTGTGGTGGGGAGTCTACATATTTGATAGTGGCGCCGCTAAAACTTTCGGCCGTCCTATTCTCCTGCCTGAAGATAGTGTTATGGATGTGAAGCATGTTCTCAACATTCATGATGAAGTACAGTGCCCCCTCCTACAAATCAATTGTTCATCATTAACTTGAACCTAGGCTCTCACAGCAGCGACCACAACCTTACCGCCTGAGGTCAATGAACCAACGCTCTATTCAGGACTAATCGCACAGGCCAGATTCCATCTACTCACGAACAGTGTCTATCAGCGTCTGATATCTGGCCCAAACCCCACGGCGGAGGAAACATTGAGTCTTCAAAAACCCATGGAGGAATGGTATAATGGCCTTCCGGACTATTTCAAACAACCGATTTCCAACAATGAATCCGACAACTTTGCCCTCGTTCGCAATCGGCTTATGTGGCGGGATTGGAACCTGAGAATTCTCCTCTACCGCCCTATTCTTCTCCGTTGGGCGTCGAGAAGATGGACGCCAAATCCAAACAACCATACTGAACCGGAAGATCCCCTCGAGGCCGATTGCAGAAAGCTCTGCCTTCGAAACGCAAGATTAACCATCTCCTCGATCGCCGATTTTGTAAATAATCACCTCTGCACTAGGCTCGGTGCATGGTACATGCTGTACGTCCAAACACCCTATAAAACTTCATCATTTAAACACCCAGCTAACACACCATCCTCACGCGCAGATACTTCCTCTTCCAAGCCGGTCTCATCCCCATCATCCTCCTCATGACCGACCCTACAAGTGCGGATGCCCCAGGTTGGCTTCAAGAAATCGAATCCACCAAAGCCCTCCTAATGCACCCCTCCCTAAGCAACAACCACCTTGCCGGCCGTTGTCTAGACGTCATCAACCGCCTCTGTTCCCCTGTATACACCAACTCCCCCTCCTCCACTCCTGCAGCCCGAATAATCGGCCCCGGTGGACCCCAACAGCCCATCTTCATGCCCTTCGCGGACCAGCTCTTCAACGACCCAACCTTCGGCAGCATGTTCCCGGACGTAGACCAAGAGCTGAACCTCAGCGGGATGGACTTCTCCGAATGGGTAAACTTCACGCCACAAAACGAGTTCACATGATTATTCTAGTCATCGCTCTGAAAATGATCCATTTCCCCTACTCCCTGGATGATGATCTCGTAATCAAACGATCTCCGGCCTCGGGCGCAAAATCAACACGCGGTCCGTGTGCTTGCTTGCTCGATACCAATACATACCAAATCGAATCCGCGGTATCCTGGAATCCTGGATGCATGCGCATGTGCACGCGCACGCCCCTACCCAAGCAGAACCTTGCTTTGGCCTTATTCCACGAAAGAAAACTTTCTTTTTTTTCTTCTTCTTCCTCCCTCCTCGCATAGCATCGGGTAAGCGCTGGCCGAGCCAACTGATCAACCAACCAACCTTGCCCAGGCAATCAGCCAGCTAGCCGTTCCTCCCTATTCGCCACAACAAAATTATACCAGTTGGTACCAGCCCATGCACGATCCTCGCTCTTTCGTGAAAGAAATGTCTGACGTCAATGATACCATCCATGTATTCGCTTTATGGTTCAGTGATGAGTGTGGTGACAAATCGTATACGGTATACGATAGTTATACAATACATATACGATATACAGACTTACCAGACGCTAATGCAATCAAAAGGATCGGAGGCTCAGCGAATTCCCAACTTGCTTCTCAGTTTCAGATTCGTGAGCTCTTCAACATCAGCAAGCTATCAAATCCCTGGCACCTGCCTACTACTGGATGCGCTGTACATATTTCATATACACATTATAACTACCCGAAATATGTTTTTTAACTACAAATTCTTAGTTGCAAGCTTCTATGGACTCGTTATCGAAGAAAGGACGACTACAAAATTAAGGATGATGTAAAGCATCACCGTGTAGCCCGAACTGAAGAGCTTTGAACTAAACGAGTGCCATCCAAACTAACAGTTTTTTGAAGAATTCTGTATCATAAAATAGTCTCAAGAAAAAGAGGAATCGCGCTCGCGCCAATGCAACGCACAACACACGCTAAAGAAAAATATAAATAGGTAAATCACACAAAGAAAAAGAGAGGGGAAATAAAAAAAGAAAGAAAGAAAGAAACTGGCGAGCTAACAGAACAATGGATATCGGTCTAGGCCAGTGGTAAAGTTGCCAGGAAGCTGCTATGCAATAAACATTCATCATAGATTCCTTGACAACCAGTCGAGATCGTTTGGATACGTTTCAAGGGGAATAACAAATCAACGTCATCGGCGGCGACAGGGGAGGCGGTAAAGCAGCCGTAGTCATTTCGTGCGCGCAGTAGTAGAACCAGGATTATTATACCGTCATTTCCGTGAGTCGTGAGGTTCCCAGTGGATCGGTTCAAAATCTTGGTTTTGGAAGTGGGCTTGGTTGTATGGAGAACTAATAGAGGGTCAGCGATCACTCATGGGTTGGGAAAGAAAAACACGGCGTACTTCTTAAACGGAGCGGTAACCGGGAGAGAATGGCTGAGATTAGGCTTCATTACGAGTGGATTCAGCCGAATTTGCGGACCATCTGAGCATCGCGGAGGTAATGAGCTCATGGGCGGTGGTGGTGCAGAGAGCCTGGGCGGCGGCGGCGGGGGAGACGCAATATGAACTGGTGACGGGGCGTGCATAGGTGGTGGCTGGTAAACTTCATGAGGGGGGGAAACCCGATAGGGGTCAGTCGAAGGTTGGGCCATTGGGGGTGTGAGTGCAAAGGATGGGTCCATCATCAAGTTCGGAATAGCCATTAAGCTAGAATTCACATCAAAACCAAGGTCACCGGCATCCCAGGAGTTGTAGTCGGAGGACAGGGCATATTGGAAATTGACAACAGGCTGCATATTCATAGCTGGCTCTGCCAGGTAGGTAAGGTCATAATGGCCCCTATCAGATTATGTTAGCACGCATTTACCAAGGATAGACAAACAAGTTTTTGTATTCCAACTTACGGCCGGTAAAGCAGGCGAATTGCCCCAGGGCCAGGTCTAGTGTTTGCCAGGACATGTGAGGTGACAGCTTCGCCTTCGCTGCGGTCGAGGTAAAGAATCTCGACCATGAACCCAGAACTTTCGATAACACCGTCGACCAGCCCTTGGAGGCCAACCTCATCAATCTCTGTTTTGACCGTCTCTATTTGTGTGGCGCAGTACTGGTCTAGGGGCATAGATAAGAAAGCTTGATAACGATGAGGGTTTAGTTTCATCCATGCACTAGTCAGAAGCTATAAATAATGAAAGTTAGTTATAGGCAGTGAACGCAGTGTAAGAAATGGAGGGCAGAGGGCAGTAGCACCAGTTACTGACCCTAAAATGAGTGATGATTGCATTTGAATTGTATTCATCGTTAAAGAGATCCACCAGGAATGAGTCGTCACGCTCTCCGCGCTCAATTGCGCTCGAAATTTTGGCAAAGACTTCCTCCGTTGCATCCACAAATATTTCGTACAGATGTTCCTGTTGGCCTACCTGATCGAGAAGCGTACTTAGCGATTTAATCCGTACCAACTCGCGATGTAGTTGTAGAGGGTCCCGGAAGTTGAACAGATTCTCGAAGTAGCCAAAAGCAACCGCTAGACGGGGTTAGCTACTTATCTAAGCATGAAAAATAAAGATAAAAATGAAAATGAAAATGAAAATATTACCTCTCCAACCACAATTTCCATCTCCTTTCATGAGACGGGATTGTGGGTGCGTTACAGCAAGTGTCTGCGGACAGATATATTAGTTAGAGACTCCAGATGACACACTGCCGGGACATTCATACGCTGGTCTTTGTGGCGAATGCCGGATCAGCGTTCGCGTACTCCATAGCAATGGCAGTGGTTGACTGTTTATGAGTGACGAGCGGGCCCTTGGGCGCGATGTCAGTCCAGGTATGCATTCCTCTAAGAGTCAATGTTGCTCACCGGCAGGTTCGGTTCGAACTTGTTGGAGAGCTCCTGGTACCGCTCCATTTCGTCAGGCGATAATGCATTCATGTTGAAGACAGCCGGGTTATGAACTGCGTAAAAGGCGGAAGAAATCTGGGAAAGCCGGTGGCCAAGGAAAGCAGGCGGAGGAAGAATTTGAGGAAAGAAACCAGGGATGGGTTCCTGTCTCGGTGGGAAATGATTCAGAGGATCAAAGTGATTCCTGGGGACATCCGACAGGGACATCGCATAAGGTGAGTTCAAACAGGTGCTTTTTAACGTGAGAAGGTGTAACGAGGCTTGATATCTTCAGCAGCGTTGGGGAAGAGCAATCCTTGAGTCGATTACTCCAAGGACATCTTTCGGGGAAAGTCAAGTTCCTTGGGCCTGTCTGATCCTGTATTCAAGAATCTGCAGGAGAGTGGTTCCTCTTAGTGATGCAGACCTATTGATACACAGCTTTAGCATAACTCTTCAAGGTTCGTCCCTCCAGGAGTGCATGTGCAGATGGTGGGCAAAGTAATCCAACAGCGATGATAAACATAGATATTGACCAATCACGGACCGAAGATGGGTATCACAGATGGAAAAAAAGAGTAGATAGGATGGAGATTGAGGCATAAGGAATGATGAATAATGAGAAGGGAGAGAGAGAGAGAGAGAGAGGGAGAGGGAGGGAAAGAAACACTAATGGGGTGGGTGGTGACGAGTAAGGCGACAGACAGGAAAGAAAAAAGCAAGGAATGGAGAAGGACGAAGAAGCTGTCCGAAGCTAGATGGCTATCTAGGTCTGTGACAGACGTAAGATGCAGCACGACCACAACAATGAGTTTCAGACCTCCACCCCCTTACAAAAGTAGAGATGATAAAACCGGGAAGGGATCAAGAAGTAAGAAGGGAAAATAAATCCGCACAAGTGAGCAGTTAATGGCTTGTCTAAAACTGTCTAGAACAGGATGCAGAGGTGGTTACCCAGCTTGCAAGCAGGCGCATCTCTCTCCCCGACAGGAAAGAGAGTATATAATGGAATTTGAAAAATTCCAACACCTGACGCCGTATGACAGTTTATATAGTATAGGAGGAATCAAATTTATATCTGCTGTGTGCTTGCAGGCAGGTACTCTGTAGAAGAGGAGGAATAGAAGGTAAAAAAAAGAAGTTCTGACCTTTTTTCAAGGGCAACTTAAAAAGATTCTCTCTCTCTCTCTCTCTGTGTGTGTGTGTGTGTGTGTATCTTCTTGTTCCAGGCCCAAAGTACTTACCAGAGAAAGCTCACAGGCAGGGATATCAAGCAATTTTGTAGTGTGTGAGAGCCAAAACCAATTAATCTGGATCTAGGTCTGTTGGGTGTGGAGGAGGAGGAATAGAAGGTGATCAAAGAGACTAATTAATGGAGAATAGAGGGACAAAGATCAAGAGCAACATCAAGCAACAGCAACAGGGATAGGGGAAGAGAAAAGAAAGGGAAGGAAAAGAAAAAGACAGCTAAGCCAGCATCACCAAAGAGGATAGGATAAAAGGGTAAATCCGAGCTAATAATAATTGAAATCAGAAAAAGAGAAATAATGAATGACCATCACCGACGATGAAGTCGCGGGGAGAAGCTTCTGAGCGCCGGAAGTAGACACTAGACGCTACCTCGACACTGGAGACACCAGATTGATTGATTGTGGACGACAAGAGAGGAAGGAAGAGAACAGGCGCGGGGTTTCGAGTTTAGTCGTGCAGCTAGTTGGGTTGTTTTAGCGGGAGTGGGCGGGTTCCCGGAGGAAGACAGTCGAGTAATACTCCAGAGGGAAATCCACTTGAGCGGGAAATGCAGGAGGAGATGATGGTGATGACAATGATGAGAATGATGATGGGAAAGGGAAGGAAAAGGGAAGGGAAGGGAAAGGAAAAGGGAAGGAAAAGGGGAGGACTGAAGATGAAGATGATAAGCCTGTGGATATTGGGAACCTGGTAAGATACAAAACACACAAATACACCTCCCTCTACCCAACTTGAACCACAAGAAGATTGTGGAATCAAAAATTAGCATAGGTTGTTTAAGAAAAAAAAACAAAAAAAACAAAATTCAACTAGTATATGATTGTATATATTGGAGGTATATTCTTCTTGAATTTACTTCCTAACTCGCTGCTCCATACCTCTATGAATCCTCACAAAAGATAAAACCGGGGGCTCAGATCGCACGCAGGTGTTGCAGATGTCAGTTACTAGAACTTACAGTTACAATACTGAATTATCCAAACAATAAAAGGAACTCCCGATCTGATACTACCGGCTAACGACCCTGCGCCTTCTTCGATCCCCACATGTCTCGGCAGAGGGAAACGCCTGAGTGGTGACTCGTCCTGCAACTAGTAGTGCTAGTCAGATGGAGGGAGTTCAGATTCAACTGCTTGGAAGTAATAAATGAGGATGCAGAGGTGGTTGGACCCAACGCACTTGGGCTCAGTCGTTCTTAAGACTAGAAACAAAGTTTCTCCAATATGATGATGCTTTGGCCCCTCTGTCGATATTTCACCGTCGAGCTACGCAGTACATCCCTTATTTCTCTCAAATTTCCAACGAAAGCGATCAGACCACCTTGACCCCCCGTGGCGCTATCGCTGGACCATCCTGCTGGGTAAATTTTCCATCTCTACGGATGGACAGGTTTACTAATCCTAGCTTTGGAGAAAGAACATGCTGACGGTTGTGGATGTATGCTGTAATGATTATCGAGAGTAATACTATACTACCCTTAGCCTCGAATTCATCAAGATCCTGAACGAATCGGTCGTTTCTCCGTCTTTGGGAGAAGATATATAACTTGGTTATATATATACAACGGCGAGTCAGTCGTCGAAGATTCTCGATCCAACTATAAGCAGGATTGCTTATGCCTCGGAATCTCCTCCGAATCATCTCGACCTAGGTAGGTCTAGTTAAGCAACAGATATCCCGTTGTACCTGGATCGGTTTCCTTCGCTCTTTTGCTAGCAGTAGCTTGCAGCGCAGAGAATCTCGTCTTCCGATTTGTTTTGCCGTGAGATGCGAAGGCTATCACAATGTTTGATTGACGGCTTGTCTGGACTGGCATATTCGAGGACCCCCTCCGAAAGCGAAAGTGCTCCGTACATTGTACAGGACTCTGGTACTCTCCGTATACTCTACAGGTTCAAGAATGCGATCGATCTACAGGGCGCTACCATCTAACTAACTACTAGTATTCCTTGTGCGAACTGAATCGGTCGGTCTTGTTTCGATACGCTTTTTTTTTTGCTTTTTTGAATTCTTTCCCATGACGTTGAACTCTTCAGTGGTGGTCGATTAATTAATTATATTACGATCTGGTAATTATAATTGTTTGGTTTTATTATTATCGGATATGATGACAGTACTGCTATATTATCCAGAACAGGTAATCAACTGTAGCTTCAAGGTTCCAAGTTAGTATCGGTCCATGACGGCCAATATAAACCCTCTCAGTTCTAGGTACTGGTAAGACAAGAGCAGGCATCGTCTTGCAGCAAGTTTCTCTCCGTCTCTAGGGTAGTAATTATTATTATTATTATATATTATATTATTGTTACTAGGTCAGTACTGACCGAGTAGTAGTAGCAAGTCCTCGGGCACTCGGGCACTCGGGCTCATCTCGGTATTTTATCACTTGTTCCACTCAGTTCAAATCCCGATGCGGTCAACCTTGATTGCAACCGAATAACTGAGAGAGAAGAGGGTGAAATGGCGGTAAACTCAGTACCTCGGGGGAAATAGCTATAAGGTCTAGTGGTACGGAGTACACTCCTACTCCTCCTCCTCCTCCTCCGTAGGGGCTACTGCTACCGCTGCCCACTACTCGGTAGAAAGATAAAATGGTAAATTAAGTGGGACTCACCTAACATCTGTGGCCCCAATGGATTATTCCGCCAAATTACATTGGCAGGTTCTGTGACTCGTGAGTCCGTAGCATGTAACTACGCACTCCGTACATTAGTTTAACGAGACAGCCGATCATCCTTTCTTCCTTCCCGCGGTCAGGTTTTGGAGTGTACGTACTGCTGGGAGGAGGATCCAAGTCTACGAGACTAGCATCCTATATGTACGGAGAACTAGGGAACTAGTCGGAATCGTGATTCGTCACCAGGCCATCTCCTCCGTCGCTAACTAGGAGTAGTAAGTCCGTAGCATCTTATCTCCCGTAATGATTGTGCAGCAACAACTAAAGTGGTCTCTCGCAGTGGGACAGAACGCAGAAACCATTCGATAACAGCCCGCCAATTGTCCAAGGTACTTGCTCCATCTGCTTGGCGGTGCTGGTTAGGTAGGTATCTAGTACAGACTACTGGGTTAGGTACATACAATCATACAAGGACAGGGCTGTTCAGGTTCCAGTTAACTAACTCTTCCGTTGAACTATTACAAACTGACCCGTCAGTTAACTATGTAACTAGTTAATAACTATGGATACTAGTTATTAACTACCTAGGTGCAAGTTATGCATTGATTCCATGATTCTCTAATCAGGTCTGCCAGGAGGCCTAACTACTAGTTAGTTATGTACTAACTAACTAATCCTTAAGGCTACAACCTAAGATAAAATTAACCATGCTGCCTATGTACTGTATATACAATACTACTACTAGGTAGTAGGTATATCCCTCTTTCTCTTTCTCTTTCTTCTTCCTCCTTGACTCTTCTCCACTACCTTAGGTAGGTAGCTATCCCAAAATCCAATCAGGCTTTTCCTTTTTCCTCATGCATTCCATCTTCTCCACAATAAACAAACATTTTTACCACGCGGTTTAGGTATATAACAAAGACTTCTTCTTTGCTTCCTCTTATGCCTAGTAGTATTCATATCCTACCATGTATTGCTTCTGATTAGTAGCAGGTAGATTAATTTGTCTTACATTGGAAGAAAATCCTACAGGTTTGCTTGCAGCTTTGGTGAGGTTGATTACGCAGGACTTACTACACTACACTACACCTCCATACATATTCCCGGTGAGCCTGAAGGATTACTTATTCTATTTACATGCCTACCTATGAAAGGGTGGGGGAGACTCTCTTACCTCTGTAGCTATTGATAGATGGATTTAATAATATCTTTCTTTTTTTTATATAGTGATAGATTTGGTTTATTATTTGTGAGTAAACCACTTTCTTTCTTTCTCCCCGCTAAAACCCCCCGGCGCCAGATTTTATCCCGTGGCCTGTTTTGCCCTTCCACCCCCTCCGTAATCGGTGGCTGCCAGCACGTAACCCCCCCGCAGGCGCTTCGTCTCCAAATCCCGATTGGAACACTGAGCCGGTTCTCATTCCGGGGAGCTGCGAAGCATCGTCGCCTTTGAATCCGTCGCCCTCATTCAGTGTCGCTTGCCACAGCGCTCGCAGTGATGCGTTCCACTCTTCCAGGGACCGGAGTCGATCCACGTCGCTGGCGCTTTCGACGACAACAGTCCCGCTCTCCTGGTCGATCTTAGCATTGAGTTTCTTGTCGAGAATCAGGAAGCTCAAAATGTCCTGCACCTCCGGAACAGAGATCTTAATGTGTTTCGAGATGAAACTAAGCGTAAATCGTGTGTATGGTGCGATCAGTTTGAGAACCGCCTTGGTCCGCATGTTCCGGCTGACCTCGTCGATGTTTTCCGCGATAAACGGATCCGCAAGAACATCCGGGTTCTTGCTTAGGATTGCTTCGTATGTGTGAATGTCGTCCCGCTGGAAGGCATCCACCAAATCCGTCATCGCCGAGATGCGCGGGTCGCTCTTGTACGGCTTGGTCTCTTGTGAGTGGAACGGGTTAATATCCGATTTCATCAGCATCGTCGTCAGTACAAGATACTTGAGGACCTGGATTCGCTGCATTGATCCCGCCTCGTCGTAGTTTCGGAACGACTCGAAGAAGTCGCTTTGCGCCTCTTCCCAGTTCTCCTCGCTCATATGCATCTTGCCCCCACACTCTCGGATGATCCCCATAATCTTGGGATGCGGCACTGCGGATCGCACTCGGAGCGCCCGTTGGTAAAGTGCCTTCAGTCGCTTGTTATTCTTGGTCTCGGCGTACATCTGGATTTCTAGCGCGTATAGTTCGAGGAGATATGTGCCTTTGCTGGGATCATCCGAGCCATCTTCCCTCTGGCAGGCCCGATGCAACTCCCGTACTTTCTTGCTCAGTTGGCCATATTCCTTCCGTTCTAACCAGAGGCGGCACAGTTTGATGTTCGTCTTGAGCCATAATCGTTCGTTATTCGTGTTTTGGAAAGAGTTGAGCGTCAGGGAGTAGAATTCTTCCATGCACTGGTAGGCCTTATCGTCGTCCGATCCCTTCTCGATGTAATCCAGCATGTTGTTGATCGACTTTTCGGAGTAATTTCGCGTGACGGCCGATTTGACGTACGTTAACAATTCCCTGTAGTGTTCGACGGCCTTGATCCGTTAGCCTCATACACTGAACCGAGATATCAGGTCAACCTACATCGCTGTATCTTCCAAGTTTAAACTCGAGCTTGATCGCTTGTTTCAACCCTTTAAACCCCCTGGGACAGTATCAGCATCCTTGCCATCTTCCCAGCACACAGGAATGGATCTACCAGTCTCCTTTGTCCTGCTCCAGGGCAGGTACCCCTAGGAACTCGTCAATTGCCTCCTCGGGGTTATCCATCTTCATCTGTTTCGCGTTATAGTATTTGTTCTCGATCCCGACATCTCCGGACTCATCGTCATCTGCATCTTCGTATTCAAAGTCATACCTAGCATCAAAATCCGTCAGACCCGACCTTGAGAGTCCTGGGCAAGTGTATAGCGGGTGTACTCACTCTTCATCGGCGGAGTCGTGCATGAAATCATCATCGTCAGACATCTTGAGAAGGGTGGGACACTCTGCAGGCAAACCAGGTCTTAAACGTCCGTCTCTTTTCTAAGGGGTGATAATGAATCAAGAGCGTCGTATGTCCGATATAAATGGAGTGGGATAATAGAGCGTAGGATAAGGAAAGACGGTGTTGATGCTGTCGAGACAGCTCCCGCACGCACCTATCGGAGCCTGGGGCTGCCAACCTGGCCCCCGCTCTATCTTAGTGACCGCTTGCCGTGGGTCCAACCACAATATAACTATGCAATGATTGTTAACTATATATCCTCTTTTTATTCTTATTTAATGATTTTAAGGGGATATTACAGGATAAATCTTTCAGTTTGGTTATTCGCTATCTGAGGTTTAATCTGGTGTAGTGGTTTTAATTGTGTATATACTCTATAACCCTCATGCATGCTTATGCATGGAGTTAGTAGCATATATATATATATATATATATATTGACTACGAACAGTATCATTTCAAGGAGTAGTATAACTTACCACAAGTGACCCCAGCACAAATAACTTGGCTAATTTCATTTCTATCTACAGATCCTGCACTGCAAAACCTCAGAAACGCACTGGATGATTGAAACAGTCGATCGCAGCGCCATACAGGGTGGGGCCTGTCCAGAGAGGCCAATACCGTCGACATTCAAACCCCCATCATGAAAAGTACCCCGAAATTTAATGGAACAGAACAAAATTGTACCTAGTGGGATGTGATGGAAGTTGACGATATCAAGTCCAGAGCTCTGGTTCAGGCACCAGACGAGGCGAAATCCAGCGAATTCTTGGCAGGTGACGATCGTGTTATTGTGTACTCGGTAGGTCCGATGACATCGACTTTGCACGGCCCACGGCTGAGGCGCAGTGTTCATTTCCTCAACTCCTCATTTGCTACCTAGGTACCTAATATCCTTTCACGACCTCAAGACTCCTCCTCTCTGTCTATTTCCTCCTCCTCCATATATATTTGCGCCACGCGTAACTCCATCTTGACTGGCCAACCAACCCCTTTTAAGGACCCTTCACCCTTTCGCATACTCCTTCCGGGTTGTCTTCGAATACTGTGTCTGAACGATGGATCTCTGTGGGCGTCAGAAGGTTGTCCGGCGCAAGATGGTACTTCTGTCAGTGCGACTCGTACTTCAAAAATACTGGATGGGAGAAGGAGAATCCTGACTTTGAATAGGGGAGACGGTGCTTGCGGCAAAACCTCGGCCCTGAATGTCTTCACTAGAGGGTTGGTAACCTCTCGTACCTTAGCCTGCTCCGTTTACAACTTTGCTGATCTGTCTTTAGATACTTCCCAACAGTTTAGTAAGAACCCATCATTGTGACTGTATATAGTGATGGTGTTAACCACTCCAAACCCTCCTTAGTGAGCCTACTGTTTTTGGTGCGCATGACTTTCCCGCAATGCCTTTATTTTGATCCGAAGCTGACTGCGATTTGCTATAGAGAACTACGTGCACGGTAATCCCCCCCAGCATTTTACGTACACCGGAAAAACGCTCATATGCCACTAAAAGATATCTTCGTCGACAATGTCCACATGGAACTGTCACTATGGGATACTGCCGGCCAGGAAGAATTCGATCGATTACGTGCGCTCTCTTACGAGGATACCCATGTCATCATGTTGTGCTTCAGTGTGGGTACAACGCTTCAACCTTGGTAGTCCATACTGAATTGGAAAATAGGTCGACAGCCCCGATTCGTTTGAAAACGTGGCAAGTAAATGGATTGAAGAAATCACCGAGAATTGCCCGGGTGTGAGGATGGTTCTTACTGCGCTCAAGTGCGACTTGAGGAAGGACGAGTTTTTGAACGACAACCCCAATGCCATTACATACGAACAAGGACTAGCAAAGGCGAAGGAGATTGGTGCTGTGAAGTATCTAGGTACGCATTTACTCGGGCTTCTCAACTGCTACCAACGCTGATGATTCCACTAGAATGCTCTGCCGTCCAAAACCGTGGCATTATGGAAACCTTCTACGAAGCCGCCAAGGTCGCCCTTGACGTGAAAGCGCAGAACTCAGGCGCATCCCGGAGTGGCTGCGTTATCGTCTGATCTTCTGCTCCTTGTGTGTTATGATTTGTTTCTCTATATACCCGCGTGCCTCAGCCAGTCTACCCTATCGTTTAACAACAAGCACTAAATTACGTCAATTTGCGAGCCCCCCAACCGAACGACGCGCTTCCAAATCATCCTGTCTCGGCGTTGCTTATGATCTTCCATACCAGCCTTGCTATTTCTGCATTTCCGATTCGCTTCGCTATATATAATTTTGAACACCATAGAACTTTACCATAATGTTTTAATTTCCTCTACCGAAAAACAATCCCAATCTCGGGTGCTCGTCTGAGCATCACCTTTGGTTCTGATCCGCGTTCGGCTTTGACTGATACTGCTCTCGTCTTCATCTGCGAGTCAATCCTCAGATCGATTGACCGGACAGATGTCTTGTGTTCTATAGATGTATACGTCTTGTGTATATGTACTCTCTACGTTGATGACACGTCTGTTGATCTAACTATTTGGATTGTACTGTTTCGAGCCAGCATAGCCCTAGCTCAATTCGATACCATTCTTTCTTTTATCCTGTATATTTCAGACTCCTCTACACCTTCCGCTTCCAAATGAGATTAGGATTTTTAAAAAAAAATATATATATATATAAACAATCCTACCCCAAAGAGCATTCAAGTAAATCCTCTTCACTAACTCTATACACCTCCTCGATCTTCTCCCCCGACGCTGCACCACCACAAGCAAAATCCGCATTCACCCTCTCCACAAACGCACCTACAAACCTCTCCGCAACCTCTCCAACCGTAACCCCCTCCACACCCTGCCCCTCCAAACTTGTCACTTCCCGACCTTCAAGCCCACACGCCACAATCTGCTGAAAATACCACATCGGCTCATCCGTCACATTAAACCCAATCCCGAAACTGCTGATATTGCGCCGAAGGTGCACACCCACGGCGGTGATTTTTTTCGGCAGTTCATGGCTGGCCCTGCTGGTGGTGGTGGTGCCGCCAACCCACACCCCGGGATCCTCCGTAACCAGACCCTTGAGTCCGTAAAAGCCCAGAACATCCACGACACTCTTCTCCAACAGTCTGATATGGCAGCGCGGCGTGAGACCCAGCCGCCGCAGATCGAGAATCGTGTATGCGACCATTTGCCCGGGGCCATGGTACGTGGTTTGTCCGCCGCGAAGCGTGGGGTGGTATTCAGCTACCGCGGGAGACCCGTTCCCCGCGGAAAGCAACGAGCGGATGGGTTCGAGCGGCGGCGGGAGGGAGAGCGCGTGTGTCGTCGATTGGGATGGCGGCTGTGGAGAGGTGTTGGACGGTGGGAGGTCGCGGCGTCCCGTGGTGTAGACTGGGTTCGGGGTGAAGGTGATGATTGTTGGGTCGGGGGGTGGAGGGGGTGTTTGGCCTGTTGTTGGGGATTGGGCGAGCTTTTTGTGGGCGAGGAGGCGGGTTGTGAGGGTTTTTTGGAGGTTTGACACTCGGGTGAAGGAGGTGATGTCTGGGAAGTGAAGGTGGGCGAGGCGCATCTTTTCTTTGCTTCGCTTTTTGCTTTCGCGAAGGCAGGCAGGCAGGCAGGCAGGCAGGCAGGGTTGAGCGTTGCGTTGGTGGTTGACCGTGGAATGCTGGTCTAGGGATGTGGAGGTGATTGGGATATTATATGAAATGCTCAATTAGTGTATTCCATAGTATATAGTTAGAGCTGCGCATAGATTGTAGGAATTGCAGTTCAACGACTGCAATGGAGTGCGGTAAAGTTGGTTTCCTGGTTTCGACGTCACTTTGAATATGAGGTCATGTGATATCCGAGGTTTCGCGCATTGTATATGGAAGTAGTTCAGTATATATTAATGATTGTATTACCCTGCCTGTTTAACTTTCACGTTGAGTTGAATGTATGCATTGTAGAAACTTTTGTTCAATTCGTATGATACAACTTGGACTTATTTCTGCCTGCCGAACCCCGGAGCAAGATATGTTGGAGTGCTGCACTCAGTGAATGCAACCAGCACCACCATAAAGCAGCATCACCATAAAGAAGAAGATAGCGACATGTGACTACTCTGTGTATTTAAGGCCACCATTTCCTTCTAGATCTTCATGCTTCCTCCAAGCATCTCTCCTTCTCTCTATTTCCTAGTTAGACCCAATTAAATCCATTTCGGTCAACTTTCTACTGTCATAGTTTGACGACCTTCATCAGGTTATGAGCCCTCCTTGAGGTTCTATTTTATGCTTCATAGACCTCCAAAAAAAAAAAACTCTTATCATACCCCTATACTAGAGATCTGCTCCCTGATTAGATAGAGATCCTGGCAGAAATATTACCTACTGCTGTTATGTTACACCACCTGGGCGATAGTGTGTGGAAAATTTCTATAATTTAACTAAAATAGTAACTAAATCTACCTCTAGCAGATATCCTGACATCCCTAATTTACTATATCTACTTTTAATGGCTACTACCCCATTTACTGATGGCCAAAATCAAGCAATAAAGCTAAAGAATAGTATATTTAACTTGAGCCTGATAATAGTGTTAGAAAATAATTTAAAATTTAAAATTTAGGCTTTATTTACACAAATAGAGCTAAGGCTTTATAAGATAGATAAGTTTCTTAAAAGTAATATTTCTAGACTATAACTTGATAATCTTAAGTATAAATTATAGGAATTTCTTTTATAAATAGTAGCTAGTTAGATACTATATTTAATAAGTAAGAAATTAATAGAGAAATTACTAATAAATACTACCTTATATATCTTTATAGATAATTTTATATAGAAGTTATAAAGAATAATTATTAGTAGTAGTTAAAGATATATATACTAGATATAGAGAGAAGTTATTAAGATTAAGTATAAGAACTATATAATTATTAATAAATTTATATTAGACTTTATCTAGAAGATAAATACTTCTAATAGGTTGAAAATAATTATTATACTCTATTAAATAGTTACTATAATACTTTAGGAGCTTGAAAGAAATAATATAAGCTTTATAGATTTAACCTTAAATAATCTAGGTAATAATCCTATTAAAATAACTATATAGAAGTATTTTTATGCTATATATAATATAGTAAAGGATAAAATTCAGGAAAATCTATTATCTAATATTATATCTAATACTATAATACTAGCTATAAATATATTAAATTCTTAACTAATAATAAATAATAGAAGGAGGCAGTAGTAATAGTAGAAACATGCACTACTACAGAATATGATAGTTACTAGCCATATTAACTATTAGTTAAAGTAATCTAGGAAATCTGGAATACTATGCCTATTTTATAAGGAGGAAAAATATAATACTAAGAACTACCTATATTTAGTAATTAATAAGTAAAAGGAAGGGTAGAGACTAATTTTAATACTTTAGTATTTCAAGCCATACAAGTTAAAGAATAGAAATAATTTAACCTAAAACCAAGCTATTACCCTAGCTATATAAGCTAATACTATTCCAGATACTAATAATTTCATGCTATCTAGAGTTAATATACTAATAGCTTTAATATTAATTACCTTTAAGAATAAGTAGCTATATAACTCTAGAGTAGACTATATAGTATATAATAATCATAATTTCTTTAACAACCTAATTAAAGATCTAAATAACTTCAAGAATTATAGTTTTATTACCTCTAATAGTAAGGTAGTATATCCCTAAGATCATGGAAAAGTAATAATTTAATTTAAATTAAATAATAGTACTTTAATATTATACTAAATAAAATATCTTTAGAATCTAAATATATCATGCAACCTAATACTAGTAAAAAGAATAAAGGTAAAATTAGGAATCTATTTTAACTTAAAAAATTAATATATTCGTGAGATAGTAATAGACAAGGTAATTAAATATACTATCTTAGATAATAATATCCCATTTTTAGTTCTAAATAAGGCAGTGATTATACCTACTATACCAATAGACTTATTATATCAATAATTAGGTTATCTATTTATTAAATAATTGAAATATAATAAGGTAATACTTTATAATAATAACTTAGCCACTAATAACTTGCCTACTACTAATTAGAATATTAAACCATACTATAAAGCATATTAATTATTAAAATTAAAGAAAAAAATATCCTAAAAACTATAATTATATATAATAAAATTATTACAATTCATATATATGGATCTCCAAGAAATCAAACTAATTAGAAGAGATAGTATTAGGTATATCTTACTAGTTCTAGATAATTATTCTAGATACCTTTTTGTACAATATTTAAAGGCAAAAAGCAAATCTTTAAAGGTATTAAAGGAAATATATAATAATTAGTTAAATATAACTAGTATCTATATTAAAAGGGTCAGATTTAACTTTACTCCTAAATTTAATAAATATGCTAGGTAAAGTAAGGATTTTAGTACTATATATAAACCAATACTACCACAAACCCCTGAGGAAAACAGTGCTATTAAATAGTTTAGTAGCTATATAATCTAGACTGCCTGTATAATATACATATAAGTAAAAATAGAGCTAACTATATAGCCATATAGTATGGATATAGCAGTCTATATTTTAAATAGGTTGGTTAGTGTAAGCGTCTCACTGGCGAGGCGCTTGGGTATGGGTAGTGTTGGTAAAGGAAGCAAAGCTACACGGAGTACGAGGATAGTAGGAAGGTACTGGAAGTAACAAAACGAAGTGCTTGTCTCTCAGCACTTCGGGGGTTATTGCGTTGCTATTTATGTTGCCTAGTCGAGTCGCCGGCGCGGCGCAGGCGACTCGAATGTTGCCGTTCTCCCGATTACCCTCGGTTACTGGGTATGTGGTTCGGCATGTGGTTCGGCATGTGGTTGCATGTCACGTGGTCGCCGTGACAATTGCCTCCCCTCCCCTTGGCGGCGCGTCCGCGCGCCGCGTGCGCTACGCCCGATCCGGCTTGGCGCTCTGCCAAGGAGGAGCTAGCCCTAGTTGGTGTAACACAACCCGCTTTTTCATTCAACACTGGAGATAATAATAGTGCGCGTAACACTGCCTCCATTGATTGCGCTTTGTTGAATAGGATATGAATAGCATCATGTTTCGCTTTGAATAGGACAATGGATAGGAGTAGGCGGTTCGCTGGGTGCACTAGTAGTAGGCGAAGGTGTTGTTGTAGTATAAATATCGTAGGGGAACGCTCCTCCGCGCGTACTCCTCCTAGCCCGATCCACGTTCTGAAAAGTACCTCCTGATAGGTTGACACATTGTGCTAGGTGGGTTGTCGTCGCTTAGGCGTCGTGGCGATGGCTAACTGTGTTATAGACTTCATGGCTCCCTCGAAGCGTCCTCTATCCGGTGCCGCGCTGGCCGCGTCTCTGCGGAAGAGGGCCCGTTTGGCTGCTACCACTTCTTCCTCTGTAGGTGCCTTCGTTCTGGCGGCGCAGGTCTATCGTGCTGACTGTTTGTAGGCTTCCGCGGCGAACCCCCCCGCACCTATACCAACCGTGGCGCCCGCGACCCCTGTCGCTGCCGGTGCGTCCCTCGTGGTTCCCGCTGTCGCTGCTTCGTCGTCTGGCGGGACCGTATCCCCCTTGTCCTCCGTGGCCACTCCTAGCATTGTGGTGACTCCCGCCGTCTCCCCCTCCGCTTCTTCCGCTGCGGCGACTCCAGCTGCTCCAGCCGCCGTCGTCGCGCCAGCTCCCGTCGTTGTGCCGGCTCCGGTCGCTCCCGCTGCTGCTGTGGCTCCGGCTGCTCCGGCCGTTCCGGTTGCTCCCGCTGGCTCGTCCGCCGTCGCGTGGACGCCGTGTTGCCTGCGTTGCGCGAAGTCTTGGTGGCACACGGACAATGGCCCTGTGGAAGTTCGTTCCTGCGTGCGCCCGAACCCAGGACAGCGGTGTACTCGTTGTGCCCGCTTACATAAAAAGTGTTTCCCTGTGATCCCGCCTGTGCGCGCCAGTCTTGGCGAGATCCAGGCGATGTCTGGCGGGGCGGCGGGCGTGGCGGCTTGTGCTCGCTGGACCCACGCCACCCAGGTTTTTATTCGTCGCCTCAAGACTGAGGACCAGTCGGAGAGGTTGCTTCGGTCCATTAACCGCAACCTATTTCGCCTGCTCAACGTGCAGCGTGTTGGGGGCGGCATGATAGAGTTGGAGGACAGCGACGAGGAGGTTTGGGACGGTTATGACGATTAGGGGTTTACCGATGTCGCGGCGCAGGCGCTCGCTGTTTCTATTTTCGCATAGTGAAATCAAGTCGTTTTCTTTAAGGTTCCTTGACGCCCGTAGTGTGCCCCCGTTAAACCTCAAAACCCGGTGGGAAAAAGAGGAAGGGTAGCGCCGTTGGTGCGCCTCTGTAGTCTTTTTGGTTCCTTAACCCTTATTGACTTATTATTTTCGCGTTTCACTATTTCGTGGCGTTTCGCCGGCGCCTCGCCCGTGTCTCGTTTGCGTGGCGGAACTCGTTCAGGATATCTTGTGCGTTTTCCAAGTCTTCCGCTGATTGCCAAGTATTCTCATACGTTGGCCATCCTTTCCATTTGACCAGGTATTGGTCTTTGCCGTATAGCTTTCGTTGTGCGACGATCCGTTCCACCTCCCATTCTTCCTCGTCGTCGATGACGACTGGCTGGGGTGGCGCCGGTAAGTCGCCGTCTCTTGCATTCCATTCCTTGAGGGGTGATACATGGAAGACCGGGTGGATTTTCCCATATGACCTGGGTAGTCGCAGGCGGTACGCCTGTCGGCCTATTACCTCAACTATTTCGAATGGCCCTTCGTATTTGGTGTCCAGCTTC